AGTTTCATTACTGTCATCACCCAATCCCTTTACCTTGCACATCAATTGGAAGTGAGCTTCATAATCCTCCCAGTTCAATTTTTCATCATAGGGTTCTATTGAAAACTTTTCCATTCTCTTTCGCACCTCTTCTTTATTGTTCCAACCAATATCTTCACATCTTTGGGTTCGTTTTTTATTCATCGTCGCCAGTGAAATAAAATCAAGAACTAAGTTAAACTCATTTAATCATAGAACAAAACATAACATTATTTGTTTACATGTTCATAATAAACATAAAACCAAATTATCAGCTGATTCCAATATATTACAGCCATCTATCCAGTTATACTGGTCAACGATGAAGAGAAAAGTATGAAGTAAGTAAGTATGAAGTACCGAAATCAGTGATTTACAATCAGCCCAATATGTCCGTGGCTCACGTCAACTACATCCATTTTTATTTGAAACCCGTTGACATGGGAATGAAATGTATACTGTAGTTCTATCAATTAGTTTATAAATTCTCAGATCTCAAGTCTTCCTACCCTTATTATTTATCCCTAAATAATGTAGGGGTAAAAAAAACTGGGAATAAACTTAAATTGTCAGCATAGGTTGGGATTTGTATTTTCATGATTTCCATAGCTAATCACATAGGCATAGGGGTTCCAATTATCAACATTCTATCATTCATTTAGGCCTATTCATTGGTTTTCTCCATTGAATGGTCCAAGTTTGTTTGGGATTTATTCACATTTTAGTAAGGTTATCAATGACTAAGATGAATAGGCCTATTATTTACTAGTAACTTTCAGCGAGCAGGACTCAGTTTCAACTAAATATTACTTGTGAGTTTATAACATTATTATGCAAAGTTTTTAGTATATAAAGGTATTGACCAATAATTTAAATAACCAATATTAGAGAGAAACATTGATAACATACCATTCAATAACTTAATGAGTATTATACAGGGTGTTTATAAAAAAACTTTACAACTTTAACATTCTCCCATTCATGATCCATGGGACATAAACGTTTCCTATTGACACCACATGAAAGGGCTGCTCAAAAAGTTTTAATCAGCTGGCAGTTCAATCAGCTGATGGCCTTACATTGTTGTTTGGTAAACAAAAACAAATAATTGAAAAGTCTCATTAGCATCGCAATGGAAGCACGAATGAAAGCGCAGTGTGTGGAGTGGTTCATTGAAACGAAATCTGATGTTGTTGTTCAACGGAGATTTCGGACAAGATATAATAGGAATCCTCCTTCAAGACCCACAATTAGGGCTTGGTACTATAAGTTTATGAACACTGGCAGTTTGAATCACAAGAGAGGAAACGGTCGACCCCGTGTAAGCGATGAAGATGTGCGGCGTGTTCAACAATCATTTGTGAACGACCCGAAAAAATCCACCAGATCTGCGGCACGTGATTTGAATATAAAACATTCTACTGTACACAAAATCCTTAAATCATTGAAATTTCGTTCATACAAACTTCAAATTTTGCAAAAGATCACGCCGAATGACTGGATTCTCCGAAAAGAATTTGCTGTGACTGTGCTAGATCGGTTGGCGGAAGATGAAAATTATTTGAGAAGAATTTTTTTTTCAGACGAGGCTACCTTTCATTTATCAGGTAAAGTCAACAAGCAAAATGTTAGAATATGGGGAACCGAGAACCCCCATTGTTATCAAGAGCACACCAGGGACAGTGAAAAAATTAATGTTTGGTGTGGATTGTTTCATGATAGGGTGATAGGTCCTTTTTTCTTCCAAGAAAACAACATAAATGGAAACATTTACATTGATATGTTGGAGAATTTTGCTTTTCCCCAACTAGAAGAATTACAGCCAAATGTAATTTTTCAACAGGACGGTGCTCCCCCGCACTGGAAGAGGTTTGTTCGGGATTGTTTAGATCAAAAATTCCCAAATCGTTGGATTGGCCGTGGTGGGCCAACACCTTGGCCTCCTAGGTCACCAGATATAACTCCATGTGACTTTTTTGTTTGGGGTTTTGTTAAGAATCGTGTCTACGCTAGTAAAGTGGACAACAAAGAAGAACTAAGAGAAAGGATCAGGAGAGCGTTTGATGAAATAGATCATTCAATTTTGCGTCGTGTTTGGTCAGAACTGGAATGTCGACTTGATTTTTTGCGAGCAAACAACGGGAAACACATTGAAGTTAGGTAAACTTCTTATCATGTAAATAAAACTTGAGAAAATTTCCTAAATATTAATTTTTGTTTCATAGCTGTAAGTGAAAAAATAAAGGTTTTATGATTGTTTAAAGTTGTAAAGTTTTTTTATAAACACCCTGTATAATTAGTGATAGTGATTAAACATAAGGGGATATCCCATCTATAAGAGCATTGCACTTTCATGAATGTTCACTTGTTGATAGCATGAGAGCCTTGCGTAGAGTCATATCTTTATTATCACTTAGATACTTCAAACAGAGACGTACTGTTCTTTTTAACGGGTGGAATATTTTATGATCAAATTACGTCAAGATTACACAACTTTCTGCTGATAAAATATAGGTGCTAATCACATATATGAATCACTTGTTTTGAACTGTTTTATTACCTTATATGTTTAAGTTATACAACTTGCGTTTTTAAGAAAATAGCCTATTATGAAAATAAGCTGTAAGGGGAAAAGTATCTCAATTCAAAAACTGTTTATAAGCAAAACATAATTTAAAGTTTAATTCAATCAGGGCTTTTGAATCCTAAGATGTTCTTATAGAGGTCTTAAAGGTTTTTGCAAATTTCACCAATAGGGATGAAGCTATTACCGTAGATGGCATTGAAAGACCTACAACCGATATACTTTTTCATTTTGATGTCCCCTGCGGCCAAAATCGTTTTTATAGTTGACATTTTATTTATAGCCTATTTTAAATTTGTGTAATTTAGGCCTATATTAAATTTATTGTCGTATTTCCACTGTTTATAATTTTCTTTTTTATATAACTTTGGCTATTGATACAACTACTTTTCACTTTTTATCTTAGAATCAGTTTGCTACATAAAATCACAGAACATCAAACCAACTTTTACAAATCACACTTACAACACCCGAACAAAGGGCACACATGCAGTCCAACACAAACTCATTGCATTTCAATACAAACCAGATTACATTGGAATGAAATTGTACCAGGCCCTAACGAAAAAACTACTTGAAATTTAGAACTTTAAATAGGCTAAAAAAATTCAAATTTAGAATTGAAAAAATGGAGTTAAGCTTCCACAACATAGACCTTAACGGTGACAAAAACTAGTTTAAGTTTGCTTACTCTTTGTTTTAACCCTGACCTGTCCAATTCCTTTGGCAAAGGACTACGGACGGAGACATCACTTATCACGCACGTACATAAAAATTACATTTTGCTTTTTTTGTTTTGTTTGACTAAAATGTTAAATTTAACACAGACCTCATTAATAACAAATAATGGGACACATTGTTATTCACCTTAAGGTTTACCAACCACGTAAAATAATAATAATACATTCACGTTTAATAACTTTCTACTTAAATAGACTGAAATTAAAATTGTGAGATGTGGAAGGATTTAACAGATATTAATCAAGTAATTTAGATACCGTACCTTGATTATTAAGGATTTTTATTAAAACTACATTTATGAAGTAAAACCAAATAGCCTATAAGAAATTTCTAGGAAGCTGAAACTTTCAATAAAACTGTAAGTTAAATCAAAAACACAAACCAAAAAGGGCAAGTAGGCCTACCGATAATTATAAGTGGTTTTCCTTATAAGGTAGCCTAACATAGCTTATTATTAACATCTTAAAAATTAGACAAGGACAATGAAACTTTTTGATGAGTTCCAATTTTGACCCAGCTTTTTTGATCATTAAGCTATTCAAATGTCCAGACTTGCTAAACACAAAAAAAAACTTATTTTTGTCACACAGTTCTCCCATATTTAATTCACTTTACTTGACTCAACCTTCATTTTCACCTTAAAGTATGCACCTTGTTAGCCTATCTGAATGTTGTATAAACCTAAACCTAATTTAGTCTAAATCGTAGGTAATCTACAGAAGAATGGGTGAACTCCACAAGAACTACACCCCAGAACTACCAACCTAGACAGAATTTAATCCCTCGATTTACAGTGCTGCCTCCAACAAATTTCTACTATCACAAATGCCTGAGAAATGTTTGTAAAGCACAATCCAACAAATGTTGTTTGCAGTGAATGCCACATTCAATAAAACTGAAAGTTGCACTTCTCATTTACCGCCACAGCCTGGTAAAGTTTTGTGTGTACATAAATAGTAGTGTTAAATTTTTTAAATGTATAGCCTAAGTTACATATTAACAAAGTCTATCCGAAATTGTCGGTCAACAACGTAGCACACAAGTATAAAGTATTTTGCAACCCCACAAAGATGAGTTTTCAGGCCTCAGGGACTGTGTTACATAACAATGGAAATGGACCAATGACCACAGTAACTTAACTCTTCTTCTTTTAAATCCTCTGATTTGAAAATTTATGAAAATTCTTTTGCAGTAGAGTACCCGGTAATGTATTTACTCAGTACCTAAATATAGTGTGCCTTCCAAATATGACCTTGTGTTACTTCACAGGCTTCAGTAGGCTATTATTCAGTTTAAATATCTCTTTTGAATCTTAGTTTAACAAAGCACTATAATAATGCTAAGCCTACTTAGTTGGGCATGAATGGCGTATGAAAGATTACAAGACAATTAGCCTAGGTCTACATCCAAGTAAAATGTAAACTCCAGGCTTATAGACCTACCTTCTTTAAGCAATTTCTACAGAGTGGTATGAACTTATGGGTCTAAATGTTCTTATTTTAAAAATTTAAATGTTTGTAGCCTATATCTTTAATTAGAGGTATTTTATTGGTGTTAATGTGCCAACGTTAAAAGTGTATTAGGCCTAAGAATTTGGTGGGTTCTTCTGGATCATTCTACTAGTTGTTTTATTAGGAAGAATCCTACACCTACTTACCATTCTCCTGCATGTATCAAAACACCCCCATTTGCATGTGCCGTGTTCAAAGACATATTCGAATCACTGTCGTCACAGTTTAACAATAATAATGTTAATATTGCACAACCAACACAGAGAAACAGCAAGAATTGAAAGTATCACTCAAAATGTTGTGTGCAGTAGTGCAGTGCGTATGCGTGACAGAAGCATATGATAAATCCTGTTTCTTTGCTTTGACGATAGGCAGCGGTAGCGGTTGATGTTGATTCAATCTCAGCTGATAATAAGGTGACATAACTTACTGCCTTTATAATACAGTTGTCGCAAAACCTTAAACACTATAAACAGTTTAATAATTAAAAAAAGTTCATTATCTGTTTTGCAATTTGAAATTTCATGGCAGGCTAATTTATCTTATTATTATTATTATTTACATTTTTGGTAACATCAAAGGGAGGCTGTCTTCCTTCTATAACGAACTACCTTAGATGCTGTAGCCGTAGGTGGCCGTAGCCTACTATGAAAATGTTGGCATTTGCATATATTCATCAATTCATCCACGGCCACCTTTAACTTCAGGCCACGGCCTGGTGGAATTGGCAACGTCGCAAGTAGTGTTGTTTTGTGTCAGACGTCCCATAAGATAACTTGGCAGACAGGTGACATCAGCCATCGCCGCCTGCGTCACCTCATTAATTCGCATTTTAATGATTTAAATTTAAATTTATGAACATGATTTTATTAAAATAATGAAAATTAAACATACGAAATTGAAAACCAAAACAATATGGGTTGAAAATCTATATCTGTACATTTAAAGCGGAGTCAGTATTTTCGGTATTTTCATAGTCCAGTAAACAAGCTTTCGTAACACAAAATACCATTTTTTTTAGCTGCTTCCGCTTTCAAACAAAACAGCTGTTACAACCCTAACTGCGACGTTGCCACATCGAAGGCCTTGGCCTAAAGGCGGCCGTGATTCATCCCTATATAGTCAAGTATATAATAAGTCCATGGTAAAGTGCTACAGGGCAATTACAAGATTACCCAACAGCATTCTCGCAATCACAATTTAAAAAAAATATAAATGATATTACCTTATTACCTCCTCTTCGTCTTTGACCAGCCAGGGCCGGATATACAGCGTCAATTATTTAAAAATAAAACTTTCTTTAATAAAACATACTGGACTATGACTATATTGACTCCGCTTAAAATGTACAGATGTAGATTTTTAATTCACATTGTTTCGGTTTTCAATTATGTATAACTATTTTAATTAATTCCTCTTTACTAGTAGGAAATTCAATTCCTCCAAAGGGGCCAGGGGCTGTACCTAGACTCTGATTTCTCCACTTCGGTTTCCAGTGGCTTGTCTGCTAGTTCTTAAGTTATGTCTTTAACTGAGTTGACAAAGAACTGGTTATAGTAATCTGGACTAGAAAGTTTGTTGACTACTTCATTTTTATTCCTTGAGTAATTTATCACTGACCATGCTGTCTTACATTGGTTTAGGGAACTCTGTATGTGTACTACGGTTGCCCTTTTTTTTGCCTCGTTTACCTGACATTTATAATTACGCTTTGTTTTCAGATACAGAGAGTAAAGTTTGTCCCTTTACATTAGGAGATTGCTCGGCCTTATATCTACCTAAGATCATAGTTTTATGTAAGCTCTGACCTGCCCAGTTCGGGTGTATAACAGTCCTTGGCAATGCATGCGTTACTAATTTGCATTGGCTGTGATTTAGGCTTAGATTTATTTAAAAGCGGAAAAAAGAAATTGAACACTTCCAGCAGATTACTGTGAAAAGCTTGAAAAGAGGATGCTGGGTCTGGGTCGTCTAGGACCAGAGCCCAGTCTATTTTACTCAAAGCTTCCTTAAACTGAGGCAGCAGTTGGTCACTCACAATTGTGTACTAGAAATGGAAAAGGCTGTAAGTGCCAAAAAATAAAAAATTGAGTATTTGCTTGGAATGTGTAGTAAGCGACATCGCCAATAGCCTAGAGAATGTTGTAAGTGCCGGAAAAATTCCTAGTAGTTCCTAGAGCAGCCGCAAGGAGCAGCACCGTGAAAGTGCCCGCTGACCGGCAGTGGAAAAGGCTGTAAGTGCCGCCCGCCATGATGTATGTGCCTTTGCACAGCAGTATACGGTTTGTCGCGAGTCAGTAACAAAGCGTCGTGTATTTCCAGCGTTTTGTGCATTAGTGCGCATAGTTAATACCTTTTAACTCAATCAATAGTAATAATACCTCTTAAAAAGTATTGTAACAAATATTTTTTTAAAATCTTAATTTTTTTTATTTATAAAAAAAGTTGTTTTTATGAAAACTGTGAAGAATAGGGGACAAGTAAGAGAGAGACAATAGTTTAAAACATAGACAACTTTAAACTACCTCTTGACAACTTTGTAATACCTTTTAAAAATATTGTAATTAATAAAAGCTGTTTGGTTAAATTTTTTTGAACCCATTTCTTAACATTGTTTTCCCACTGTGGTTAAAAAAGCAAAACCTAAAAAATAGCTGTTATGCATAAAATGTAAATCCACTATGAACATTCATCTTATTTTGGGTAGTGAGTGCTACACTTACAGCATTTTAACAAACAAGGCATGGCACTTACAGCGTTTACAAAAAAAAAGTACGATGGCACTTTCAGCTTTTCCTGTTTAAAATCAAGTTAAATATGTTAAATTAATTTATTTTTGTATGTATATCAAATAAAAATATATGATGTATTTTTTATGAATTTTACAGATTTTTAAAGCAAACAGTTTAACTTATATACAGTTTTTATTGAATACTGAAAATTTTACTTTGTGGCACTTTCAGCCTTTTCCATTTCTGGTACACAATTCTCTTATAAAATACATAATTGTCATGCCATGGTATAGAGGATGAATTACTCGCCAAAGCTTTCTTCTTTACAATCCATCAGCACTGGCAGATGGTCGGTAATCAGTGCTAAAGGTACCTCCACACTGTAGTCCCAGACATCGAGGTTTGAAGCAATCGAGTCTATTTCTATACATTTATCCCCTTTGGTGGTACTGATTGGATAACAGTAAGGTAAACGCACCAGTAGCTGACAGTATAAGAAACTATACGCACTTAATAATCCGTGGTTTTGAATAAAAAGGAACTAAAGAGATATTACGGATTTTATGTGATTCTAAATTTAGTGTAGTTTTCAAATTTGTCATACAAAAAGGGGTTTTTAAATATATTTTATAACATTTTTAAACTTAATTCAACCTTTGTACGTGTTCCAGTGGCTGACAGTGAAAAAAGTGCTTGTACCAGTAGCTGACTGTCAGTTGTCCCAGTAGCTGACACTGGAACTATAAATGTACTATATAGGGCCTACTATATAGCTGCTAAACCTAAGGGTTTTATAATTTATAAGACGAATAAAATCTAACTTAATAATTAAATTCTAAAATTATGTAAAACGTTATTAAGAAAATTTATTTGATATATTTTAAAATAAAAAATATTTACATTAAAAAATATATATATTTAATAAAAAATATTTTTTTAAAGATAATTTGGCTTATTAATTAAAAAATTTAAATCATTTTATAAAAATATGAGATCGCATAAATTATAAATAGCATGCAAATTTCGATGGGTAAAACCAATTTAATATTGTGCAAGCAGCAAATATCCCCCTGTCAGCTAGTGGAACTTGTATGGCTTTTGTGTACCAAAGCCTGACATTGATATAATTTTAAATCCTAAACCCCTAACACCCCAATTTTATCATGAAATTGTCAACAAAGGTATAATTGATAAAAATAATGAGCCTAATCATTAGTACTATTTAAGAAATTTAGCAAAATGACAAAAAACCAAACTTACTTTCTTAACAATTTCATTAAGGGAATCGACTTAATGTGATATGTACAGACAGGGTCGCTTTCAAACCACCACCATTCAGCGAGTATGGGCTAAATTTCACTGAATTTTTTGTGAACAAATCAAGAATAAACATATGTTCTTCTAACAATGCAATCATGTGTAAATATTTTTAAGAGACCACATTATAATGTTAAGAAACTCAAACTGTCAGCTTCTGGAGCACTGTCAGCTACTGGTGCATTTACCTTAGTATGGTATCTTTTTTGGCTACACAATTTTATTCTATTTTAATTATTAAAAAGATTTATTATTGTTAGTCTACATTTGCTCAGGGTTTAGTTTGTTGTTCATAATTGTTGTCAAGTTTTTTCTGTTATGCTCATATGTCCCATCCCATTGCATGTTTGGCTTGACCCTTAGATATTAGTAACATCGTAACATTGAATATTTATTGTAAACATGATTGTAAATTGGTTTGTTTGGACCGTTGGAAGCAAAATAAAATAAAATAAATGGTGATTTTTGCCCTTAGCAATAAGACCAAAACCAAAATCTTACTGGCTTCTTTATAATAATATACATAATGTCTTATAAAAAGTATGTATTAGTTCTGTTGCCTTTGAGGATACCTCAGTCGCCATTCGCATCGGATGTTTTTTGTCCAAGTCAGTTCTAGATCTATTTCCGATGCGGCGATAATAACCAGCAACCATGCAGCCGATTGCAATTCAACAGTCGAAGAGTCGAGTTGCGCGTCGGTTTGTGTGTGCGCAGAAATCAATGATAATTTTCCCAAGTCATGCGTGCTCCGGAAATGGAGACAGGTGTATTTGTAAGTCAATAAGATTTAAGAAATTTAATTTTCGCTTGGTGACAGTGTTTTTTATGTCTTCAGAGCAGTGATAAAAATAGTTGTTTTAAATTAGATCTTCACTTGCTGGTGTAAAAATGATCTTTAACCATAGTGCATTTATACAGTTATTTTGTGAAATCAGTAACAATTTACTACATATGCTACATATTGCTATTACTAATTTCCCCAGTAGGCTACTTTAATTGTTAACTAAAATTGCTTCCGAAACAGACACTGATTTAACACGAAAAATGGATGAAAATTTGAGCAGAGGTTATATACAGCTTGGGAAAGCTAGGGGTGCCAATGACTTCCGATTTACCAACGGGTTTAGTCATCTGTCCCCTCCAGTTGACAAATTTAATGGCATTTATTTGTCTTTGGTACTTGCCGGTGTTGGTTTTCTCTTACCATATAACAGGTAAGTCAAATAATCAATATCCCCCACTTCTACCATATTCAATAAATTTGAAATTATAGCAATGGATATGCAATAAAATTAGAGGTTGTATATATAATAGTATTATACTATATGTACGTTGAACTATTGAAACAAACTTTCAATTTCTTATTATTTAGGTAACTTTTGGAACTATAAACTGTGAAACACCACACTTTCAATCATAAAATTTGTAGCCAAACAAAAAAAAACTTACCTATAATTATTTCATTTTGAAATAAACTAAGGGAACTATGTATATATACAAATTATTGATCTGTCTTATCTTCAATTTCAGTTTCATCATTGCAGTGGACTATTTCCAAGCACAATATCCAAACAGTACAATAGTTTTTGACATGTCCCTGGTGTACATTGTCATGGCGTTTTTTGCTGTCCTCGCCAACAACATTCTTGTTGAAACTCTGTCCCTCAATACTCGAATCACTTTTGGTAAGGATTTAAAAATTAAAATAAAATTTACCCAGTAAGTTAGTCTATCTGTGCAGGCAGGACACAATCTTATTTTTGTTATATTCACCTATGTTGAATAGTTTATAACCCTTCACGAACGGGCTAAATCGGGACATAGGACAGGAAAAAATTAGAGGAAAAAATAAAAATTAATTTTTTTTATTTGTGTTTTGTTATACAAGTATAATTTACATAAAATGAACACAATGGAACACTTCATACTGTCAAAATAATTTTTAATCGTTTTTAACTAGGCCTATGCGGATATATCCGCTACCCGTCCGCGAATGAGTAGAAATGCAGCGGATATATCCGCCACCCGTCTTTGAAGATATGACCATAGGCAATGAATAAAAAACAATATGTAAAAATAAATAAAGACAGCGTAATGTTGAGCGCGAAATGTCGAGAGAGGAGCCTAGGAATGGTGGTAGGTGCGCGGGAGGGGGGGGTGACGCAGAAGAGGGGTTGGTGCGCGAGAGAAGAGAGAGTGCGGGGGAGAGCGCAGCCATGGAGAGAGCAGGAAAGTTGCGCCTTGGTACCGCGAAACATTTGGTTACTGCTCAAGCACCTGCCAGTCTGTCTGAAGAGAAGGCGGATATAACCGCTTCCCATCCGGAACATAAAAAACAATAAGAGGATATATCCGTCACCCGTACTTTATCGCCAAAGACTTAGGCGGTCAAGTCACCCGTCCGCAAAGGGTTAACTTCGATGTTACTGACTTGTGAATGGGTCATCCATTTTTTTGTGTGTGCTTAAGTTATATGTTAAATATTTTTTTTAAATTTTTTTAGTGTGGCCTTGGCTAGGCCTACCGCCACCGGCACTATCATGTTTCATGGAAATGTATGAAAACACAGTAAGCCAACAACTTTGTAGTTCTGGAGGCAGAGCACTTGAACGATTATCATTATAGGCCTACATATTAAAATAAAAAGTATGTTTTCAAATATTCTCTGGAATATTTACTCTTACACTGCAATAAGTTACATTAAAGACTGGTATTCCTGGTTATTAATAATTTGTTTCCTATTGAGAGAACTCACTCAATTTACACTAATTTAGGAGGAGGTTAGCTTGCTCCTTTTATTAACCCTTTCGCCTATCATTTTAAGGTTCCGCCACCTTGTCCTAGGTTTAATTGAGCGAAGCTCACTTTCCCTCACTTTGTAACTTCTTTGTAAGAGCATCAGAATGTAATAGCTTGACCAATTGAAATGAAATTTGGCCAACAGCTAAAGAATACTGAGCACAATGTTTTGGTAAAATATATTTGCAAATTTCCTTCTGGATTTTATTTTACGGGTCACACAATTTCGCTTGTTATTTTAATGTAAGTTGAAAGAAAAATTATATTGTCATATGGGTTTATCTCTTTTCATTTAAATAAGATAAACATATGTTAATTGTTTGTAACTGTTTTGTTTACATTTCAATGTTTACTTTCATCCTAGGTTAAAGTTGGAATGTAACAATTTATCAATGGAAGTAACAGTTTTGCTACTTCCAAATACTTCTTGGAAGTATTTGTTTTGAGCATGCCTCAAAGGCCACGTCGTAATATTGGTCGTCCCACCAACAATGCAAATATTGTAAGAGAGTGGCGTCGTGAACAAGAAGAACCAGATGAAGCAGTGGCGGAAGAAGCTGATAATGATAGGCAGTTAGCTAATCAATTACAACATGAATTAGATTCACAAAAATGTTACACTTGCACTAACTGTCATCGCCAACAACTAACAGCTTCAAACCAATCACCGATTTGTTCGCCTTGTCGTTCAAATGCAACTAAATTCACGGAGTTATCGGGCAAACAAACGGCGAATCTGTTGAAAGGGAACATATTTTAGGTTGTTACTGCTTTAGCCATTGACAATCTTTAGATAATGCTTCGCTCATTTATGCGTCTAAAGCGTAACGGCAGACCACCCTAGTTTATTATGCAGATCATTAAACCTACCTGTATTTTAACTTCAAATTATTGACTACCAATGATAACAATAACAAATCAAATATAAAATAATACCCCTGCCGCAGCAAACCTGCAGACTAAGCTAATTTCCACTTTTCTGAATAATTTTTACTGAAATATTTCCATAAATAAGACATATTTATTCCCAATTTAAATCTAGACGGTAATGTGCAAAAACTCAAATTACCGAATTATTGGTCGGTCATAATTAAGCTCAATCAGAGACTGAGAGATTCAATATAGTACTCTTGCTTCGATGCTATTGCTGGTTGCCAGAAGTTTCAAAAACCAATTCCAATGAGTGTTCAAAACTACTATAATTTACTGACAGCCACATTTTATACATTTTTAGGGACTGGCAACAAAAACAGTGGTGTTCAATACAGTGATGTTGCAGGTCTAAAGTATCTCTTTTTCCCCTGAGAGGGAAACATTTCTTTTACTGGCTAGGGAGTAAAAATCAGCTGAAGTTAATAAAAACAGCAATACATTTTTCTCACTTTTTAACTTTGATTGTAAGCAATCAGTAGACATTCGATCCCCTTGTTAAAGTTGTCGCCAGTTTTGTAATCAAAATCGCTGTACGGTAGTTGATGTTAGCCACCAACAGATTGCGCTGATCTAAAATAGTAATTTCTGTCAACTACATAATGTTTTTTACCAAGTCGATCTGATGGAACGATTTATTATGAGCTACATCAACTATTATGACCCATCAACTATGTCAGCAACAAAAAATAAGCTAGAAAATATAATTTTAGACTAGCACATTCTGTGACTGGCTCACACAACTACATTCTTTTTTAGTAAAAAATTGGCAACAGCTGGTCAACAATATTTACCAACAGCATTTACCATTGGCAAAAACATATTGTAATTAGGGGCGTATATAAGGGGAGAAGGAACAGGGGGCCTGGGCCCCTTCCGAAATAATGGATATGAAGAAAAAATAGGTGCCATAATATAAATTATTTATCATGAATCATGCATGAATTCATTGCCGTGGCAGACAGTGATAGTTTGTGCGAGTTTGGGTTGCTTCAGACTCGAGCTCGCCACCCGCCGCCTGGCTATATTCGCTTGCAGCAGTGACTGCTAGAGACCACCATATCTATCGGCGACAGGGGAGGGAAGTAATGAAGAGTTCAGTCAGTTCAGTGGTAGCCATTGTTATTGTTTGTTATCTGTTCGACGTTGTACTGAAATGTTAAAGTTTTGCAGTTCGCGTTCGCACAAAAGAATACTTAAAACAGTAGGTAGAACCCCTTCGAATATGATAATAACAAATCGCGTATTTAACTAGGTTCGGATAAGTGTTTACAGATGGAATGACACACTGTTAAATCTTGATCAATGCTTTTTGATTTAGTAATTGAGATATTTTCTTCCCTTGGCTTGAATAGATACATTTTTATAATTTAATGGACCAATTTAATGATACAGCGTGATCTTGGTAAAGTAAAGGTCAAATTTAGGGCAAATTACCGCAGCAAAACTGAGATAAAGTGTCTACTTGAAAATACTTAACCTGACCTTAAATTAATCTCGGCCCCCTCCAACAAAAAATTGTATATCCACTACTGATTGAAATCTATTTTCTATATAGCTTCTGGATACAAAGACAACCGTAAAAGACTAAATGATTCTATACCTACCTGCTGCTTACCTGCTCCTACCTAACAGCTGCTTACCCACAATAGCAAAATTGAAAACAAAATGGAAGTTATTTTGGGAGCTTATCTTAACATGAAAAGTAGCTTCCTTTTGTAACTTAGTTGGCTTTGGTGCAATATGACATATAATATAGATCATCACACAAGCAATAGTTAGCACACAGTGGGCGAAGTGGCACTTTGCTGCACACAAGAGAAATGTTTACGCGTCGAGCCGTAGGCCTGTTTGGAAAGTTTTTCAAGTGCAGCAAAGGCACTTTGCACTCACGTTCCACATTATATTTTTCCTACAGTTTGTATAAATCATATAAAATAATTAGTCTCCCAAACATTATACAACACGTTTTTAGGTTAGGTTAAATTATAAATTATTATCAATTATCAATTATCAATTATTTAAGATGGGGACGCCACTATGTGCGTATTTTAACCCAAATATGAGGTGAAGGATGAGTGTTGGATGAGTGGTGCGATCTTTTAGTCTTGTTAGTGACTAAGGCCGACATGTTCCTTAGACACAGCTGTTAATTACAACAACTGTTGCCCATACAGCTAATGGCAACTAAGGGACCTACAGTTTATAGTGGAATCCGAACCACATTTTTTCTTTGTAATTTACGAATTGGTCTAGTTATCGGGATAGTACTGCGGATAGTCGTAGTACTCACTAGTGCGGATGTTAATCCACACCAGGTAGCATCACATCCACAGTGCATCCCTATAAATATCCACCTCCTAGTAGCTGGATTACAGGACGACGCCACCCGTCCCAGTAAATCCGAACATTGAACGAAATGGGAAGCGCTGCACCAGCTGATCGTAGTCGTAATATCTTTAAGTGTTGTTAACTTATTTTCAGGCGTACACGGATTACGTGCATAATAAGAGCATGCTGTTTTGTGTTGTTTGGTTGGAATACTGGTATGCACCAAAGTAAAAACTGTGCACCAAAGTAAAAACTGTGCGCGAAAGTAAGAACTGTGCTCCAAAGTAAAAACTGTGCGCCAAATTAAGGCTTTCTCTACTATAGGCTAATCTATTCAAGGAAGCCCACTTTATTCGACTGTAGGAAAAAGTGTCTTTTCAACCCTCGCTCAGTTAAACTTGAGAGAGTCACTTTACGCCCTAGTGAAATACTATAAGAGAGAGAGAGAGAGAGAGAGAGAAAAATTCTTTATTTACAACAATTATTTTGCAGCATTACATAAAGAAAATAAAAAAATATCACATGGGTCACAATGACCTGTGCGTGATAGAGTCCTTATTTGGCTGCTTAAAATCAAAATAAAAGTTCATCACACTTCACATAATAAAATATAAAAAAATCGAACAATAACTTAGTTAAATAAGCGTAACAATTAATTTACTATACAATTATAATTATAAAAACTGTGAAACCTAAAAACCATATACAAATGTAACTCAATAGTAGGGAGCTCATTGCTTGCATTAAATCCAATGCACAACTTTTTCCCTTCAATTCCCAATTTAACTGATTTAACTTAGGCGTGGATTCCTTCAAGTAAGAGTGCTGTATAAAGTACAATAGATAGTCCAGTTATCAGTTGGTTAAGTCTAAACGAGATATTCTGGGCTGATAAGCGACTCTGTATTGTCGAGGCCTATCTCCATCAGCCAATTAGCGATAACCCTCTTATATACACTCAGTGACACTCGCAGGTCCCTAATTTCTGGAGGAATATTACGCAGCAAGCAATTAGCAATGTAAAAGGAATTTGTTAAATTGATTGATTTGAGAACTCTTGGGACCCGTAATCCAATCATCACTGAGTTTCTGGTATGATAATTATGAACTACGGGCGATTCGATGAGGTCTAAATGAATGTATGAATAAGCTAATAAATCTTTAACATATAGCTGCCTTATTGATAAAAACTTAGATTCTTTAAACAGATGATCAGTAGAATAACGTCTCGGTTTTCTTAAAGCAGCTTTAATTATTGATTTTTGAATTACGAACAAAGGTTCAATTACCGATGAATAAGCCCCTCCCCAAGCTATTAAACCGTACTGCAGATGAGATTGAACGTATGCGTAATAAATTCTTTTACTTTCTTCATGTCTTAAAATTTGACCCAATTGGTGAAAAACAAAAATCATTTTTCTAAGTTTTGTTTTTAAAAAATTTATATGACTTTCCCATTTCAATTTAGAATCCATTATAATGCCCAGGTATTTATAATGCGACACAGTTTCAATAATTTGGCAGTTGCAATCGCTGCCTGCGGTGACACATGAGTGCAAGGTTAGTCTGAGTTCGGCGGGCGGCTCGCTAGCGGGACGAAGTGCGATAGGTAAACATTTTGTTTTACTGACATTCATTGTTAAAATGTTTTCTGAGAACCATCTTTTTAAAATTTGTAATTCTGATGATGCAATATTAAAAACCTCTTCCCACGTACGTGCCCTAAAGATTACCGCTGTGTCATCTGCAAACAAGAATATTTCTCCAGAAATATCAATTTTATCTATGTTATTTATGTAAATTAAAAATAGTAAAGGCCCCATAGTAGAACCTTGAATAATTCCAAAATCTACATTCATTTGATCACTAATAACGTTATTAATTGATACTACTTGAGTTCTATTGCTTAAATAACTTTTAAACCATGCCAGGGCTAAACCCCTTACGCCCAAATATTCTAATTTTTTGAAAAGAATTTTCCTATCAATGGAATCAAACGCTTTAGCAAGATCTATAAATGCAATTAGTATTTTTTCATTTCTATTCACTGACTCGATTAAAGTTTTATTGATAAGAAATAGTGCATCAGTAGTATTTTTACCTTTTCTAAACCCAAACTGTTGGTCTGATAAAATTCCATGTTCATCCAGATAATTTTGAAGTTGAATTTTGACACATTTCTCTAACACTTTAGATAATACACTTAACAATGAGATTGGTCTATAATTATTTTTGTCATTTTTTTGCCCGGACTTATAAAGAGGAATTACCTTAGCTATTTTAAATCTGTTTGGAAAAATGCCTGAAGTAATACTCAAGTTAATAAGATGTTTGAGTGGTAGTAAAATGTCTTGCAGATGATTTTTTAATATTTTGGCTGGAAATTCATCGAACCCGGGAGCAGAACCGCCTCGCATTCCCCTCACACACTCGACCAACTGACTGTCAGAGACAGGCTCCAGTCGCAGTTCACGCCCCTGTCCTACACTGAACAAAGCATCGTCGACCAGTGGCGGACCCACGGGCGGTGGCAACTCGCTCGCCAACCTATTACCAACACTAGAGAAAAATTCATTAAACGAGTTAGCCACCGCCCCCAAACCTCCTCCACCTGAGTCCGACGGTTGCTGGAAAAGAGAAACAGGAAAATTGCATTTCTTTACATTTACTCCATTAAATTCATTTATATGTTTCCAAAATAATCTGGGTTTATCAACAGAGGCTGCTATTTTTTCTCTGTAAAAATGTTGTTTTGTAGTTTTGATTTTGTTTGATATCTGGTTTCTAAAAGCTTGAAATTGAAATTTTAATTGCTCATCAAAAGGTCGGGCTTTAACCAGTTTACTCATTTTATCTCGTTTTCTAATAGCAAATATTAACTCTGTGTTTATCCATGGCTTTAATTTTTTAAATCTAGAGGTGGGTTTTGTCACACGCATAGCTTTAAGTTTTAAACTAGAAAATGTGTTTAAAAAAGCGTCACAACAATCATTAACATCCTGATGTGCAAGGACGTGATCCCACGACTGGACCGCCATCAAGCCACTCAGAACATCTGAGTCCAAGTACATGTTGCAGGTTTCAGGTTGAGCTGTAATGTTGTCAAGTTCAATTTTTGCTATAAGAGTGTAATGATCAGTTATGTCAGTTTTAAGTACACACGAAGTTAGTTTGTTACAGTCATAGTGTTTGACAAAAATGTGATAAAAAAAAAAAAAAAATGAAAAATGTGATGTGTGTGTGTGTGTGTTGTTTTAGAGTTGATGTTTTAGAGTTAGAGTTGTTTTAGAGTTGGATAAGATCAAATTTCAAAACATAGGTTTTTGAAATTTCTATTTTTATTACAATGTATCACAATTTTATCAAAATAAGTTAGTTCTTATCTTACTACTACATCTCTTATGTATTTGAAAAATTTACTGAAAATATTTTGTCTTACTTTGCTTTACTATACCGTAATTTGATATTTCAAGGGGCTAACTTTGTCACTTATTTTTCAGGATATGTGGTGTCTTTTTTTACATTGTTGTTTGTGGCAACTTGTGAGATTTGGTGGGAGATATTTGGATCAGGTACCTCATACACCATCAACTTGATAGCTGTGGCAGTTGTAGCTCTAGGATGCACTGGTGAGTTTTGAGATAGTTATTTCACCTATTGACAACAAGCTCTTGTACACGAACTACATCGAGTAGTTTGGGTTAGATGTCATAAAATGCAGAATAAGAGGATGGGAGTTGTACAATGAAATAAAAGTATTTCATTATTTCATGTTTTTTTTAATCACCATAAAAATCAAAATTAAAAAAATAGAAAAAACGCTTGGAGATGGATTTTAGTACCTTGTTACCAAATTTCATCAAAATTGGACCACAACTCTGTACACATCCACTAATAAGTTGCTCTGTATCTCTGTACACATCCACACATACAGACAGACACACACACACTTACACTCGGTCAGACATCACTTCGAAAACCACTTTTTTGGGTTCAGGGGGAGGGGTACCCCAAACGGATATATATCCAATCCAAACTCAATCTCAAAAATTTTGACAAAAACAATACTTTCTCCATATATTATGTATAGGGGGATAAAGTAAAAAGTTATAAAACACTAGTGTACCTGTTGCTCGAATTCGAGCAATTGCGAAGCATTACAGGCGACTCACGAATATTATGGAAATACTCACGATCTACACAACAGTTAGATATACGGTAATCAAAATCTTTTGTAAATATCTTATCTTTTAGTATCACTCCATCTACAGCACTGCAAATAAATATGGGCCAGGTCTCAAGTTTCTGTTTTGACTATTAAAATCTGGAAAGATCCCTGGAATTAAAACTTAACTTTAAGAGAAAAGTTTGCTTTGCTTAAGTTAAGAGGCTGTACTTAATGGTGTTTTTCCAGACTTTAAGCTATGATTTTTTTTCTCCACGAGGAAGATAATTATTGACAGGTAACTGGGAAGCGGATACAATCGGGTTATAATTCTTTATTGCCTCTTTGTGACAGGTGTTGGGTGGGGTTTATATTATACAAAACTGGAAGAAAAAGAGTTGCTCTGGAGGGCTGCTTGTTATTAAGGCTCTTTTTGGGTGTCGTTCTATGAAACAATTAGCACATAATAAAAAAAATATTAAACCGGGGACAAAAAAATAGTATACGCTCTACAGAACTGTGAGTGGTGTACATTTTGATAACTCAATATGCATGCAGGATGAGTGTAGTATTATACTAGGTCTAATAAAATTACTTTTTAGTAAAAATACACTTAAAATAGTGGCTCTTGGCAATGTGAATTGTTATTTGGCATGTGTTTTCTAGTTCAGCAATCCAGTTTCTATGGGTACACAAGCATGCTACCCAGCCGATACACCCAGGCAGTCATGGCAGGGGAAAGTAAGTTGAACTATCCCTCAATAGTTTTTTAATTTATTGATTTAAAAAAGTGCTATCCTGAAAGAGTTTATTCGAATCCACAACCCCTCTGATATAGATAGAAAAGATAATTATACCTTAAACCAAGGTTTTGGTTTTACTAAGCAGAACAAAACAACATGTTTTGCCACACCCTGTACTTTTAATTAAAAATATTTCTCCCATAAAATGAATGCCTTAATTTATCAACCCTAAAATAATATCTTTCCTGCTAGGTGGTGCCGGGTTCCTGGTATCGGCAAACCGTATCCTCACCAAGATGGTGATGGACGATCAACGAGCCAACACTCTAATCTTCTTTGGGGTGTCTGTGATGATGGTTGCTCTGTGCTTCTGTCTACACCAGATGGTGAGACGGACAGACTTTGTCCAGTTTTACCTCACGCTGTGTCGTGAGTCACGTAGGATTACGCTGGAGCCTACAGAAGACGCAGGATTGGTGAGTGTTTCATTGCATGGTTGATTAACTGTGAAGTACTATTGAATTTTTGATACTGACATAAACATCTCACCTATTTATAGACCAGCTGTAGCTAAACTTTGTTCAAACAGAACTAGTTGAATGAAATACTCAAGAGTGTCCTATCTACAATTCTTTTTCATTTCTTTGTAATTTTTGATACTAGAGGCCGTCCAGTGGTAAGAAAACTCAACCAAAAATAATATGTAATACACAGATTTTTCTATTTTCACCTTAAACGCTCTTAATAAAACATGTGATGGGAATTTCTTTCATTTGTTTTGATTTTCTGTTTATCTATCTATATATTAACCCTCAGAGTGTTATGTGTCGTAAAATCGACACATAACACACTTTGTGTCGTGTTTTGTGTCGAGATTTCCACTTTTCAAGTTTGCTGCCATTTTGAAAAATGGCCGCCATTTTGGAAATAATAGAATCAATATTTTTTACGTATTTTATCGTCTTTTTGGAATGTGGATGGACTACATCAGTGCTCTTTTAGGCAAGGCTCATTTTATTCTTACCTGTGCAACTCCTTTTTTTGTTATTTGTTTATAACTATACGGCAACAAAAGTTGACTTTGAAATCCATGATTAATATAGGGCTATTAATAAATTGTATCGTCTTCTAAATCAAACTACGAAATTCGTTCATGGTCCAGCATTTCCTCTGTGATTATTCAATTCACTTTAATTGCTCTGCTGTTGTTAAACCAATTAATGAAATCATAGATGCTGGGTCAATATTTAAGCTCTGAATAACATGTTGTAGGTCAGGATGAAACACATAGTTTACTGCACCAAGATTTAATAAATAGCTAAGTATTATTACTAAAAATATTAATCTACTAAAAACTAATGTACCTACATCAACATATTTAGGCAATTTTCCTATTGATTTTACCTGAGTCTCTAGGATAAGATTTAGGTTTAGGATTATGGTCCTTTAGTTTAGCCCATGAAAAAAAAACTGTAAAAACTTGTACACAATCACTGTAAGAATTCTTCTGATCCATCTATATTATAAATTACCAGTTTTAAAAATCAAAATTGTAAGAGTGTGACAGCTAGCTCGCAGGAGGATGGGAGAGTTCTCAAGTTAAGAGTGAAAATTTAAAAACGTACGTTTTTATGTCCCTGGCCTTTTACTTCGTAGATACTGGATTTGTAGTTTATAATTATGTGTTTTAATATTTTTTGGGACGGGGGCAACATGTTACACACATTTATTTGGTTTTAAATAGGTTCTAGGTACTTTTTTCGAATTTTTAAAGTCTCAAAATTCACGACCATGACGTGTCCCTAGGGTACATTTTCAACTTTCACGCTGTTTTTAGACTAATTATTCATGCCGAAATATATAAAACCATATTTTTATGTCATCAATGGTTATTAAACTTACAAAAAAGGAGCATATTATAATTTTATTGTCATTGCAAACTGACTACCATGACAAAATAAGTCAGTCCCTCGATTTGGCGTCACGACCATTTGGGAAAAATTTTCAACTTTGGAGCACGACAGTGGCAAGCCTGGCGTCGATGGAGTCAGTTGGTTTTAGAGACTAGTTCGGGTTGTACGTCAGGATTGTAGTGCCGGTCGTTTTGAGTTGAAAGGAGGAATTACAAGATTAATAAAGGAAAGATTGTGTTTTTTGTAATTTTGGTGTGTCCATGACCGTAAGTAGTCATTCGATGAAGTAGACATGGTGTTAATTTTTGTTTATAAGATATATCAATTGCTAGATTAACCTAGAAGTCCACTTTGTATCCTCAAACATGAGGTGCAGGGCTACCGCCAAAACAGAGCCAAATAACACGTAATTTCACGACCAAAGTTTCACGACCATCGCGGTTTTTTTCACTACCAATCCAGCCTTATGGATTATAGTGTGTTTGGTCGTGACAATAACTTCAATATAATTGTAAATTGAACAGTTTAGTTCAATTGAAACACATAGTTTTATTATAACTAACAGTATAATTGAAGGATTGTTTAGAAAGATTTAGATTATTCCAGACAATTCACGACCGTACCGCTTGTCCCTGACCATCACGTTTATGATTTCTATCATAAAAATTTCAAAAATTAAAATATCATCATATTTTAATGTTTTATACACAAAAGAAGCACACCTCTATACAAACATAACGATTTTTCGGGTCTCGGGTATGTTTTTTCGGAGTTATACAAACTTAAAAAAATTGTATTGGCTTTTTTCTATTTTTTGAGTTTTTTTAATTTTTTTCTAGAAAGACCAAATATACCAAAAGCTCAGTGACCTTTTTATTGTATAATGGTCATAAAAGTAAATTAGTTTATAGCAAAACATAGTTATAAAAATAATATTAACTATTTTTAATATTCATTTAAACGTCCGTTATGGTCGTGACAGGATTTTGTGTTTTTCTACTAAAGATGCTCTTTAAAGTTTTGAAAAAAGAGAAAAAAATTGCAAAGTGCCTTTCCTGAAAACGTACGTTTTTAAATTTTCACTCTTAAAGGTGATGAATCTCAAGTTAAAGGTCCCAGGGTGTCGGGAAAAATAGCAGATTATGTCAAAATCTACCAGAAAATTAGAAATAACATAACAATCTTCCATTTAAAATGCATTGGGATTTTAAAAAGTCAGCTTTGTTTACATTAAACATTCATTTTTATCCTACTTTTAATTTTGTGGTGATAAAAACGATTAACCAGTAAATGTGCTATTTCTTGATGAGAACTAAAAATACAGCCTCACGGCCTTGCTCACTCAATTTTCAAAGCTAATTTACACTGGATCTCTGTATAAAATCAGTTGCTTGAAGGATTTTGAATTGTAATAGTAGTTTACGCAACGATTGCCTAAATATAGTGTTAACAACATGAGAAGAAGGCACGGTACGAGCCTTGGCGAGTGCCTTAAAAACTTCTACAAGTGTCGTTAACACTATTTACGCGAGTTGCGTAGGCTACTTTGCCTACGACAGTGTTTTAATTACTAAAAATTACTACTCATAACCTCTTTATGTTTTCGTTTATAACCTCTCATTGCCACTGACAGTGATGCAACGAAACATTGTATCAAACACTAATTGCACCAATCAACAATTAAATTGGCCTAAACAGCTGATTAGTTGAATTTCAAATCATTACAATTTGACTTCTCCTCTCTCAATCCTTGAACCTCATTGATCTGTTACCTGAGTTGATATGACTATGAGTAAAACTATGCTGTTATGAAAGTGAACAATGCTGTTATGAAAGTGAACAATGCTGTTATGAGATACTTTTCAATTCTAAGAACTGTACTGAAAAGGCTACTTTAAAAAACGGTTGTAGGTAAAATAATTTAAGTCTCTAGTCAATAAATGAGAGGAATTTTAAGTTAACTTCTTAATTGGGGAGTTCATTTAATATCACAATGTTTAATTAGTTAACTTCCAGTATCCAAAAGTCAATATATACTGTATAAGAAAAGAAAAAAGGAATTTGTTATATAATTAATTATGTTTCAGTTTTGATTACTACCCTTTTCCGCAGAACGCACCATTTCTCAAACTTGGTCCCCTCCCAAGTTCCTGCATGGTTATACTATGCAGAGTTTATGGGTCTGTAATGTTAAAATTTTGAGCAACATATTGATTTCTATAAATTATAACTCAATCTACAGATGGATCCATTGGATCAAGTGGAAGGCGCGTCTAAGAGTCAATACGGAGTGTTGAAACTTCAGCCGCAGAGTCCCATGGATGCTGCAAGTGGACAGCACTTCAGTTTTGCCAACCCGGTGTATGAGCCCAGTGGTACCAATCCCGTGGGGCCGTCGTACAAGGTGGAAGATGTGGTCGTCCGCATGAGAAGCACGACAGGCTCTGGTTCTTACAGGAGGACCAACTCTACCAGAGCTTGGGCGGCCATTAAAAGTAAGATTACGGTTTTATTTTGGCTTGGTATTACAGTAGAGTCTCGATTATCAGACCAAAACTGGCCGCATAAAGGACGTATAAGCTAAATGTCAGAAAACACAGAACTTAATAGAAATAAACAGTATCAGCAATCTGACACATACTGTACTTTCTCCAGTTTGCTTGTCTACAACCCTTTCAGGGCACATGGGTAATCGATGAGATTAACTTTGATAATTTATTGGTAAAATCACAAACGTTGCAACAACTTTTAAACAGTAATTTTTACAGTAATAGGGGTTGTACCATTTTGTTTAGAGTTAAAAGGACTTTTTCATACACACAATATGAATCAGTCTTTTTTTTTTAAACCGATCTTCCATGAATGACTTTTATGGGAAAATTTTATTTTTGTTATTTTATGGGTTAAAAAAAATAACCATTAATAATAAAAGTTAAAAATAAATGGAAAAAAATACCTGGACATACAATGGATTAGTATCCACATAACAAATTTCATCAGAATCGGACGACAGGTTTGGTCTGTAGCTCTGTACAGATCCATATTTTCTAACAGACACACAGTAAAACCACTTTTTTGGGGTTCAGGGGGACCCAATACGGAAATATCCACAGAAAATTTAAATACATACAGTAATACTATGGTATAGGTATATATATTGGTATAGGGTGAGAAAGTAAAAAATAGATTGTAAACGTGTCAAAATCATAAAAAGTCAATCAATTTATCTTGTTAGTCAAGCCTATTTGATTTGAAGCTTCTATAATTAAAACTACCTTTTTCATTTTGAATACATCACCACAAATAACCTACTAGTCTTTTGTTTAAGTTAAGGTTAACAAGAACTTAAAACATGAAAATGTAGAGGCTAAAGAATAAGTTTTTGCAGAGGGATTGGTAGCAAGGTGGGAGGTTGCACGTAACGTGTGGCACTACATGCTGTCGATTGCACTGGCGTACTTCGTCACACTCTGTCTCTACCCGGGGATCGAGTCGGAGATTGTGAGCTGTAAGTTCGGTAACTGGATGCCTGTCATACTCATGGCTGGGTTCAACGCTGCAGACCTAATGGGGAAAGTGAGTAGAAATCTAAGTTACTCAAAAGTGGTTATAGAGTGTTACCGTAGTAATACAATTGGTTGTATTGTATTGCTTATTGGTGAGTGGATACCACCACCAAGTTTATTTAAAAAAGTTATTATGTATTGGAGGATAGATAACTATGAGGGTTGTCTATAAGTTAAGATCTCCGATGACCTCTAGTCACAGCCAAGCGAGATAATTTAAAACTGTCTCTGCATTTTTTACTTTCATGACTACTATTCTACTGTTCCCCACTCCTATGACAATTAGTTTCACCATGATGATTTATAAAAATGTGAGGGAAATTCGATGCTTTAGATATGAATTATGTTCTGTAATTATTTTTATCCTGTGGTCTTAGACATTAACTTCCCATTGACATAAACCATCAAAAACTAATTTAGAATAAGTACTTTGATGCTTATACTTTGATCACGTAGGTGGTGGCGTCAGTGCCGTATGAGTGGTCACGTTCCCAGCTGCTAGTGTTTGCCAGCCTGCGTGCCGTCCTCATTCCCCTGCTAGTGCTGTGCGCCACACCCCGCGGGTCACCCGTCATCCCAGGGGAGGGATATCCCCTCTTGTTCTCACTACTGCTTGGCCTCACCAACGGCCTCGTGGGGAGTGTGCCCATGATTCAAGCACCCAGCAGAGTCAGTGAGGAACATCGCGAACTTACTGGTACATTCTTTTGGCTTTGAGATCCTTACATTTTTGGAAATCGGAGAAGTAAAAGAAAGTGACCTTGGCATATGTACTACATGGACCATAGTCTGATACACTTTTCTGATTTTACTTTTCTGTGACTAATATAAATCTTAAGGAAGAAGTATTTGAATAAGCTATTATATCTTGCAAATGGTTGAACCAAAATAGCTACATCATATACTTTTCTTGTAGCAAATTTAATCTTCTTAAATTTGTTAATTTAGTATTGTATACAAAATTTTATTTACGAAAAACCTAAAAAAGGGACCTTTAGAGCCCCCTAGCCCCCTTAGCTCCCCTCCTGCTGGTCAGTACTTTTAGTACCTATGTTGTTTAGGGACCCTTCCCCTATAACTGTACCAAATTTGGCTTACACATGAATTTTTTCCGCTACAATCTCTTCTTAACCTGGACTATTTCTCTTACCACAAATACCAAAAATTCTTTATGTTAAAAAATGCTTCAGTTTAAATAAAAGACATCAGTCAGAGAGGCATAATTTAAATACAAAGTTTTTTTACTGAAACTGGCTTTGACTATAACATGGGAATGCCATGTCTACTTCTTTCCACTGTCAAAGCTAATATCAGCTGCTTCTTGAGAAAAAAGTTTAGTACGTTCCTAATAATAGATTACTAGAAGAAAAAATACCAGGTACAAAATTACTTATATATCAATTTCACTCTGATGAATATTAAAAATGTGCGACTGCAGTATAGTGCAGTTAATTTTAGCAATACCTGATCAAAATTGTTATTAGAAGTAATCTACCAACAGCAAAATCCACTCTGGCCATCAGAAGTGGCATGGTTCAGTTGTCTACCCAATTGTTTCAGCTTAGCCACTGAGGATGTCACTTTACAGCATCGGCCAAACATCTAGCAGTAGAAGTTACTTCTGACACAATTGACATAAAAACCATTTATTCTGACAACACGAGTGTTTTATTTGTGTTGATTTTCCTCAGGAAACATAATGACACTATCCTACAACGTTGGCTTGACTGGGGGCTCTTTAGTAGCGTATGTCCTGGACGCTATGTTGGGCCCTCCTCTGGTAGCTCCTTGCCGAGCTCCTCCCCGATACTTCACCCCCAACCCCCGCACCATGCTGGCCAACCTGACAACACCGTACACCACAGTGGCTGCCACCACAGCTGTTACAGTGGCTACAGTGTTGACCACTTCACCGACCACACTCACCAGTCTAGCCAACCCGACAACACTCAGCAACCTTACATTAGCTCTCTACAATGTCACTACCATGCATTAGGTCGTCTAAGATTTAACTTTAAGATAGATTTTCTGTGATCTGAATGCTAAGTTTGATTTTACAGTACTTCTCATTTTTGATGTTTATTTATAGTGGGTTAGGAAGATTGAGAAATTGACTTTGGATACAGTTAGAATCATCTTCTTGTATAGTCTGAAGCCTCTTTTGATATGTTTCGTTTCCGGTATTATTAAGGGTGTTGAGGTCAAATAAGTTTACTATGTTAGAGTAAATTTTACACAACGTGCTTTACTATTTATTTTCCAATACAAAAATGCACGCTGCATTGTTTTTGGTTAATGTAGTTTTAAAGTTAATGAAATAATGAAAGTAAACAGTAACTAGACAGTAAACAGTGAAGGAATGGGAGTACTGGCCGTTCGACCGTGAGAACCGAGATAGTACGGATAGAATTCCGACTGGCTGCTGAGGCCACTCCGGCTGACCTTCCAACCGCAAAGGGTTAAATGTTGCTTTTAAAAATTCTCTGTCCGAAAATATCTGTACTAAACCACATTGGTTGTAACTGTTACTTTTTTTACGGTTTAGGAAGATTCAATTTCTATATTTTCTCAAACAATTCCTATGGTTTTTCTGAATGTGGTTTATATACTTTTTCATAATTATTTTCACTTCTACATTAACTTATGTATGAAATTTTATTATGGTAGAACCCCTCATATCTGACCTCGGAATAAGCGACTCCTCGGGATATCCAACCTAATGTTTGACCGTCTACATGTTTCCTGGCTGGGGCGATAATGCCGAGCGTGATCGGTTGGCCGAAAGGCCAATCGCGGATGTTGCCATAATTGGGGTAGACGATCACTACTGATACCGATAACTGGTGTTACCGCCGTCGTGAGAGACAATCACCGAAGTCGCTAAGACTGTAAGGTACGCTCACGGGTGTTGTAACGGTCGCCGGAGACGATTGCCAATGTTGCTGAGACTGCAAGTTATGCTCACGTCTGTTGCCACGGTCGGGGGAGACGATTACTGATGTCACGGAGACTGTAGGTTATGCTCCTCCCGATATCTGACCTTTTTGCCGTTCCGTTCCGACCATGGCTTGATCCGTCATGGTCGAATATGAGGGGTTCTACTGTACGTCTAACTTCTTATATACAAATATAGCTTTAAGTAGAATAGGTAGTGAATAGCTGGCAATTAATTTATGTCAGTATAATTATAGCATCTGTTGATGTCAGTTGTTTTTATATAGGTGTATAACAAGCTTTGCGGCTTGAAGCGATTTTTGCTGTTTCGTTTAATGTAAATTCACTGTGATATAACCAAATTCTCATTTACTTCTTGGTATTAATGGATTTAGAGTTCCTTATTGCTGCATTGGCGCCTTATAAAGGTACACCTTATACAGGGTTATCAGTTTGACATGCATAATTTTATAAACATTTTTTATTCCAACACGATTTGTGAATTTCCTTTTAACTTTCTATATTAATCTGTATGGTAATCTGGATTTTTTAGATTAGTTTGTTTTGTTGGTATTATTATTAAATTGATGAGATAGATATTAAGTCAACCGAACTAGCTATAGATATATATTGAAGGCAGTTTTCCTGAGCAAAATCCAAGTTAGGGTGGTCCATAATAACCGCTAACCTTTTGTTTTGTGACGGCTCAGCTAATTTATGGGTTAGAGGGATCATTTTTGCGTTGAATGTTTCCTTAATTAATAGCATTATTTGTAATTATAAGTTATTCAAACTATTCAATATGAAATATGAGTAAAACTCAAACTCATGAATTTCTTTGATTACAGTAAACTGTAATTGTTATTTTACACATCGTTGTTTTATTTATTACCTCACATCCGCCAAAGAAAAATTGCATACATTTCACACATTAGGCAATTTATTTTTTATGCTATCTCCATTAGAAAAGTTGAATAGTATGTACAACTTAGAATTACAAAAAATTCTATTAATTAAGCCACAATTCAACCCAAAAAACAAATTTTTAACCCATGAATTAGCTCAGCTGTCACAAAACAAAGTGTTAGTGGTTATTACGGACCACCCGGGTAGACATCCTGTTTGCGATGAGAACAAATTGTGTAAAAATGTTATTTTCTATTTATTACGATAAAACATTATAGTGATGATGTAAGAACCGTAATCATTTAACACCTAAAGAAGTAACCTTTACCAAATTGTATTGAAATCAGTTTTGATCGTATTTGCATGTAATATGAATGTACAGTAAAATAAAGTTTTATTAGCGCCATTAGCGGGTTTCTTTCATTTGAATCTAACTACTATTTTTGAATGAAAGTTGTTTGAAGGTGTCGTCTTCTTTATGTTTTAAAATACATTCAAATATCTTTTGCTTTAAGTCCTCACAACAGTATTAACAACCTGAAAAGCTTGTTTTTGTTAAAGATTCAACCATGCACTAATGCCACCTTCAGATATCTATCTATAGCTCAATCATTTGTATGTACGATTTAATTGTTATTGTTAGGTAATACATTTGACCTTTTATTTTAAAAACTCACTTTTATTAAATTATTTACAAAGTTTAAAAAATCGTTTACTTGCATAAATAACAGTTGTTAGATTTGATCTTGTGCTTTATATATATTGTGAAGTGCAGGTAACATAAACATATAAATTTTTGGACACACCTTAAAAAAACCGTTTTGGATTCAACTTTAATTTAAATGTAACTTTACAAAACCACTAAGAATGTCCATGTGGTGTTGATAAAATGTAAAATAATAAATTGCACACTTTTTGTCCGAACACTGTATTTTAGCAATATTTTCTAACTAGGGTAGAATAGCGTATAACACTTTCTATGGGCGTTTCAGTTCTGTTAAGTTTTTAGAATAGTATTTGGCAGATGATCTCTTTGACATTTGTCTGTTATGCTTCCAATATATCTATTTCACAAACTTTGCTGCGATAGTAAATATTAGTGGATGAAATTTGGAATCCGCAATGTATTAAATTACCTAAGATTACCAAATTTTGTTGCTTACCTTCACAGTTTTAGTGTTAAACTATTCGGTTATTGTAGTCTAATGAATTATATGATGTCATGTAAGATATTTTCTCAAATTATGTATTTTCATTTATTTGTCGATAATGTTTGATTATTACATAATCTATGTACACTGTTTGTATCTAATACTCATGTTTTAGTTTTTAAATATATGTAACATATCAAAACAATAAAAAAATTCTTTACGTTTTGTTTGAGATGTTTAAAACTCTGTGTATTTTAAGACATGTACAGGTGTAGTGGTTGTGTACCATAAATTATACAAAGTTTAATGTTTTAATGTTGATGTGTACATTAAATGTATATTCCCTTTATTGTTATACACAGTTGATTAATTGGAAACATGAAGGCTGGATAATTTGAGAAGAGAAATATAAGTTTGTTAAAAAAATGTCTAGGCTTTCTTATCCTTATCTCTATTTCTCTTAATTTTAGATGGTTTAGTTTCAAAACCTGAGCATTCATTACATTTTAAAAGAATTTATTGGTCCCCCAGGTATTGGATGTAAGAAAATCTACAGGGTGAATAAAAAGTCAAGACCCCCCCCTCTAATATTTTTCCAAGTAAATATACAGAGATATTCTTTTGGTGGTCGAGCAATCTTAGCAGGAAGTTTCATTTTATCATTTTGAAATTTTTGAGTATCCCCCCAAAAGGGGGGATTTGGGGGGCAACTCAAATATTTTAAAAGTAAACCCCCTTCAAGTGACACCTCATTTTGAAGTGTTTACAAAAACTTAAAGAATGGTGAAAACTAGAGGTCACTATCTCTTCTCTATCCAAAATGGTAGCCAGTCAAATGTTGTGAAAAATAAATGGTAAAATTGTTAATATTGGCTGCCATTTTGGATAGAGAAGAGATAGCGAGCTCTGGTTTTCACCATTCTTTAAGTTTGTTTAAACACTTCAAAATGAGGTGTCCCTTGATAAGGGTTTCTATTAAAACATTTTTAGTAGTCCCCCGAATCCCCCCTTTTGGGGGACACTAAAATTTTTTAAATGTAAACCCCCTTCAAATGACACCTCATTTTGAAGTGTTTACAAAAACTTAAAGAATGATGAAAACCAGAGCTTGCTATCTCTTCTCTATCCAAAATGGCAGCCAATATTAACAATTTTACCGTTGATTTTCCACAACATTTGACGGGCTACCATTTTGGATAGAGAAGAGATAGCGACCTCTAGTTTTCACCATTCTTTAAGTTTTTGTAAACACTTCAAAATGAAGTGTCACTTGAAGGGGGTTTACATTTAAAATATTTGAGTTGCCCCCCAAATCCCCCCTTTTGGGGGGACATTCAAAAATTTCAAAATGATAAAATGAAACTTCCTACTAATGTTGCTCGACCACCAAAAGGATATCTCTGTATATTTACTTGGAAAAATATTAGAGGGGGGGGTCTTGACTTTTTATTCACCCTGTATAATTGTTAGTAAGAATTCAAAAAAGTTGGACATTCTCCCATCAGGTATCTATTTATTTATTAATATAATATTATTATTGTAAATTGTAAAATTATTGTGTTTAAGTTTAATATCAGTAGCTGAACCCCAAATACAACTGGTGTGGTATATAGGCAGGCACATGCACAACAAACTTTGCACACTACAGTTCATCTCTTGTGTTGGGGTTTCACTCGCCAAACAAACTACACATTAGGGATCAGTCTAGTAGAGATGTAGAGATGAGTGGTTAGTTACATTGATATCACAATTGGATACAAACTGAACTACCTTAATTACTTATGCTCTTTACTTATTTAACTATGACTTAAATTTGTTAAGGGAACGGCTTAAGTTATTAGAAAATCTTTTTTTGTTTTCAGGCAACATTTGACTGGTAGAACTACTGATTCATAGTTACCAGTCTAAAAACTTAAAAATTGTAAAAGTATATTTATTTTTTTTTGTGGTTATCACTATAATTCAATCTAGAGGTCATCCAGTGGTCGAAAACTCAACCAAAAGTATGTAATGAACGTAATCATAGACAAAAAGAATTAAATATAGACCGTCAGCTGTGCTGCGGTTACCATAGCTTCTGGCGCACACCGCTTGGAGCGCCATGTATTTACGGCGTACGCGCTACGTAAACTACTGCGGTGTGCGCCGGAACCTATGGTAACCATGGTAACCGCAGCACGGCTGACAGTCTATATTTAATTCTTTTTGTCTATGACGTAATGAATGTAATGGTTCTTTATTTTCACCCCACACTGTAAACAAAACATGTGATTGGATTTTTTCCATTTGTTTTGATTTTCTGTTAATACTTCGTTGTTAAACAACTTCTTGATCAGCATTGAACGTGTTATTAAATTTACGGAAAGTAAATAAAAGAAACGTCTTATAACACTTAAAACATATATTTACGCTTATACTGTTAAACTATAACTGTTAATCTAAACTTTGTTGTTATTTCGTCACCAGCATGGCAACCCATTAGTCCCAAGTTAATTATTTTGAAATTTTATACTAATTTTTTGCTTATTTTTGAGCTTATTTAAATTTATAAAGAGATTCTGCACATCTACTCGAAAATGTCTTTCTAACAGTAGGCCTATGCGTAGATTTTCCCTGCGATGTACACGAGCTGAGTAAAAAGGTTTTAAATAAACATGCTTGCCTATTAATATATAGATAAAGGTTTTATAAAAATATATTTTACAGAGTTGGGTAATGAAAGGATTATCAATGAAAATTTGAACTACAGCAATTAAAAAATGTAGCCTGAATTATATATGTTGTTCATACTTTTTTTTGTATTTACTAAACAGTATCTCTAAGAGTAGTTCTGAGATGAAGAGTCACATTAAATCATCATAGTCACTCCTGCTAGTCACCCCATCTGCAAGGATTTTCTGAATAAAATAAACTGGTTTTCGTCATGCTGGTGCATACCGCTATCAATATTGTAATGTTTTTACTTATTTCCATCAACCTTAAGAGTATTCTAATGTATTTAAAAAACATTATATTAAACAACACTTTTATTTCACAGTTAATAAACAATTACATAATGGGTAACATCGGTATGCTATGATGCCATCTTGAGACCAATTCTGAAGATACGAATTATTGAGACAACAGGTCTGAAGAAACACCATAAAAGAGGACCAAAATAAATGACGTTAAATAATTTGTACATTAGTACATTTTTGGAAAATGAGAGAGTTGTTTGATGTAAAAAGTGGTGTTTTAAGAACCGGTACATATTAATAACAAATGTGCAAAGATCATTATGATGATAATTATGGTGAACTAGGGTCATGTTCAACGTTTGGGAGAGGGAATTTCAGTCATTTCTGCTCCAGGGCCCTCCAAACCTGGCTACACCACTGTATTCAATATTGATAATATCCATGGCTTGGCCTGTAGGGTTTCTTAGGCCGCAGGACAGGTTTCATTGCTGGTTTTGGCAGGAATTTGGTTGGCAGTTCTCTTTCCAGGATTTCTAATATTTTTTCAGCCATAGCTTCTGGCATTCCTGGGGGATAGATCTCAATCAACGCCGGATCTCGCATTCTTCTATATACTTCCACCATTCTAAAAGCATAAACGAGAAGGTTTAATGACTATTCTCTATCATTGGTAGGCCAAAGCATAGATAAATCATACTCCCTTAGTAGATTTTCCATCCTTATGGAACAGCTGGAGCCAATTTATTGTTAGTTCTGTCCAACACACTGTAGAGGTTGTGTTTTGTTTACCGTTTCTTGTTATATCAGTCATTAAAACCTTGTTTAACCAAATAAAACGATCTAATCATAGGCAATAACTTGTCCCCTAGTTATATAACCAAACAGTAAAACACAAATCATGAAATTAACCCTCAAATTATAGAAACAAGATTTCGTCTACACTAGCGATCAGTGTCACCGGACATGAGCTAGACACGAAAAAAGGGCTTCAAAATTTACAATGGGATGAGAAGTCCCCTAGTTGGTTTAAAATACCTACTTTGTATGGTCGCCATTTCAATGAAAAGTATTAAAGTATTAGTCTATGGCCAAAACATACATTAAAAGAAGATAAAAAGGTTTAATCAATATCATCAGCACAGTTAAGAATACAAGCAGGCTCCAGATTTTGAGATGAGAAGTGTAGTATACAAAGTCAATAGCACAAGTTAACTATAAAACAGCAAACTTCTGCAGAATTCTTGCATGTATACAGGCTCGGGTAACATTTAGATATTAATGGGTGTAAGAAGATGCTATTTATCTCAATAGCTATAATCATCAATCTTCTTCCATCTCAAAAAATATGTAGACGGCATTCAACAAATCAGGACTGAAATAGTTAAGTAACTCTGATCATTCACTAATACTTACTTCAAGGTTAAAGGGTTATGGATGTGCTCTTTTGTTGTACTTTCGTTGTGAACTCCTGGATTTAGAGCCCCATTGAGGAAAAATATGTAGTCCGGTCTTAAAAGATCTTTGGGGAATTCATAAACTACAGATTTTGCTGGAACTATTCCTTCAAAACTTCTCGCCATCACGTAAACTGCTTGGTCATGCCAGTATCTGAAACCACATTCCAAATCAAATGAAGTAACTTCATTGAGGTAAAATAAAATCTTTTTACCTAACCCGCCATATTAAACTTCCCTATCCCAAGCGTGATGTATACAACTTCCTTACTTCTCGAGTGATGTAAAGTTGAAAAAAACTCACTCGGTGATGTAATGAAACCCATTTAAATAACATTGAGTGCTTAACTCAAAAAAATATACCTCTATGGAAGAATCGACGTTCAACGCTAGAAATCAGCTGTGCGCTTGAATGTTATTGTTATGCTTTAAAGTATTTTCCTAACCTAGCTTTTGTTTGTAAAAGAACGTTACTGTTAGACGATGAGTGAAATGGATAATGAAAAATATTGTACAATCTTGTACGTTACACGTTACGCAAGAGCGTGTTTACATCTCTTAGGTGAATTATGCAACTCGCGGGTGATGTAAAAACGCTCTTACTACACTTGTAATGTAAATAGCTATTACTAAATGATATTTGTTAAGTTTAAGTGGTAAGTGTACGAATTTAATTTCTGTTTTTTTTACCCGCGACACTTGATAGTACTGTAGTATTGCAGTTCGGAGATGTTTGTGGTTAATAATCAGCCCCTATTTAAAATAATTCTCTATACAGTAATTGGATAACAGGTACAGTTATGTAATGTAAATTACAAGCTTATACACAACGGTACTACTCCCAAAACTGTAAAAATTACGGTTAAAATATTATTGGAATTTTTGTGATTTTATCAGCAACGCCCACCGTTTACCCGTTTATAAAATGAGGGTTGTTGGTAAGCTAATGGAGAAAAGAATGGGCCAGTTTTGGATTTGATTTTATTTGTTAAGGAAATGATCAAGGTTAATTACTAGAAGGATCCGGAATATCGAAGTCCAAATTGTTGAGGTTTTACGTTTTACTGTAATTCCAGGACTTTTTGTAGCAGCTGTGAAAGACCTACTTTGAAAGAAACAACTAACTTTATTCATAGACCGTACATGTTTATAATTACAGAATGGATGAAACAAAATTTACCTTTCTATTATAACTGGTGCAGTCATGCAATAATACATAGCTGTGTAAGCTCCGATGTATTTGGAGAGTGAGTAGAAGTTCTTCTTCAAGACATCACTGTTCAAATATTTTCTCAGTTTGTTTATGTTTCGGTTTGGGAGCTGAAACCTCCTCCCGTGCAAAGCATCAGCCACAATCTTTGTGACTTTTGTTTTGCCTGTAAAATTAGGTTTATCAGATTAATTACTTATTTAAAACACTGGTTAATTAAAAAACGATGGTTTTTTTGTGAATGCAAACAGATAGGATTGAATATTTAATTTCCAAAAAGAATTTCAGAGAAGAATTTGCCAAAGCAAACTATTCAATGGAATTTGAACTATTCTCTCTTTTTATGAGGTGTTATGTCTGCATCATACTTTTAGTCTGGGTAGTAAAAGCAGTACAAAAATTCTCTGATGGGGCATGATGATGACTTGTGTGACTGGTCAAAATTAGTCGGCAATGTAACATTTTTTATTTATAAATATTAAAAAGATTTTGGTCATTGGAAGACATAACAATAGTTCATCCTATATCCATCAAATGTAGACATTTTGGAATAAAATACTTTATACTATTTTGTCGTTTTCCTTGGACTTTTTAAAATCTACCTAAAATAGAACCATTAAATAACTTATTTACGTTAAGAACTTTGTTTATAAATAGATAAAACATATTAATAAGAGCAACACAGTTGGTTAAACTAACCCATATTTAGTTACCATGATTGAAAAAGCCTTCTATAACAATAATTGGATGTCTTATTGGTGCTTCTGGAAGAAACTGGGGCGCAATTTGTTTTACTTCTTGAAATTTTGTCAGAAGAATTTGTACGGGTTCATTGTTGTAATACTGTAAGCAAATGAACAAAAAAAGCTACAATTCATATAAATTATTCATTTAAATTAGCAGGTTAAAATATAAAAATATATGAAAATAAGTACCTATTAAAAGTATGTGAGCCAAATCTAAAGAAATTTGATTTTTGTTCTTATAAAACTTACTAAGAGAATTTTAATAAAAATCGGCATACCATGGGATCTTGCAGTACTTTAAGCACCGCTTGGACATCATAGTGGACTCCAAAATCATATAGACGTTTCCTCAACTCATCTGAAATTGGATTAAAAGGATTTAATAAACTTCTCTGTTGGATCTGAAAATCCCATAAATGATTCTTTCAAAAATATTATTATGAAACTAATTTTCACCACATACATAGCTGAGTGATCATGTAACGATAGCTTTACAATCAAAAGATCTTTTAATCGATCCTATGAGTAAAGTCAGTAGCTTTTTGATGATTTGAAAATGAGCCCAGCTGTCCTTAATTAATGGGTTCTTAATAGGCCCTACATATGGCTCAGCCAAAGAAACGGTTGATCTAACGCTCCTTATACTAAACGATTTTACTGGTGTCTATGTTTCTTTCACATTATACAGTTTCCGACACAAGTAATATACAGTGTCCAATTGACAAGCCAGATTGTGAACAAAAACAGTGCAACAGCTGATCTCACTCATCAACAACTGATTTGCACTGGTTGGTAATCTCCCGTTTGACAAAAAATTGTGCAGTGTAAAAGCTTGAATTTAACATACACTATTGACCCAAGGTCACAGAGCTACAACGTCTGATTCAGTGCCAGTGGACAGCTGCAAGACAATACAGTTTTCTGCAATCGCCCTAACCTTGTAGTCTGAAAGCTCTCATGCTGTTCTTAACACTACTAAAATAATTTACCCGTCCTGTTTTTTAACCGTACGGCAAAAACCGTATACTTTAGTGTGAAAGGAACTTATGACAAAGCTACCTAAGACATGCCAGCTTTAATACAGATTTGTGTTAAAATATGTCAAGTGGTGTCCAAATCATGATTATGATTTTTTAACAGCATAATCTGACAACTTGTTAATTGTATTCTTGAATATTTTTTAAGAGTAAATTTGCAATCTTCTTTACGTAAGCAATAAACTGAATTGGTCGAAATGTTAACCGATCAAAAAGGATTTAAGTCACTAACCATCCGAAATTTGCAGAAGTTGGGTTGAAGTACAGTTGTCAAATGGAACTAAATCTGGCAATCCATCCAAACATGACACAACATTAGCTTGAAGAATACCAAGGACTAAAGTGAAGGTTAAAAGATAATTTTTAAGTGGACCATTAAAATAAATCTTACATCCAACACAAAATCTGTCAGAGAAATAAACACCCATTATGTTATGTTGATAAGCATCAGTGATTAAATATTGTGGCAATATTTTTACTGTTGAACGATTATATTGATTGAACTCATTGATAATTATATTTGAAGTAGTTTATTGCATCCAAAATTTAATAAGACTTAATTAAATCTTTGCAACATTTTAAATTATTTGTGGGGTAATGATTTAACTACTACAAATACACATTTTACAGACCCAATTTACAATTTACAATTCATGGAGGCAACCTTACAGTCACAAGCACAGTTTAATAAAGTTTTTTTTTACAAATTAATTCTTATTACTTTATACAATCCACAGGGCTGATCTTAAGCCCATAAATATGAATAGGTATAAGCTGTAATATTTGTATTATTTAACAGTTTTGGACCCTCTTTTTAACTGTTGAATGGATAATGTTAGGTATTAGAAACGTTAACCTTTCTCAAAATAAAAAATAAATTATTGAAAAAATATCAACGTTCGCACCTTAATATTTTAAAAAGTTAATTTACATTAAAAGATACCGTACCTACATAATTTATGAAAACATTTACAGAAGATGGAAAACATCAAAAACTGGATGTTTTTATTTAAACAAATGGCTTTATTTAAACCTTCTTCTGCCAAAAAATTTAAGTAAATCAAGTTAAAAATTTAGGTTAAGTTCATTTAAATTAAGTAAAATTTAAGATAATTCATCCTTATTTCTGTAGAAGAAAATGATTAACATAATGCAACAAGTACGAAGTACATTCAAATGTATCTATAAATAAGTGTCCATCATATAATTATTGTATATGCTATTTTTGGTTTACATAATGAACTGCTCTTATAAAGATTAGTTACTAAATGAATATGATTTATCAGTCATTATGTTTCGAGACTTCATTCGAATATACAGGGGCATAGGTGTCTATAGAATTGTTCTCTTTTTAGTTTTAACAAACTCTCTGTTGAATTCATGGTTCATTTTGGGAGAAGGAATGCCAAAATTTATAGGACCTGATTTTGATTATGAATTGGCTTCAGATGGTAAGAGACATTAGTAGTGTACAATTGAGCTATATAGAACTGTAGTAGGAATAGTTATCAAGTATTTTTTTTTTTATAAAAATAAAGTATTTGAAAAGTTAAATTATTTAACATTTGCTGTAAAATAAAACAGAATTATTGAAGAAGGGTTAAAATAACTAGGACTAAACAATATTGAAATACAAAATTGTAAGAATTTAATACAAACTGTGTAATATTACTGTGTGACATATGGGTATCTGAAAATTACACTAATATTATAAATGTGAATGTGTGTGTTTGTTTGTTTGAAGTTCAACCACACATTAACTACTGGTCAGATTGAGCTGAAATTTGGTATGATGATAGCTTAGTTCCGATTAACATATAGACATACAGTACACTCTTATCTCATAATCTCTCTCACTTTTGGGCTTCGCCCCAGTGGCTCTGGAGATTCCCATGATAACCAGTATTATCACAGTTTGATTACAAGTTGTGAATTGCTCTTTGTGAATTTGTGATATTGTAAGAACATTTGTAATTTACTTTTTCCTATTGTTTACGTTCAGTGGTAGATCATTAATATGGCTATGGTAGATGTTTTATACCATATCAAACCGTAAATTAACAGAACCTAATTTTCTCAAACCATGTCCTCTCCTATTGCAAATGCAAAGCAAGATTATAATTGCAATAATAATTTTATACCTACGCCAACCCCGTACGAAGGACGGGTACTCTGCTAGTATTGTTAATTTAGGCCTCATTATAGAGACAACTGGAAAAAAGATAAATAGTATTTGTTAAAGTTTTATCTTTGGATTTATAATACAGAGTCTATTGATGAATACAATTATATCAATATAAATAAGTACAGTTTTTTTACAAAAATATGAAACTAAAAATTCTCTTCCAGTAAAACAATTAATTAACAGGGCAACATTAAGGAACGCGGCAGCGTTCCGCCCCGCCAAGTCCCCCAGCGGTACACAGCTGCTGCAGTGTATATATACTTGACGTGACAAAGTGGCTTTTTCACTCGTCTATAGCTCTGAAGAAACAAAAGCTATTAAAATAATTGTTCATCTATTGGATAGGGGCACTCATCCTCAACAAAATAAAAAAAAGAATTTAAAAAACTGTTGTGTTTGAGCCAAAAAAAACTAGTTTGAAAATTCACAAATTTTCCGTGTTCTCCTTCTCCTCCTTCTCCTTCTCCTTGAATGTTGACGGACCTACAGCCCAAACCACTGGCTCAATTTTAATGTTCTTTATGTTGTTTGAAAGCCCTTAACGTGTAGATGTGCCTTTTGAGGGTCTCAAGTCGGTGAGTTGAACCATAAACCCTTGGCAAGCCCTCAAAGTACGATTTTGGCCCATTTAAATAACATGGGATTAAAATCAAAACAAAAGAAGGACCAGCTGCGATTAAATCTCAATTAATTTAAATGTTAGAGAAATTCATAGGAACAGCTGAAAAATTATTTTAAAACTTTCATAAAGTATTTTTTCAGGTATACCGAATGATTTGAACTACTTACTATATAAAATTACTTAGAGCAGTGATATTCCCCGATACTTTCCATTGAAAAATGCAGTGTACCGATGGTACACTGGTACAGCAGTTCGTCATTTTTAACAGTTTAATACTACTTATCAAAACATATGAAACCTAGTAACTTGAAACTTAGTACTAGTACTAAGGTTTGTTTTATGTTTTGATACACTAAAACAAATAAAAGAATCGGGAAAGTCACTTTACGTATGTTAAACCAGCAATTAAAATGTAAATATAGGATTAATTAGTTTTTCAATATTCGTTTTGCCTTATGCTATTTCCAACAAACCTAAACTGTTTGATTACATTTTTACTTCTATAATAAGGGCTCAATTTACACTAGTCTTTAGATATACGGGTTTAATTATCAGAACACTTATGTAACACCAACGCATTTTATGTTGTTCAAGATGAACATTGCTGAATTTACAGCCCCAGACACAGAACCTATATTAATGGATGATGACTAGATTATACAGTTTCAAAGTGTGTGTTTAGTTTAAAATAAACATATTCTTGACAAAATCATAAATAGAAACAACCACCCTGTTGACTATACGTTTAACACATGTTTTCAAAAACTTCCAACGTAGCAATTTTTGTTAAATAGTAATTTTGGTAGGTGTGTCAAAAAGTTTTTAATTGGTTTATAGCAGATAAGACCAAAAAATGTAGAATTTAGTTCTACACAAACAATATTATTGAAATGAAATGAGATGTAGTTGTGCCGTGGTCTATATATTTCACCCAAACTATTTATAACCATTTTTAATTACCAGCTGTAAATAAAAAAAATTTGATGTCTTGTTTATTTTTACAAAAAGAGCAGCATTGTTTATGTTTAGTGAAGAGATCTAGTTCAAGAACATTGAGATGATTGAGAACATTTCTTAGGATCATTTGGTAAGATACCACGTCCATGTTTTAATTGCATTTACTTTCTTTCTAATCTAACATCAGTATGCCTTCTAAAGAAAGACTGGCAAGAAAAAGAAAACAAGAATGGTATTTAGAAAACGCCCCTGCTATAAAAAAAAGAAAAACAGAAGAAGCTAGCATACAATCCACTAATAAGAGTTCTACTTCTAAAGCTTGGTACCTTGAACATGTTAAAGGAGAAAAATCCAAAGCCAGAAAACGTTATCTAGCTAATATTGAAACTGAGAGGTTAAGAAAAAGTGTGCAGTACAGTGCTAATCCTGAACCTCACAGAGCTAGGTTGCGGCAGCAATATTCTGCTAATCCTGAGCCACACAAGGCTAGGAAGCGTCAGCAGTATTCTACTGATCCTGAGCCACACAAGACTAGAGTGCGTCAGCAGTATTCTACTGATCCTGAGCCACACAAGGCTAGGAAGCGTCAGCAGTATTCTACTGATCCTGAGCCACACAAGACTAGGAAGCGTCAGCAGTATTCTACTGATCCTGAGCCACACAAGGCTAGAGTGCGTCAGAAATACTCTACTGATCCAGAATATTATAAAGCTAAACAACGTTTAAACTACGGTGCAAAACAAGAAATGAAACAATCTAATCGCAGGAGACGTTACAAAGTACTTTGTGCAAAACACCCTGGCCACTTTCGCTTGCGATATAAACTTAAGGTTTTTCACGAAAGGGTGCGAAAGTGTGCAGCCTATCAAAGCAGACGCTTTTTTTTTAGAAATAGATCTGATGGGAAAAGAAAATCATTACAAAATGCAAAAAGGAAAATTAAAAAAACTGTTGCAGCTTCACATATTTTCTTGGGGAAAATAAATTGTGAGAAAATAGCCAGACTTATAGCAAAGAAAATACTTGAGCAAGGTTATACCAAAAGGTTGCTAAGGGCTAAAGAGCTCTTGAAATGGGTGTTGCATGCTTATAAAAATTACAAAAACAATTTCCTTAAGCTATTTGTTAGCCTGCAAAATCGTGCTAAAGAGTCTCTTGCTAAGCTATCTGCAACAAGCACGTTTGAAGACAATGTTGAGGCGTTGTGTGGGCACAGTCTTCATGTTTCCACGTCGGAGCCTTATTTGTGGGAGTTTACGTATAGAGTGTTTCCTGGTAAACAAATAACTGTTGGTAATGAGCCCAGCACAGCTCATAGTTCTCCAAAGAAACAGTGGAAATGCAACTCAGATATGTGCTTCATTGAGCCTGACCACTTAGAGCAACTTAAATCTCTTTACAATGAAATAGTTGCCAGCTCTCTCACTAAAGGTTCTAAGCTTATTGTCAGCATGGGAGAGCACTCATGTCAAAGTGGTGTATCATCTCGTGTAGGTGTTCATCCTCACTCTTTGGACTGTTACTCAGGAGCATGTGTTTCGAAACTTCCTTTTCTGAGAACAATCTATCCTCACTTTCCTGCAATTCGTAGTCTTGTCTCCAAAATTTACCGACTGTTGAAAATAACTAAGAAGATTATGCTAATTAAAAATGGTATTCTTAACGTGCAGGTGAACGTGTTGTTTTCGATAGAAAGGGAATTTAAAGAGCAAACAAAAGCCTTTCTTACAGATGACACAAGTGAAAGCAAGGTCCCTGAATCTGAGTCTCAGTTGTTCGAAAAATATCAAAAAGCATTTGAGGCATTGGAGAAGCGTTCTTCTGAAACCCCAGTGTTTCCCTGTGTCTCATGCGATAAGTTGTTTAGTAAGCAGCAAGTAAGCCTTTTGAAAAACCTAAAAAATCAAATTGTAGGACACATATGGAAAAGAATAAAAGACATAAAGAAAGAAGAGTGCAAAACAGGATGGATTTGTCGGGGCTGCCTCGAAAAACTAAGGAAAGGTCAGATGCCTCCTACTTGCATTCTTAACGATCTCTATGTTTGTGCGCAGCCGAAAGAGCTAACTTGCCTTAACAGTTATGAAAAAGTTTTAATTCAGAGAGCCAAAGCATTTCAGGTTGTTACAAAAATGAACACAGTTGGGAAAAGAACAAGTCGAGCTCAGCAACAAATTTCTAAAGTCGTTGGAAGAAGTTTTCATTTGCCACTACCCCTTCAAGAAACCCTGCAAAAATTGCCCAAACCAAGTGACCCTCTGAATCCAAACCACGAGCTGTACGTTTTGGTCAGAGGGGTACCGACCAAAGCAAAGAAAGTTTGGCAAATGTTGGTTAGTGTGGATAAGGTACACGCAGCCTTAATTTTCTTAAAGAAAAACAACGCTCATTATGGTAGCATCGTACTACCTACAGATCCAGAAGGACTCTTCAACCTTAATGATGACACAAATTTGTTTCAATCTACCCATCAAAACGAACTGCCACCTCAGGAAATACTACATAGACGTGCTATATTAACTCAGGTAACTCACGAGGAATGGGATTCAGAAGAGTCTCACTATACAATCCACGCTCTTCATGAGTCAAAATCTTATAGTGATGACACCGAGCTCTATAAGATGCTGAAAGTGAATGAACCTCCGATTAGTCATGAAAACAAAGAGATTGACGTGCTTTGTTTCCCTGATTTGTATCCCGAAGGTAAATTTGGCCAGTTTCATTCCAGAGAAACTAAACTCTCTTCTGCTGAATTTATCAAATGTCGGTTGCTTTCAAAGCATTCTCAGTTCAGACTGAATCAGCAGTACCTTTTTTATTTGCTGCACGATGCAAACCTTCGGCAGTTAAGACAAGGAGTATTCCACAAGCTCAACGTCACTGGATTCAGTGGCTCTCTTAGTGCTAGAGACTGTTTGAACAACCTTGCATCGGGAGAATTAGAGGGGAACCTGACATCAGTATTCTCCAAACTCAGGAACACTAGCCAGTACTGGATACAGCCTAGAAATGATGTCAATTGCATGGCTCAGCATTATGGACCAGCTACATGGTTTTTAACCATAAGCCCAAGCGATTGGAACTGGGATGACATGGCATTGTTCATTAGGGAAGTTAACCGGAGTGTTCCAGGCGCAGAAAAAAAACAAACTAGTGAACTTGTGGCTATGGATCCTATCAGTGCGTCACGGTTTATCCATATAAAGTTCAAGGCAATGTTGGATTTTATTGTCTCTGATGCTGCTCCTTTAGGAAAAGTAAGTCACTACTTCTACAGGCGAGAATACCAAAGCAGAGGTCTCCAACATTTCCATCTTCTTCTGTGGGTAGAAAATGCTCCTGTAATGGGGACGTCCAGCAACGCAGAAGTAGCCGACTTTATCCTTAAGTACATTACTTGCAAGGTTCCAAATGCATCCGTTTCACCTACTCTCAACAACAGAGTTACAAGTTACCAAATGCATCACCACAACTCGTACTGTATGCGGACAAAGAAAACCAAAACCGGGTTTCGTAAGGCTTGTCGTTTCGGGTTCCCCCGGCCAATCACAGGGAATCTTGTTCTGCGTGACGTTGTCGAGTCTGTAGCTGGCAGAAAAGCTCTCAAGTCTAAGTCACGTCTTTATGACCTACCCAGAACACCAAGCGAGAGCTTTGTCAATGACTACAACCCGGCCGTGTTGCTAGCTTGGAATGGAAACGTGGACATCCAGTATGTAGGCGAAAGCACTTCTATCCTACATTGGTATGTCACAAAGTACACTACCAAAAGTGAACAAAGTCATGCTGGCCAAGTTTTTACAGAGATTAATTCTACAAAATCATTAGCTAGTAGACTGTTTAACGTTGGCCTTAGAGCTTTAAACAACCGTGAGTGTGGTTCTTTAGAAGCTAGTGACACACTGTTGGGCATTCCATTGTACGGCACGGACCCGGAGACAACAATAAGATGGTTGGATGTAGGCATGACCAGACGCAAAAGACTACAAAAAATCGACAAGATACGAAGTATGGACCCAAGTTCAACGAACATATTCTACGAGTCGTGGGTTGATGACCACTACCCAACTAGACCAGACGAACTAGAAGATATGAACTTATACGACTTTGTGAGATGGTACGATATAGCTGCTCAACCACCTAAAGGCGACCGTGAAGTGCATAAGTTGAATTCAGGCAAATTCCTCACTAAAAGAGTCAGACCATGCTTACTGAATCACTATAAGTACAGCCCCACTCAGGATCCTGAAAAATACTACCATGCATTACTTCTTATGTTTCTTTGTTGGAGATCTACTGATGAGCTGAAAGAGTCTCATGAAACATACACAGATGCTTTTATGGCCAAGCGGACACTTCTCACTCAAGCCTTCAACTATGACAAACGTTTAAAAGACATTATTGCGGCATCGGAGAATGCAAGAGACAAAATTCAAAACCGAGTTGAAGAGATCAATGCAGAAGAAGGAGAGGTTGCTGATCCATCCAATATAGCCTTTCAGCCCTTTAATGAACCTGTCCCCGCATCCCAGCCTGTCAGGGACAGCAATTGGTCGCCGAATGACGAGCCGTTTGAGAAAAAATACCAAAAACTCAATGACGACCAAAAGAGAGTGTTTGATTATGTCAAACGAGTTGTTGCAAACTCTGATGGGACAGATAAATTTCTCAGACATTTTGTAAGTGGTGTGGGAGGTACTGGTAAGAGTTTTCTCATAAAAACTATCAGCTCTTGGACTAAAAAATGTCTTCAAGCCTCTACATCAATATCAGCTCCCACAGGACTAAGTGCTTACAACATCAATGGTTCTACGATCTACAAAGTGTTTCAGCTGCCAGTTGAGCATGGAAAAACTCCAAAGTACAAAGCTCTTACTGATGATGTTTTAAAAATGTTGAGATCCAACCTGAAAGATGTGGTGCTCTTCATAATAGACGAAGTGTCCATGGTCTCCAATCTAACATTGATGTACATAAATCTCAGATTGTGTGAAATATTCAACACCTCAGACCAAAGTAACGGCTGGTTTGGTAAAAAACATATACTGCTCTTTGGAGACCTTTTACAACTTCCACCAGTACACGAAGACTCCCCTTCATTCATTTCTCGACATTCATTGAACTTGACAGTAGCGAACTTAGTTCTTTTGTTGGCTCTCTGTCTTGTGTTAACATCTGGTCTGAACAGTTCTCTTATGATGAACTTACTACAAACATGCGACAAGCTCAAGATTCTAAGTTTGCTGATGTGTTAAGCAAAGTCAGAGTAGGCAATATGACCGTTGAGGACATCCGTCTAATTGAAAGCAAGAAAATACATCTTAATGGAAAAACTGCTTGTGAAAACCTTTCTCTATTAGGAGATTACTTGTCTGCTTTACCCAACAATTCTGTGTGTCTTTGTTCAACTGGTTACCAATGCTCCATAATAAATGATGAAATGGTCAATAGAATAAGTGGTCCTGTTGCAACATTTGCAACAGTCCTTGTTTGTAAGTGGTCCTTGTTTGCAACTTGGTTGCAAAAGACTCAGTTGACTGTCTACCTCGTCAACAAAACAAAGTTAAAAAGATACTGTCCTCTTACAACTCTGACTGCAGCAGAACGGCTGGTATGGAGAAAATTATTCCTATTAAGGTTGGTGCTAAAGTTATGTTGCTTAGAAACATTGACGTCACTGTGGGGCTAGTTAACTCCGCCATTGGAACAGTAACGGGGTTGAGGTTTAATACAGACAATTCTGATGACGTAGACTCAGTGACAATTAACTTTGATTGTGGCATTACCCATCACCTACAGCGAGTAAACGTCAAGTTTCAAGTTATGGATAACGCATTTGTGTATCGAGAGCAATTCCCGATATCGATGTCCTACGCGGTTACAATTCACAAATGCCAGGGCCTCAGCTTAAATAGCGTAATAATTGATATTGGGGAGTCCATATTTACATGTGGCCAATCATATGTTGCCTTGTCACGAGTGACTTCATTAGAAGGGCTTCATCTTATTAACTTTAACCCAAGAGATGTGAAGCCTCAGAAATCCGCCATTCTCGAATACAACAGACTAAGGCAGAAGTACAGGTCTGACCTTCCACTTTACAACACAAGTTGTGACTCCTCTTCGGCTCCTTATGTGAGAGACAGGAAGTGGTGCCAGACCAAAAATGTCAAAAAAGTGCAGGATGAGAGTACAAAACCGGTACCCTCTGCAAAGACTACCGGAAGATCGAGAGTTCAGTCAACTTTAGCATTAAAATTTATTTTTTTTTTCAGAGAAAAGAGTATTTTTATTTGAACGGTTAATTTTCTACAAAAATAAATAAAATCTAACAAAAAACCACTAAGTGGTAACACTTTCCCCGCCAAGTCAGCAATCCAAAAAAGATAATAAATCATTACTTTTTCCGCCAAGAAAAACAATGTAATGTATGTAAGTTTGGCAACTTGGCGGCAGACTTTTGCTTGGTTTTTTTTCATTTAAGTTACGTTCGTGGATAATTTCACAAATCAACTTCTCTAATTAATTAGTCCAACTAAGTATAATAATTTCGAGGTAATCAGTAAATATAAAACCATCACTATTATGATTTTATGAAATGTGGCACAAATAAGGTCAAGTTTTGTAAAATAAGCTCTCACCTAGCAATGTACTAATGGGAGAGATACTTGCTCAATGAAACTAGTTTTATGGTATTTTTAAAGTGATCGAGCAAAAGTCTGCCGGCAAGTTGCCAAACTTACATACATTACATTGTTTTTCTTGGCGGAAAAAGTAATGATTTATTATCTTTTTTGGATTGCTGACTTGGCGGGGAAAGTGTTACCACTTAGTGGTTTTTTGTTAGATTTGATAATAAATGTTCAAAATACAATTTTTTTAAAGGTTTAAAAAAGTAATAGTTTAGTGGTTTCAAAGATTATAATGTAGTTTTAATAATCTCTATCAATTGTAATTCTATGAATTACAGTACTTTTGTCAAACCCATGAAATATCGGCAGTGTTTATAAATTATTATTTGTATTTACTGGTGTGTGTGCTAAATTTGTAATAGTTTTTACTGCTTTATGCACAGCAGTTTATTGATTCCTTTTTTTTATTGCAGATGAACTCAAGCAGTATTTACAACGGTATGGTGTCCATTACAGCCTTAACACAATTCTAAACATGCTGGAGCCAGAGGTTAGTATGGTTAACAGGTTACAATACAAAGCATTTAGTTATTAAAAGGGCAATGAACAAATACATACCATAAACTGAAATCTCATTATGTGAAAACAGCTGAAATATTTATCCTGCACAGCATAAACAGTGTTATTGTTTGAGTAATAAAAGGGTCTATAAACAAAAACAATACATAAACTGAAATCTCAATCAGTGAAAACAGCTGAAATATTTATCCTGTGCAGCAATGTTTGATTAACCCTTTGCCCCCGAATGGCCGGCAGTGCTGGCCACAGCTGTTTCTGAGTCAGCTTGTCATTGTTCGCGCAGCACCGTGCCTCTCAGGTAGTACGGCCAGCACTGCTGGCCATTGTGGTTTCTCTGTTAGGTTGGTCACCATTCTGCTAACCCAGCTACACCACGTTGTATCAAGTATTTTGTTTTTGTCAATAATAGTAAGGGATAAGGTTTTACACATTGAAACTAAAAATAATTTCAAATAAGAATTAATTTGAACTTGAACTCACAGACACAGCTGTTAATAATTAACACAGCTGTTATATAATTATTATATATATATGAATTTGGATGGTGTTTTCGGTCTAGGGACCTCAAAACAAAAAAGTAAATCGGTCCCGGGTTCAGGTCTCATCATGAGTACTACGGTAATAGCTTATTCCCTATATGGGAAATTCGCTAATATGAAAAACAAATTTAAAGTAGAACCCAACATGGATTTTCAGTAGTTTTAAATCTTATAAGCAAATAAGCTGTGAAGTTTCTCCTGTAAAAAGAAGAAAATACCCAAAGTAGGTACTATTTTTGTTACAAAATATTTTACTTCTGTTAGAGTACAAAAGATAAGACGATCCAAATTCTACTGGGAAAGTTCTACCAGGACAAACTCAAGGCTCCCAGCTCCATTCCTCCTCCACTCTTCAGACACCCTATCATATCCATAGATGGATTCTTCACACACGGTAACTACAAATTGGTTAGTGTATTGTGATCTTCTTGTAATTTAGGTATTATCAATAATAATACAGGGTGAGTTTCTACTGACGCCCATAACTTCGCCAGTGGATTCTAGTGATCATAAGGATAAAAAAGTTCAGATAAACCCTAGTCCCACTCCGAACCATTTGGTCGTGATTGAGAAATTTGTGTTTTCAAAAAAATATTCGACTTTGTCTCACAATTTACAATATAAAAATAAAACCAATTAACATAGTGATTTATATTTCAAAATTATTCGAAAGGGCATTAAATTTGCTATAAAACAAAGTTTACATGTAAAAATATTTCATTTCATACATCGGTTTCTAACCGAATTAAAATAGAAAATATGGTATATAATTTTTTAGGTTAAGCTTATAAAGACCATTTTTCTTACTTTATTCTGGTGCCACGCAATGTCCAACTAGATAAAAAACTTCCTCATTGAATAAGCTTTAAATTGATATGCAATTTTAAATTGTCGTAGGTAGAAATGACAGAAATCTACATAAAGATCCAATATTCAATTTTAAAAAATTTTATGGAAATCCAATATTGGATAGAAGGTTTTTTTTTGTCATAGAATGCTAGGCACGAGTCCGGAATTGTTTTTCACATTACTTCGCTTCAGGTTAAACCTAGGGGTTTCGGCATTATCACTTAGATAAAAGCCATTGGTGATTTGGCGGGATTTGAACCCGGGACGCTCTAACCACTAGAACAGCTCGCTCCCTCGATCTGGCTATCACTAGCTTTAGCTTAAGAAGATAAATCCCTCGCAATCAAGCATTTCAAATAGCTACTCTGGCTATTGGAGTGATTGACAGTGAAATGTGATATGGTAAATTTTCTCTATATTATATTTCAATGCGTGTTCCCAAAAACATCTGATTCCAAACTTAACTTCGATGTTCAACCATACCTAATCCTTTTCTCACATTTATTTTGGCAACATAATGTCGCCTTATTCAGATCATTGTCAAGAATGTGTGAAGCTTGTTATTCTTGTCAAAGATCTAAAGAAGGCAACAAGTTGGCCGAAACAATTAATTGTCATCCACTCATAGAGAAGGTTCGTCATAAATCACTAGACAGAATCAGGTGAAACTACCTTTTATTTATATCTTCTTTGAGTTCTACATCAATTGTATCCATTCGTACGACAACATTTGTGCAACTTAACCATACAAAATATATTTATTTTAATGTTGGTATTTGTAGGCAACACTGGGACACCAACCCAAAATCACTGCCTTGGGTTCACAGTTCGTCAGGGTACCGATTGAGCTACTAAATCACCAACATAAATTGAGTCTTGTTTTGATTGTTTAAATGGCTATTTTAATAAAATTATTGTAGCTAGGTATCTGGGAAAAGTCAGAGGCTTTTATAGTTCAAAATTGGACCCACCTTTCCTTGATCATTGGATGTTATTGAATAATCCTGACTAAAGAGCCAGCAAATCTTTGTCATTATATATTCTTCAACTCATTCAAAACGCATCTACTGGTATGTCAGTGTCATATACATCTAATCTAATCGAATTATGAAGGGAGAACCAAGGTGGCCAAGATGGTAGCATCTGCGCTGAACGGGCGTAGAATGCTGATGCCAACACGACACATTGCCAGGCTGAGGGGGTACATCACTGATGAGACACTGCGGAAACAATACTACGCTCTGGCCAAGTACATGGGGGCCAACATGGCAACACTGTACTGCCGTACTGCCCCTGTCATACTGGAGCGGTGAGTAAATACAGTGCTACAACTGTGTAGCTAAGTAGTTATAGTACTCGCCCTCAAATATGAAGTTTGTTGGTGTGATCCAGAGCGGATCAATTCTGAAACCTTATGTTCTTTGGCTTTGGACTATCAGCTAACGGATGCCATCCAACAAAAGGTCAGCGTGCAGTGGAATCAAGAGCTTGGTTTTAATTATCTCTGAAAAAATGTAAAATGCCAATTCAGAAATGCACAAACACTAATAAAATGAAACTAGCCGTCAACACACGCTGAAAGAGTGTGCTGACAATCTTTCTTTAATTTAAAAAGTAGCTAGTGTGCCATTTTAGATTAGTACCATACAAATGTCACCTATACCTACTGTATTTTAAAACTTAGCTACTGTATTAAGTCTTTGTGATTTGATTGTGTGTGTGTGTGTGTGTGTTTAGAAGTATGATATTTCTATCTTAATTTGCAGGTACTGGCATGATCAAGTTGCATACGTGATAGCTAAAAGCTTTGAAAGCAAAATTTCAAGTAACTCCAGTATATATGACTTCCCTAAGGATCTGCTTGTTCCCGATTTGATGTTTTTTGTGACTGGAGCTCTTGATCCGAAAGAGTACAACGAGTCAACAGTAGTGAATCATATCAATAACGAGATGGCTTTAAGGTAAGTTTTCAAAAAATCACTTTTTTATAATATTAATCTTATACAGCTTACATACTAAAAAACTTTTGCAAAACTTATGACAGCTAGCCTGGCCATACTACTGGACCAAATTACACGTGGTTGGTGCCAAATGAAAGATATATATCCTGTAGATGTGCAGAATTCCTTTATAAATATTAAAATAGGCAAAAAAACACAAAAAATTAATTTTAAATTTAAAAAAAGTTTATATAGGGCCTTATGGGTTGCCATGTTGGTGACAAAATAACAAAAAAAAATATAAACAGATACCCCCGCCGCAGCAAACCTGCAGACTAAGCAAATTTCCATTTGACTGATTGGATTTACACTGAAATGTCTACTTAAAAATATAACATTTATTCCCTATTTAAATATAATTATTTTAACAAGTACTTAGGTTTGTACTTAGGTTTGCTGCATCAGGGAGGGTAAAACTGTTTTTTTTTTGTAAAATTTTAATAGTTAGTAAGAAATAAAAACATTTTCCAAATTTGATCAAAATATGTTCATAAACAAGCAAACTACAACAGTTTACTTATTCTCCATAAGAATAACATGGGAATTTTAAATTTACTATTTTTTGGAATTTTCTCCGTAACCATTAGGCGCATAATAACGCTTCTATATACTAAATTATTTGTTTTTTTAAGCTCTACAAAATGGTTTGGAAAGAAATTGCTAAATTTTATGTTTTTTGGGTCAAAAATGGGAAAAACCTATTTTTACCCCATAAAACCCCCCGTAAACCCCCGTTCTCATGGTCCGATCATGCTGGATCGCAAACTCGTTCGAATAAACGTAGGTTTACACGTTTGTACCAAATTTCATCAAAATCGGATCATTTTTGCTCGAGTTATCGTGCTGACGGACACATATACAGGGTGAGTTTTAATTGTCCCCCCCCCCCAACTTTTTTCTACATTTTTTCAAATATCAATCCCAGACCACTTCCAAACATTGTTGGGTAGTAAGTACTTCATTTTGACAAGGTGGCCATTTCCGGCCGCCATCTTGGATCCGCCATATTGGATGCAAAATTTTTTTTCAAATGTAAAGGTGGGGTTGTGACCCATTATTTCGAACTAAATTTTTACCCTGATTACAATGCCGCAAACCGTTTAAAAAAATCTTGATTCATTCTAAAGTTATGAGGGCTTTTTAAAACTTTATTTTTAGCCCATTTTAACATTGTGCATTTACAAACTAAGACCATAATCTCAAAATAGTGCTAGATAAAGATAAGTATACACTACCAGTAATTGTCGACCTATTTTCACTTGGTTATGACTGATGTATTTTTTTCGGCCGCCATCTTGGATCCGCCATTTTGAAATGTGATAAATTATTTTAAATATGAAGGGGGCGTTGTGACCCATCATTTCGAACTACTTTTTTAAGCTAAACTTAATTCCATGATCCGTTTTTCATTTTCATTTTTTGATTTTGAAATATTGTCATTTTTAACAAAAAAATTTCAATATTTCATAAATAAAACTTGATAACAAAAAATGGATTGCGGCATTGTCTTCAGCTTAAAAAAGTAGTTCGAAATGATGGGTCACAACACCCCCTTCATATTTAAAATAGTTTATCACATTTCAAAATGGCGGACCCAAGATGGCGGCCGAAAAAAATACATCAGTCATAACCAAGTGAAAATAGGTCGACAATTACTAGTAGTGTATACTTATCTTTATCTAGCACTATTTTGAGATTATGGTCTTAGTTTGTAAATGCACAATGTTAAAATGGGCTAAAAATAAAGTTTTAAAAAGCCCTCATAACTTTAGAATGAATCAAGATTTTTTTAAACGGTTTGCGGCATTGTAATCAGGGTAAAAATTTAGTTCGAAATAATGGGTCACAACCCCACCTTTACATTTGAAAAAAAAATTTTGCATCCAATATGGCGGATCCAAGATGGCGGCCGGAAATGGCCACCTTGTCAAAATGAAGTACTTACTACCCAACAATGTTTGGAAGTGGTCTGGGATTGATATTTGAAAAAATGTAGAAAAAAGTTGGGGGGGGGGACAATTAAAACTCACCCTGTATATATATATATATATATAAATATATAAATATATAAATATATATATATATATATATATGAATTTGAACGGATGGTGTTTTTGGCCTCTAGGGACCTCAAAACTAAAAAAAAATCGGTCCCGCGTCCAGGTCTTACCATGAGTACTACGGTAATAGCTTATTCCCTATATGGGAAATTCGCTAAAAATAAAAAAAAAGTTGAAGAAATTCCAATTACATGTTATTTTATTTACAGCGTGGGGTGAAAATAGAGAAGTTTGCACAATACGTACTTTTGGTCGAGTTTTTGACCACGGGGCTTGCACTATTATAGAACTAAAAAACATTTAAATTTTATATATTTTATTGATTATCAAAAGAAATTGTCATAAATAAAACTAAAGTGTACAGTATAGTTTCAACAACAATGTTAAATAACATTTTTTAAAGAAAAAAAGAATCTGGACCGGTTTCAACTAACTTTCAAACACCCATGCAAACCCATATTGGTTCATTCTGGCTTATTTGATATGTTACACTAGAATGTAATAATGACTTCTATTTAAATTAAGAAGTTTTAATTTTGAATTTAAAAAACAATGGCACTGTAGACTGTTGTCCCTTCTAACACAATGTCGTGCCGAGACAAAAGTGGTACAGTACCACCACCACCACTGTTGGCTAACCGAAACAGCTGTTGCACTAATTTATAATGTACAGTATAGGCTATTTTTACGTTTTACTTTTGTTCTGTTAACCTGGTCTGCAACTACCGGCTATTGCCTGTACCTGGCAACATAGCCTGTTGCAATGGGCATGCCATTGTCAAGTTGCCACAGAACCAACACCGCCTTGTATCGGAGGAGACTGTGCTGTTATGGACTAAGATATCAAGATCAAGTCCACCGTCTTATAAAGAAGAAGAAATGTATTATTACATTGCTATTTTAAAATAAATATTTTGGTTGATTATTGTTTTGTTATAATTTTATGTTTAATGAATTAGTAATATAAATCAAATAGATTGTGTGTGGTTTTCAGGATTGCCGAAGCTTCAAGAAAAATCAGACCAAAACCAATAGAAATCGGTCCACCGAGCCTTCCTTCAACAATGGTTAAAAAAATATTGGCTGTAGTGGATCAGTTCAGACACAGATTCTTGTCCAAGCCTCTACATAGACCTAACTGGCGAAACAACTGACAGCTGTTCCATTTTTTTATTTCACTACTAAACATATGGTACCTCATGGCATTGAATTCAAATATTGAAGTAGACATCTCAGCTTCATGACACGCTGTAGCCAATCTTATAATACAATTTAACATGGATAGTTAAGCCACTCATTGAGTATGCTACAGTGGTAATTCTGGTTTCTCCCTTAGTTTTGGGTTTACGGTATTGGATATGGCATAAAAGATGCTTTAGTTTGCAATATGTTACAACATACTGACTCAGAATATGACTCAGAATATTGTACAAGCTCTCTTTTAGTTTTGGTTAAAAAGACTGTGTATTTGACAGAAAACAGAAATTGTCATCAGACTTATGGACAACATTGCTAAATATCTCATAAATTAAAAATAAATATAGAAAGCCATAACGCCCGTAACTAATTTTATGTTTGAAAACTGTATGTTACTCTAAGTTTTGTATTCTGTAATAAAAAATATTCAAAATGAGTCATAGGTGTTGTTTTATTTCTTTTAAATGGGCTCCTAATAGTCAATGCTACTGCTAAATAAATATTTTTAATTACTTTGTATACAAACTTTGTACAACTGAGCTCTCAGAAAATTGTCAATTTCCAATTTAGCTAAACTTATGATTTTGCCTGTCCTAAAAATTAACTTACATCCCTTAAGCCGGGTTTACACTATGTAGCAAAATCTGCTATATAGCAGATTTGTGTAACATCTAGCAATGTTATATAACATTTGCTAGAAGTATAAAAAGTAACTTTTCAAAAGTGCTATATATAGCAGATTCTGCTATATATAGCAAAAATTGTGCTCTCCATTGGGATTTGGTAAAGATCAAAAGAAACAATAACACACAACAATAAACACAAACAAACAAATGAAGATTCTGTTAAGCTCAGCTTTACGGTTTGGTTTTGTCTCAATCATGAATGTTGTGGGTGAACTCGAAAATGCCACTTTTGGTACTTGTAGTGGAATACTTGGTGTTTATAGATGCCAAGCAGAAAAGAGCAATTAGATGCCTACCAAGGACCAAGAAAGCTGTTGAGGGTCTTCAGACGTTAAAATTCTCTTTGCAATCTTATTATACATGTGATTGAATCCTATTTCTGCAATCACAGCACACCAGCCAAGACATCAGGACACACCAGCACAACACATGGAATACTTCAAATTTTGCCTGCCCCTGCAACACAGTCAGTTTTAAAAGAAACCAGCATTCAATGGAGCTTTTTACAACCATTTGCCTGGACAGCTTAAAGAGACAACCACTAACACACCTCAAGAACCAACTACAATTATGGCTACAGCACAGACCATACTATCGGAAACCGAATTCCTGAACAACAGCGCCAAAGGAGCTACAAAAAATTAAAACTAAAGAAAAAATCCATAATACTGTACTTGTGTAATTGTAAGGTTCATTATTATTATTGTTGATGCCTCTATTATTGTCAAGGAATATAATAATAAATCTTAATAATAATAAAAATATCATGATCATCATCATTATGAGATAGGAACGCCACCTAGGTGTGTATTTTAACCCAAATATAATTGAAGGATGAATGTAGATTGTTGTGAGATGTGTAGCTTTATTACTGACTAAATCAGCTGTTTCAAAAGCCATCAGGATCATTTATTTAAAGCCTATTTATTTATTATTTATTTATTTATCAGGGACAGCTGGGTCCAGTTTCAAACCATCAAAAAGCTACTCACTTTTCTTAGGATCGAACCTGCAACCTTTTGATCAATAATTGTAGTCAATAAAGAAATATTTGTTATTGTCTATTGTGCTATTGTATTAAGTAGACATCCACTCAAGAAGTGATTCTAAGTTTAATGGCACAACTAAACTGATAAAGCTGTAAGCAGTTTACAGTAAATGATTAAAAGATTACAAGTGATGCAGAACTACTGAAATATCAGAAATCCAGATTACGCTTAAATATTCTTTGTAAATATACAGAAATTAGGATCTCTTCTTAACTTTTTTATCTTTAGCCAATAATGTGTTGCCACGAATTTGTTTTAACAACTTTTGTTATTTATAATCATATTGTATACCGCTCTCAAGCTCAAAGTTTAGAGGGTTTCAAAGATGAAAATAATTCAACTCAAGAAAAATCAGAAGCAGAACCTCTACAATTGGATGTATTTTCAGAAGAACAGAACCAACTGGATTCATCTGAAAATTTAAGTGAGTAAAATAACCTTAAAAAGATAAGTTAGATATTTTGCGATGGATCTATCAAAAATATATTATTTAAATCTACATACCAATCAATTTGCAAGTAGATGCTAATGACTTAATGAAACATTACTTACTTACTTACTTACTTACTCCTGTGGCCACACAAATCCCAAGTGATTTTTGGCCTCGCCAACAATGCTCCTCCACTGCTGCCTATCTTCTGCTGCCTCCAAACTTGCTCCTAACCTCCTGAGGTCCTGCCTCACTTGGTCATTCCATCTTAATCTGGGTCGTCCCAGCGGCCGTCGTCCTTCTGGTTGCCCCATCCATACCTTCTTAATCATACTGTTATCATCTCTTCTATATACATGTCCCAGCCATCGTAATCTTCTGCTCTTTACCATTGCTATGATATCTGGGTCATTAAAAAGTTCTCTTAATTCTTGGTTCTTCCTTATCCGCCATTCACCATTGTCATTAATAGGACCAAACACTCTACGTAAGATTTTATTTTCAAAAACTATCAATTTCTTTTCATTTTGCTTTGTAAGTGTCCAGACTTCTGCTCCATATAGTAGAACTGGTTGTATTATTACTTTATACATCTTTATTTTAGTTCTTCTGGTCAGGAGTCTACTTCTAAATAGTTTTGTTAGACTCCAATAGCACCGTTGAGCTGCTGCTAATCTACATTGGATTTCGTCGTCTTGTCTGCTTTCACTTGTTATTGTCACTCCCAGATATTTAAAATTGTCAGTTTTTGTGAATTTAAAATTTAAGACTTCCAAGTATGGTTGGTTATCAGGTAGTCTACTTATCTTCATTATCTTAGTTTTCTCTTCATTTATTTTTAATCCCACTTTTTGTGTTTCAGTGATTAGCTTTTCTACTAGCTCCTTTATATCTTTTTTATTTTCTGCTATTAGTGCCACATCGTCTGCAAATGCTAGAACGTTTGTCTTCCCGCTAATCTTTGCACCTCCCTGAAGACTGCTCACCTCTCTCAGCGCTTCTTCAATGACTATATTAAATAATAATGGGGATAGTGCATCGCCTTGTCTTAGTCCTGAAATATTAAGTAATATGAAACATTAAGTAAATAAAAAGCAAACTATTGTAATTAATGCTTTGCTATAGTTCTAGATATTGTGCTATTGATATTTTATTTTCCTTTATATTATAAATTTAAAAATAAGAAATTCACGTTGTCCTACACCGTTTGATTTTTCGTCTCACATCTCACAGCAAAAATCTGCTTACTTTTTAAATATTAGTCTTTTTGAAATGGAATTTAAAGTAAAATGTCATAAAATCCAGAGAACAGAGTTTAAAGTACACATAGGCACAGGCTTCCATACTTAAACAGCTGTATTTTACGTTTAGAGAAATATTAATTTTATCTAAAGAAAAAAATAATATATTTCATAGTACCTTTAACTATTGATATTCAGTTTCTAATAGTCTATGATAGTACTTAATAGTTAGCCAAATATGCATCAATTAATTTTAAAACTAATTCAAGTGTCAAATACTTCACATGCTGGAAATATAGTTGCCTTAATATTTTTTTAAAATTAATTCAATATTGTACTGTACTTGTGTTTTCTGTTGACAGCACAATCAACAGAAAGTTTGTTTGGAGAGTTAAGAGCAAAGGGCTTATATTACAACTTTCAAAATATTTTACACGATATAAATATTAATAAGGTATGCCTAACTAAGATTGTTCATTTTATAAGATAGACGTTTGGTCATATTGTTGCTAAGTTTTAAAATTTTTATAAAAAACTGAAATAAGTACGTAAGGTTATAAACTGTAAAAGCAAAAGAAAATAATATTCCTGTGGTGACAAACTTTTAAGAGTAAAACCATAGCCTCCTCTAGTAAATAGCCGCAGCGTTGATGTGTGGCAACATTTGAACCCGAGTTTAAATCCCACCAAATTACCAGTATAAAACATTTTTATTATTGTCCTAAGACGATAGGCACAAACTGGGATTTGTTTTGCACATTACTTCAAGCTAGATCTAGGGGTTGCGGCAATATCACTTAGATAAAATCCATTGTTGATTTGGCGTGATTTGAACCCGGGACCTTAGGGACTGATGTTCCGTGCTCTAACCACTAGACCAGCTTGCTCCCCAAATTAGACCCCTCGCCCGTAAAATTCCAGTGGATTTTATCTAAGTGATAATGTTCCTAGGTCTTGCATAGTGTAATGTAAAAAGCTATCCGAGACTAGTGCCTCACGACCTAGGACAAAATAAAACGTCGCACCGGCTAGTCTGTTGCTATTGTAATAACGGTAATAAAAAACATGTAAACATTAACATTTCGCATATGCTTCTTTATAAATTATGTAACAGCTGTTTTGGTTTGCCGGGACAGCAATGTTGCCACTTTTGTTTCTCCACGACTTGTAAGAGGATCGAGGCTATGGTGAAATGCTTCATTTAAAGGAGGTACTTAATGTATCCAGATTGATTTTTTACCTGTAGAGAACATTGTTGAATACGACTCTCTTAAGTTTGCTCCTATTAGCAACCTAGGCTCTCTTTTAGTTCGTATACAGTACCTTGATACTCGATGGGGGCTTAAAAGATATTGCTTACAGTAACGATTCTTGAGTGTAACAGACTACCATAAAATTATATATAAAAATATGTATTTAATCCTTACCGTCTTCGCAATCAGAAATGATACTGCACTGTGGCCGTTTAGGGTATTACTCCACTGCCGGGTGCATAGAAATTTGTCTTTCAGTTTGGCATGCTTAAACATTTAGTGTAAAATAAAACAGAACTCAGATGAACACACTCAGTCTTTAGCACTGTTGGTGAAACACCAAAGGTGAACAGTTTGCAAACTACCCAAGTTGAAAGACATAAATTTATATGCATTCGAGTACCGTTAACGGAACCATTGTTCTTTTGTAAATACAGTTATACAAATCAGAAAATACAGGATGAATATGATAAACAATTTATTTAAAAATAAGACATCCATGATAGATAGCATCCTCCATAATCCAAAGCTGTAGTTTAGATTTGATCTTTTACTGGTGATGTTGAAGTACACCTCTAATGTATCTGTTTTAGTTGAAAACAGGGTTGGTAGACCTGATGCATGTGCATAACAGGTCAGAATGGATTTACAATACAAGGAAAGAGTATCAAGCGAGAGATCGAATACAAAAGAAGAAGAGGATGATATTCATCAATGTAGAATCTGTGTACAACTCAAGTGAGTAGAATGATTAAATATTTCTAAGAAAAAAATTATAAACTATGCAGTATGAAAAACATTAAGTGATATGTTATATAGAATATGCAATATGATTTGTGGTTACATAATTTTAGCAGTTATTTTGTTCTGCTTTGCCAATAGCATGTAAGCAAACAGGTCAAGCGTTTAGCGATGTTTGGGGCAAATAACTGTTGTATTCCTCCATTGTACTGTATTGTAGTTCACTGAATTTGTCCACATTAGATTACATTTTAGATAATACCCATTCTTTTTGGTATTAACATCTGATGGATAGGGTATCGTTCAGTTTAGGCAGGAGTTGAGTCACCAAAAGTACAAGAGGGCGAGAGAGCTCATGTTTTCTTTGCTCAAATTATAATCCAACAATTTTGTCAAATAACAAAACAACAAAAAACAATTTCACTTATATTCTTGTTTAACTACGTCTTACTGTATTACTTTTATTGATTAATTTACTATTAATGTTTATTGTTACTTTATCTTAAATCTTTCATGATTTGCTCTGTTTTCATCTAATGATTAAACTTAAAAATTTATCTATATTATCCATCACTAACTGAGCATATAACTCATGACCTTGCAGAAAGAGAAATGATTACAAAGGCGGTAGCAAGGCGATTGAGAGGTCGACATATGACAACGCCCCCGAAGTTCATGAGGGATATCCGCCTCATCATAGGCACTGGCGCGGCGAGGCGATTGTACTACTCTCTGACTAAATACTCAACAGCCAACCATGTGAGGCAGGTGCTGAGTACTCATGCTGTGGTGCTTGAGAGGTAATGCAAATTCCTTATCTAACAAGAGTTAACAGGTTTGATTCCCAGCATTCCCCAAAATTTATGAAGTTTGGACTGCTTTCTCTTCAATGCATTCTGTGTTCTGCTAACAAAAAAGCATTGGTGTGAATAATCAGAATTTTGTTTATATAAGTAATTGAGTGAAAATTTAAAAACGTACGTTTTCAGGAAAAGCACTTTTAACATTTTTTGTTCCGTTTTTTGAAACTTTTTTGATTATTTTATTTCATTGACATTTGAAGTTTCATAAAATGTCCATGGTAACGCAATATCTTTGGTGATTTTTTATTAATAGAGCATCTTTGATGGAAAACACAAAATAGGCGATTCGCCTATTGGGTCTGATGATGATTGGAGTGTCCAATCGAAATCGATCACCACTTACCAACTTTTACATGTATTTACCGTCTTGTAAGTCAACAGTATAAGTGTAAATATATTATTGCAAGTGTTATTAGACGTATATATTTCTGTATTTTCAGGTAATAAAATTATAATATGCTCCTTTTTTGTAAGTTTAATAAATATTGATGACATAAAAATATGGCTTTATATATTTCAGCATGAATAATTTGTCTAAAAACAGCGTGAAAGTTGGAAAATGTACCCTAGGGACACGTCATGGTCGTGAATTTCGATACTTTAAAAATACAAAAAAAAATACCTAGAACCTATTTAAAACCAAATAAATGTGTGTAACATGTTGCCCCCGTCCCAAAAATTATTAAAGCACATAATAATGAACTAAAAATCCAGTGGTATCTACGAAGTAAAAGGCCAGGGACATGAAAACGTACGTTTTTAAATTTTCACTCAATTCTGTGATACACCTTGATGAAAGTAAAGCCTAAAAACTAAAGATACCCACCATTACCTACCATTTAGTAAAAAGTACCTAAGGCAGCAAGGCCAGTTAACTGGTCATCAGATATCCAACACTCTAGTTTTTTTAATGTACAGTTTGGGATTTTTCTTAGAATAAATCTTACTATAGTTGGAAACAGCACACTAAATGCTGCTGTTTTTCATTTATGGCCCCACAGATTTGCATGTAATGCGCTATGAGCCTGAGGGATAATTGCGCTCCTCTCCACCTACCTTGTGGGGGAATTTTTCTCTTCCTTGTGCCTCCAACAAACTTAAACCCTCATGTGCCCCTGGGCCCGGGCCCACTATTTATTAAAGCAACACTACCACCACTAGCACTACTACTACCACTAAACTACTTGTAGCCCTTTACACAAATCTACAGTATTTTTACTTAAGTTATCTTACAAAACCTGATGCTTTAGAGTCTAGTAACTCCTACAGTTAATCCACATATTTCGTTTGGAATTTACTGGGATTGTTTTGAAAGCATTCTGCATTATTTGAAAAAGTGAAAGATATTTGATATGTAGTCTTTGTTGTTTCAGATACTGGCTTCATCACGCTGCTTTCTCAATCGGCAAACATTTCAACACTACGGAAGAACTCCCACCTCTAGGCCATCCAATTTACAAATGGCCCTCGGACCTTTTAGTTCCAGATGTCCTATTCTTCATAAACGCAACCAAAACTCCTTATGCTCTAGGATTCAACCAACCTTACACTGATTTCACAGACAGGTTGAGTACCAATTATTATTATTGACATAGTAATAACCTTTTTATTTCAAATTTTCTATGTAGCAACACCGTAACAACTTACTTTTGTATCGTGAGTACAACAGTGATGTTTTTTTGTGTACATGGATAGGTTATTCTGTAAGAAATGCTAATGTGGACAAAGTCTCATAGCCACTCTTGAGGTTCACCTATAATTACTTTTAAAGCCATAGCCCAGGAAAACTCAGATGATATATTGAGCTTGAAAACTGTATCGTTCAGCAAATGTGTGGCAAAGAATATGACAAGAATAGTAATAATAAACCAAAAGGTGGAGCAGTAAAAAATCTTAATAACTACTTTGATAAAAATCCAATGGAAAAATACAATTACTTTGGCCTTATTGGCTATGGTACCTCCAATGAGACTTTCTTTCCCAAACAAGCAACTAATCACAAAACAAACTCTGTATTTTACTCTGCACGAGTGTGTGTCGCCTTCTTACAGTAATGAATAATAATACTAGCCTTGTTTACTCACCTTCCTAAAAGTATTCAACATTATTTTAAATATTTTAACATTATTTACTGTAATATAATTTTCCCTTTTCAGGTTAATCGAAGTATACAGAAGGGCCGAGGGGGTCAAAGTGGTTGAATTAAACCCAAACAGGAACTACCCGAACATTGTAAGACAGATAATAAACTATGTGGTGGAAAATTACAGACATCATCCAGACATACATGTACCAGATTTTGATGTTCAGCTCAACGTACAAGCAGTTGATATGTTGAACAATAGATAACATTGCCATAACAATGTATTCTTTAATTTACCTTATATGTTTGAGCGTAGTATGATTCACTAGCCAAAGTATTATGTAAGCTCTTTGACACCCTCTCCAGTTCCAGCTTATTGGTATATGTTATGGACACAGTACCAGTTACCAGAGATATGTAATTTAAAATATCTAAGGTCAAGTGAACTCTGTGAGAGTTAACTTAAAAAAAATTAAAAATTGCAGATCTTTAATTTAAAATAAGCATTGCTCTGCCTTATAAAGGTCAAATGGTCAGTGTAAGATTCATAGTCTGAGTTTCACCCCCACTTGAATTTTTAGCAGTTGAACCTAGTTATAAAGTTAAAACAGGTGTGAATCTTGTTAAGAAAGCCCAGTAAGCGTACTGATATGTGGCTCTTCAGGTGGGAGGGCCCACCTGTATGGGTGGGGGGAAGTTAACAGGATCAGTGAGCTAAGGATATAAAGCTCACAACACATATTTTGCTTCTTTTTACACTTGTGTAGAAACAAATGACACAGAATTTTTGTTACCGTTATTTTGGTTGAATATGAAAATAAAACTAAACAACATTAAGAAAATTATATTGATAAACAAATCGTAAAAAATCCTACCTCAATGGATTATACGATAAACTCTATGTTAAGGAATTGTTTAACTTGAAGGATTTTAATAGCAGTGGATAGTTATACAAGACAGAACTGATAGAAATATCTTATTGGTCTGAACTTACAATACAATTACCATTACCAGTTTGAATTATTAGGTCTTTATAAAATTTACAGATAATAGATAAAAGCACTTATAACAGCTTTTATTTCATTAAAATGTAAATAAAAAGCTAGTCTACATAAAGACTAATTTTTTTGCCAAGCTGCAAAGAGCTCATATACATTGGTGAAAGGCTTCTTTTTAATCTTTATTGTTACAGTCCAATAATACATTTTTCATCATACTGTCCGGAATACAGCCATTTTTAGTTCTCTAAATCATCCACAAAATCATTGTTTTTGGGTAACTTCAAATAGGGAACAGAAACAAATTATCATAAATTTTTCGGTTCGCTAACCTTAAAGTTTGTTTATGGTACATTATAATGTTGTATACAATTTGAAACACTCATTATGAAAACACTGCTATCACTCAATATTTTGAGTTATGATTGTAAACAATAAAATGTAAACATTGATGACGACATTGTATAACTTCAAATTATGTGATCTAATTTTGTAACATTTAGAAGCTAGAAGGTTATTTCTACAGTATCATGAAAATATTTGTTCATCACATGGAGCAAACGTCTCTTTTTGGTACTAAGGCCTAATCATATTTCCTTGTCTATCAAAAAGAAAAAGAGCCACTTTCGCTCCTAGTGATGAAATAGACTATTTGAACAAGCATTAGACAAAGTGATAACACCTCTGACCTCAACATATATGGTTAAATCATAACTTATGTTTGTAGGGAGCACAATCAATAACATTAATTGTTTACAATAGCATTTAATTGACCTACTTACTTATTAAATTACACACAAATATTTATGGTGATGACAGTAATAGTTCTATTTTATTGCTTCAGGTAGATATTATTATAAGTTTCTGAATGTTACGTATAAATTTCTTTAGATGACAATAAGTGAACCAGTGTTTGCATTTTAAAGAGTCAAATTCAGTCGAATATAAATAAAACACATAAAAAGTACAGCACTAAGGCTAGAAATGACATTGTGTTATAGACTACTCTTATTTGTAAACAATTTCAATGTGTCAATTGTACTAAAAACTATTAGTCAGTATAACAATCATTTAGAAAGATCTAGTGAATGTTTGTCTTACATTAACAGCATGCTTAAGACGATTCAGATGGTTTGAATGATAATACATATTTTATTGGTGAGAAGAGCTCTAACAGTCTTCTACATAGTCTGTGTACAAAATGGAGCTGAAATGGGTTTGAGAAAGTTTGTAAATTATGACATTATTTAAAATCGTGAAAGAACTTACTCTAGTAAAATGTATAACAATGATATTCTTCTTGATTGTGAACTTTTTCGCGCCTTCCCACCCTGATGAATTGAAAGGTAGTTAGTTAATAATTTACATTAGGACCATTAATTAATTGAAGTACTCAGGCAGTATAAGTTCAAAAATGTTTTTTTTTTAATTCCGATTTGTTGTTATATTTTTTTCAATGGAGTCTGATTGGTTTGCTAAACACTACAGACAATAACCCCCCTAACAAAGATAAAAGTATTCACCTTCTCCTAAAAATTTACCTTTACTATTCATCATGAATTTCATCTAATCCTCCCATTCAACCCAATGGGTAATTCATTAATTTCTAGCATGTTTTTACTTATTTTCTGATTTATGAATTTACAAATTCAAACTCCCAGAAAACAAGTTTTTAGTGGAATTGTAACATAAAGTAGTAAAATGCCTGCTGAGAGGGACAATTAACATCAAACCCCATCCAACACACAAACTTTTACAATTGACTTCTGTGTATAGTCAATGCTTTTACTGTGCAAGCTAAATTGTTCACGGTATTGTTTTTTTTTACAGAGTTAGGATTCAAGAAAAGTGTTAAGTTTGGAGTTTTTTATTCATTACAAACGATTCTGGATACTCTTGATGAAAAACGAGTAAGTAAACCACACTTTTCTAAGTGATCCTTTGACTTTAACTACAAGTTAACATTTTTTTGAGGTCTAATTATTAATATAACTTATAGTATATATTTGGACATTTATCACCAGGTTTTTGCTACAAATTATTGTTAAAAAACTGTATATTAAGTATATTTAGAATATTTTTACGAATATAGATATTATGAGGCTTTTATTGTAAATGCATGAGACTAATGACAGCAGAGGCATTTATGATAAATAATAATAAGCTTTAGTGATTCAACATTCCAAATTTCTTAAAACATCAATCTTATATACTAAAAAACCTTTGCAAAACTTATGACAGCTAGCCTGACCATAGACTACTATTGGACCAAATTACACGCAGTTGGTACCAAATGAAAGATATTTTCCTGTAGATGTGCAGAATCCCTTTATAAATTAAAATAGGCTCAAAAATAAGCATACAAATTTAATTTTAAATTTAAAAAAAAATACATGGGCCATATGGGTTGCCATGTTGATGACGAAATAATAACACAAACATGTAAGCAGAAAATCAAAACAAATTAAAGAAATTCCAATCACATGTTTTATTTACAGTGTGGGTTGAAAATAGAGAAGTTTGCTCAATACATTATTTTGGTCTAGTTTTCGACCACGAGGCGAGCTCTCGTATACACTTAAATATATTTTTTTAATAATATCATACTACAGACTACTGTATGATAACGAACTGTCTCACAATGAAGGTTAACATTGAAGATTCAAATTTCTTAAAAATTCTTTCTTATTATGATTATTGATTACAAAAAAGTAAATACAGTAGACTACCACTAGGAAGGGGGAAATAATAACATCTACTTGCATTGACCATAATAATATGGATTTTAACTCTGTTTGCAGTTTAACTCACACATTAGACTACAGTCTAAATTATATATATATATTGCTATTATATGACAAAATTTCCCTAATCTGAATTGAATTGAGTTTCAATTGCTTTGGATTTGAAAAAAATTACATTTTTGTATTATTTATTTTTTTACTTTTTAATCTATGTGTGCTTTATAAGTCAGTGTTTATACTTTTATAAACTGAATTCATTTATAGTTCCAAGCTAAGCCGAGAGTACACCAGTTGTTGACGACGTTTGAGCGCCACTGCCGGCCTCAAAGTGACAAACCCCTCACACCGCGGCGACCCTACCCCTTCATTGTCATTGAAGGAGCCCAAAGAACTGGTGAGGATGTATCACATATTGTGTACAGAGCAGCTGGTTGGAGGTAGCTTATAACAGGATTGGAATGTAGACTTTGTGTCCCTAAAAAGTGATTGCAAATACAAAATTAAATATTCAGATGAGTTAGATTAAAGATCTTAGTCTGATTGTTAGAAAAATATCATGAAGAAGAAAGATTTCCTCTCGTCCGGTTGAAAACAATCTTATTGACAGTGATATACTCGTTTTGTCACTTTTTTGTGCATAGAGTAAATTGGTGTTCCTTTTGCTAGATTGGTTGTTTTCCAATTCACAAAAGCTTGCTATTCTCAGAAAAATACATCTTAAAGCAGAATTTCATGACATTATTAAGGTATTAAAACTGTTACCGTATGCTCAAATATACTCAGATTTGGGGACGTGTTGGTCTAATATTGTTGGGTTCAGAATTCTTTTCAGAAGACTTGGGATAAAATCCCACCAATAACCAATAACTTTTAGCTTTTAGCTATTGTGATGATTCTGTGTGAATAGTTGTATTTAGTAAAACACTTTTTTCTATATATCTAATGATGTTATCAAGCCCACCTCTTGCTAGCAATATTTGTTAATAGTATATTTCATAACAAGAGTAGAAAGTGAGTCAGTCCCATGCTTGAAGTGCGAGATTTATCGAGCACTTTATTTGGTCGAGAATATGTATAGACCCACTTTCACTCGTGTTTTGAAAGTTGCTTTTCGCTACACTACAAAGACTAATATTATTTTCTTAATTAAAACAGACATTGGATATTTCTTTATTTTACGTTATGCCTTCAGTTTAAAGTTACCGTAATATTTACTTTGGTTGTATGGTTTTGGTTGTTGAAAATTGAAACATTTGACAAAACAATAACAAATCTTTGTTTGTTTACGTCGACAAAATCCAAAAAAGATAGTAAAAATTACTTTCACATAGTAAACATTTTTTTTTTGCGTAACTGGAAATGTAGGCCTACTCACTCCCTGTAAAACAACAGTTCATGTTATAGTTTTAGTTATGATGTTAATACATTGTACCAAAACAATTTAATTTCCAGGTAGACGGATCCTAGGCAAAACACTTGCCAAAAGTATCGGTGCCAAAGTCGTAGGAGGAGTTCCTAGATGTATGATAAAACTGAGGCATGAGTTTGAAGACGAGAGTGATTTAAAAAGATTATTCTTCGGGCTTTGCAACTACGTTACGGCGTTCAATGTACGACACATGTTAGAACATATGCCCGTAGTGCTGATTGGGTGAGTAGCTTTGGTGTAAGAAAATTATTGTTATAGCTTAAGTCAGTAGTTTGTTTACTATTCAAAACTGGGCCCAGCTCTCCTTCATAGTTGAATTTCTAACAAATTGTCCTTGGTCATTAAAAACTACTCAGGTGTCCTACTTTATCCAACACATACAATTAGGTGGAAAAATTCCCAGAAGCGCCTACATCTTAGTTGGCATTACATTTCTATTTTGTTATAAATGGTTCACTCTACAACTGGTAATCCTTCCACAGATACTGGATGGACCAAGCAACCTTCAACATAGCAAAAGAGTGTGCTGAAGAGCTTCCTCCTTCATCCTCCTTTATCTACCAGTTCCCAGCTGATCTGCTCAAACCCGATCTGGTGTTCTACTTGAACACTCCCAGGGAGGAAACAGCTAACTTTGCAGATCTGGAGTTCAACAAAAGGTGAAACAAAACGTCTTGTTTTGATTGAAATTCATAACAGAGTAATTTTGTACAGTAGTCTTTGTTATTTTGCTTTTGTTACTTTTATGAGATGGAAACACAACCAAGACGAGTTTTAACTCAAATATCAGGCGTATAGGATGAGTGATATTTGTTGTGTAGCTTGTAGCTGTGTTGCTAAGATCAACTGTTTTTTTTTTTATTGCTTAATGAACTGGGGCAGCTGGGTCTAGTTTTCCACCAAAATAGCTTCTTACATCAGGATCAAACCTTCTGATAGCTTAGATTGAGGATAGACTACCCACTGAACTACCCAACCATATAACCAATGCTGTGACTCAACAAATTATTTTACTGGCTGGGTAGCAAAGGAGATTACAGTATATCTGAATATTACCAGTTCAACTCTAGAGAAGATTAGTTCTAGACACAATTTCCATTTTCCATTTGGTCATTTATTAATTAACTTATAATCAAGCCAGGGATTAGCAATAGCACCCTGAGCATTAAACAGCTTTTGCTCCCCAGAAAGGGAGGTCCTTTTCCTATCCCCCCCCTCCCCCCAAGAAGGGAGGTCAGCGGCCCTTCCCTAAAAACTTTTGAAATGATAGTAACTGAACTCGAGTTTGCACACTACAGTTTTAATATACAGTTTTATTTATTTTTTTATTTTTTTTTTTTTTATTTAAGGCCCGTACAAATTTGACGCTATTGGCTATAGAATCAGATTCAAAATAATCATGTTTGGCCAAAAACAAAAAATAGCCGGTAACTCTTATTGAAATATATATGGGTGGTTCATGGTTCCCACACAGGTGATCCATGAGTGTGGGGAACAAATTACCATCAGCCACTAAAAGATAGTCTGATCACCTATGTAGCTATACTCAGTTCACAAAATGTAGGTGGTTTGAGGGGAAGCGATTCTATCCCATCCACCTCATCCCAACTTTGAAACAACAGCCTACAGCTGATCAGCTCATGTATAGCTAAACAAGTGGTAGGGGAACGAAGGCAACCTTCCCCTTAAAGCCCCTTATTTTTTGTGAACGTACTATATAACATAATACAACTATTCAACTTACTTAGATTATTAAAAAACAGAAAAATCTCATCAGGGATCAACAATTGAATAGTTTAATAATTCAAAATATTAATAAAGGAAATATTTAAAAAAATCCATACCTAATAATTTTCAGCAATTTCACAAATTAACCAAAAGATTCCAATGATACTGAATCCATTCATACAACCATTACACATTAGTCTACAGAGACAAACTTATTTTCCAAACATACATAATTAGCCCCGCAGTAGTTGACTTGCTACAAAAATAAACTGAAGGTCCAAAAAATATGTGAACGCAAAAGTATCATGGTAATCGGATCGCCTTTAAAATGAAAATATAGGTAGTATTTGTCACCTATTTAAATATTTATATACATATACAGTAATGGATTTATGCTGCTGTTCCAGGATAATGGAGGTGTACCGGATGCTGCGAGAACCCAGTGTTGTTGAAGTCCAGAGTAAATATGTCACTGATGAATTTATCAACGAACTTAGAACTATTATTAGAGATAAGTTACAAAATAAGTTTCCTCATTTGATTTTGTGATGTTTGAAATTTTGAAGACTGTGTAAATCCATCATGTATTGCATATATTATAAGGTATATAAATACTTAAGTTTTTGGTATGTCTTTGATTTTACCTTGCAAAATGATCCAAATTTTGTTGGTTTTTAAAACGTTTTTATTAGCTTGCTTTCTTGTCTGTTCAATACAAATTTTGCAATCAATTTTAACTAACTTCCCGATGAGCTAGAGACTTGAAACTTGAAACATAGCTCACAAATTGATGACAATGCAATATCAAATCATTTTATTTTCATATTTCCCTTGGGCTACGCCCCGTGGGCTTCCAAATTTTCAATGTTTACATTTTGGAGGAATGTAAATAGTCAATTATATCAATTGAAGTCAGCTGTAAACACTTTAATTTGACAGTTTGTTCAAAGCGCAGAGGTTAAGAGGTGTAGGTTCTGCTCTTAAGAGATTCTAAAAATATAAACACATATTTCAAATTAAAGAAAAATTATCTGATTACAGATAAAAAGGTTTCGGTTGTGTATTAATAGGCCATATAAATAGATTTAACATATTGAAGACAAAATTTATAAACACATTTTTTTTTTAAACACCACGTTTTTAAACACACAAAAAAGTAGAACATAGTTTATAAATATGTGGAGAGAATAAATAATTGTAAGATTTAAAACGAAAAACGTTGGGTGCATGCAATAGATAATAATAAAAAGTAAATTAGCTATTTCATGTGCCCAACGTTTTTTGTTTTAAATCTTACAAGTATTTATGCTCTCCACATATTTATACATTATTTTATACTTTTGGTGTGTTATTTAAAAACCTGGTACTGTATTTTTTAAAAGTTTTGTTTTTAATTATAAGTTATTTTCTTTTCTTATATATATTACTGGTTAGTACAGGGTGGCCCAAAAAAAGGTACTCATCATTTCACAGCAATTAATCTATAAGTATAAAAGAGGATGTTTGTATATATATATATATTTGTTTGGCAGTGATAAACTCAGACACCGCTGAATTGATTGCCACGAAACTTGGTACATACGTGTAGAATTTCATGGAATAGGTTTATACACCATCAATTTCGTGATCCGTCCAATCGGCTCCGCCCCAGTGGCTCTGGAGTTTCCCATGTTAACCTTATGAGAAATGGAATTAATAAATCTTAACAGCTGTTTCAATTAAACAAGTTGGTTCTGTTCTATGATGTTCAATAGCATTAAAGTTACAAGGATTACCCACAGGGTGCAGCACTATTATTTCTTTTACATTTATGACAACAGCTAATTTGCAACCAAAAGGTGAGTGAGCATAGCGAACGAACTTCAACCTGGAGGCGAGTTAGCGTAGCGAACGAGCTAACCTGAAGGAAAGTGAGCGCAGCGAACGAGCTCCAACCTAAAGGTGAGTGAGCGTAGCAAAAGAGCTCCAACATAAAGTTGAGTGAGCGTAGCGAACGAACTTCAACCAGGACGTGATTGAGCCATGCGAACGAGATCATCTTGAAAATTAAGAAGTTAAACGGGGCAAAGCCCGCGGGTTACAGCTAGTTATTATTTATTAGCTGAACAAACTTACTCCATAAACTAAGTATTCTACATGTTTCCGCCATTGTTTATTTATTACATATTCCATTCATCTTTGATGTTTTCAACCATTACTGAACATTGTTGTGGAGTGATGTCCATCAAAACAGAAGTTAAGTTAAAGCTGCACTTTGGATAAGTACCTTTTTTAGGCCACCCTGTATTTAGATTTACAATTAGTATTTGAATTTTTAACAATATTCAATCAGCAGTTCAAGGAAGCAGCAATAACTAAAAACTATCTTTTAGTAAAATATTAATAAAAGTTACCTATTTGGCTAAACCTTAGGTTTGCAATCTCAAGTTAATACTTTGAACAAATCAATATCATCATGATTTTCCTTAATTTAAATGCATGTTATGACACCTATTTAAAACACTAATGGATTTTATTCCATTAAACGTTGTTAACTGGTTTTTAAAATATTTTCCCCCTTTTGATGAATAGAATTTCACTTGCAGTTTCTAATTATTTTTGATAATTTCAGCAAAGTGGTTTGGGATTTCTGTAAAAGATTTTAGAAAGTTGTGTTTAAGAATAGGAAAGCTCATCTCCTAATTGCTAATCTCTTAAAAATCCTATCAGTACCCAGAGTTGATTATTGAATTATGCCTTTTTCACGACTATAATAATTGCGGTGGTATTGTATTCAAAATTAAATAATTGGTAACACTTTAATATTATATAAAGCTATTTTATTTCTCAATGAAATATTTTACCTACCTGAAGTGTGTGTAATTAAATCATTTTAAGAAAGAAATTTTCAAAATTTCATAAAAAACTAACTGGTAATATTAAGTTTTGAAAATAAACCTAGTACTAATCTCACAAAATATTTTCTATGTTTCTTCGGGTCATAATAATGTATGGAGAACAAATTCCAACACAACAAAAATATAATTGTAACTTTCAAGCACCAAATTAGTTTTTTACATGAATTTTTGTAACAGTAAAACACTTGCATACACATACACACACACGACTGAAGAATAATTTTAAAACATTTTAATAAGCTTAGCAATGTATGAATAATGTCAACACTTGAACTGTGAGTGCTTCATCTGATCCACAAGATAACGATTCAAAAGATACCAGTCATTGTAAGTATTTTATTTCTTTGAACAAAACCAAAAATGTGATTCCTGAAGATAAGAAATAAAACATTGAGATTTATCTGTCTAATCTCTTTTAAAAATTTATTTCTGAAATGTTTAGTGAAAAATTATTATCAAAATGTGCTGATGTTTATTGTGGCTCATTCAGTGTGTGTTTTCTAATTTATTACTTTCTTGTTACTCCCACATATCAAAATTTTACAGACAGTATCTATGATGACATCATTTTTTATACCAACCAGTCTACTTGGAGTAAGATTTTCTGTATTTTTAAGTGTAAGATGTTGCTGGAAAATTTGCCAACAATTGTTGTTGTTGTATTTTATTTCAAATTTCAAATTTTATTTTACCTTCTAAAACATTAAACTCTACAGAGTTCCAAATAAAACATCTAACATTTTTTAAGTTCATTGTATCTACTTAGGATAGTTTTAAGGGACTATACCATACCTCTGCTGCCACTGAATGGGGCATGTTTGTTGTTTTGATCTTACAGGAGAGGAAAGCTACTGATTTTGGATTTTAAATGTCAACTATTCTTATTCTGTTCTGAAATCTGAAGCACATTTTGTAAAAGTGTTTCAATTCTGGTTTCATATGAATGTACTGGTATTGGCATTGTGCTTTTTCCTTGTAATTTTTAGGGTAAATTACACAGTAAAAAAAACTATTTTTTTGTTATATGCTAGAGTAAAAGCACACACTTTACACGTAGATGGTTCCATTTTGTGTTTCCATCAATAAATTACATAAAAAAAGGTGAAGCAAAGGCACTCAAACACTAGTGTACAAACAAGAGCTTACATTTGATCACAATAACAATTACCTAAGTAAAACAACAAAATAAATAATAAATATCTGCAATATCTACATGCACTAAGCTGAAATATATCTCAAAGTTGTTCCAGCTGATCCATAGCAATGACAAATCCATTTTTAGCTAAGTATGTTTAATGGTTTAATCCATGGCAAAGTGAAATTCAGTGTTTTGATTAGCTGCACATTGTACACATCCCCCCCCCCCGTGTTTCTCCGACATAGGGAGATATGGAAAATTATCAGCTGATGAGTATTACTCTAATTCAAAAGCTGTTTATTTATTTATTTCAACCGATCATTATTGTTATTCTAGATAGAAAGGTGTCATTTATTTCCAATCAGCTGACTGAATGAATGTCAAATAGTTAAATGCATGGAACTGTGTTAACAAAAGATATTTTTTACAGAAAAGACGCCTAAGCCAACACCTTACATGTACCACAACTTCAAGATTATCAGTGATAAGAAAATCAACCCACACAATGCAGAACTCTTCAGGATATATTGGACTTTGAATGAGACGTTGGATGTCCTCTTTGATCCTAAGGTAGGTTTGCTTTCACTTGGCACATAGTTTGAATCAAGGATTGTTGAAACTATGATGAACCTCTAGTTCAGGCCAAAGATGTATTTTGAAATGTGGGATTTTCTTCTGCGCACAACCCTAAAAATTCAGAAGTGTGTAGGCCTACTACTGACCATAGTATCACTCCACATTCTTCCAAATATTCTCCACTCAATTTGCTTGAAAAAAAACATACCCCCCTGTATGGAAAAAAATTATGGAAAAGGGGGGTACATCAATACAAAAAGACACATATCAGATTCCACTCCTTCCAATCCACATAATAACCCAACATTTCTCAAATTTTTAACCCATTCATTTCTTATTACGGTGAGTTTGTAGGACTGTATATCAGTGTTGGAACCATTTCTTTTCCCAGTATGAGAAAGAAGAGGGTGCAATTGCTTTAAAACGAATCTGGCATGATGCAATCACTCCAAAGAAGACCTACTACAGGAGTACCAGGAAACCAAAGACAACAACTGAGCCGTTCTGGTACTGGGAGCAACCTACCAAGAAACAACCTGGTAGACAGAACCCGTTCATACTGGTGGAGGGGACTGATCGTAGATGTGAGTAGCTGTAATATTACAAATACATTTAAGAAAATCAAACAAGAAAAATATGATAAAGAATAACTGTTAAGTGTTGACAATGTTTCATACTATAATAATAAGAATGGTCTTACACTTTGTGAGTTGGTGATGATTTGAGCCAAGGCACAGTTTTTCTACATCAAAAGTGTGTCTTTGTTTGGAGTTAATTTTTTGTTATTTAAAATATTTGATTGCTGACATTTTCAATATTAAAAATAGTTAAAACAAGTTTTCGCAATCTTTTGGGATTTGGAATCTAATTCTATCCTCAACTGAGAAAATACTTAAAATACAACAAGATTAGTACACAGAAGCATGAAAAACAGGCTTGAAAATCACTAAAGAAACACCACAACGATAACTGTATAAAAGAGAAAAAGTTAGGACAAGTCTGCACAAGATGGTGGCTCAAGCGAGACTGAGAAGATGCGATCTGTCTGTTTGGGAAATGAGGGAGGCAATCGTGACAAGAAACGGGAATGTGAAGATTGAAGGAAAGAAAATGAAGAAGAGTTGTTCAAAGCCCCAAAAAAGACAATTTTGACTGGACAACTGCCCATTTGTGATGGAAATGTCCCCAAAACCTCACATTTAACATCATGTGATAACATGTATTATTTTCACAAACTCTCCTTGTGATTAAATAGTCCACTCACTTTTATACTTAGAATCTTTAGCAAGTCATAGTTATTTGCAATGACAATATACAATAATATGATTAATATGTTCACAGTAAAACGATATCTTATGAAGAGGATAATGAAAAACACTGGGTGTACAAGAATAAGGACAATACCCAAAACTACCTACAAACTGCGGAAGAAGTTTGAGGGAGCGGCACTGTTGCCACTCAAACGAGCGTTTGTCACACTTCAACTCTACCTGGCCGCACTCGATGTGAATCGAGTGATAGAGACAGAACCAGTAATTATGTCAGGGTGAGATAATGACAGCTTGTGTTGCACTCAATCATTTAATTTATTTTTTACTTAAATTGTATTTTACATTAGTTTTCCAAACTCCAAAAAATTAAAGTTTGAAGTCATCCGAATTAATACAATTTTAAAATGAAGAAAGGGATTATTCCATTCTAGTATCTTTATAACTTTACTTTATTACTGAATGGATAGAACTATAAAAAAAATCAAATAAAAACCATAAAGTTTTAAAATAAAAAAGTTGTTGTTTGAACCCCTGAAAAACTGTTAATAAACACATTGACACAAAGGATTATAATTGATTATGTTCTTTTACCAGCTTCTGGCTAAACCACGCTGCCGAGTACATGGCAAGGAAGTACGACAACGAGACTCTTCCTCCTCTCGGCTCCGAGTGCTACAACTGGCCTCAGGACTTGGTGAAGCCGGACTTAACTTTCTACCTCAATACCCCTCGGGAGGTGAAGAAGGGAGGGAAGGAGGAGGCGCACAGATATATGAGGCAAGCTGTAGTTACGTTGATGTTAGAGAATTGTAATAGTATTGCTTCTTTAAGAGAGGACAAGAGAGCCCATGCAGAAAATGCACATTTTCTTTCAATGCGGCTGCGCAATGGCCAGCCGTGGCACAAACACCTAAATATGTATGGTTGCCATTTCATTGAACAGTATTAACAGTATTAAACATCCAATGCGCTGCGTGGACGAGTGGGTGAAAACGTTTAAATTTAGTTTCATCCAAATGAGAGGCATATACTGCGTCCTAGTCGTTGTGGACGTAGTTTTACAAGATCCCAACAGATAGCAGAACTAAAAAATACTGCTAGCCGTCCCTCAGTATTGTCTAATGGAGGGAAAAAGCAGGGGTAAATTACCCGGATACACTATAAAAAAATACCGCAAAAAAGCGGTCAAGCACAATTTTGAGGTTAGGTTCCTTGCACAATGCTACAGTATTCATTAACGTTATCATTGACTTTATATCTACTGTGTAGATATAAAGTCAATGACGTTATTCTATTGCATGTCATTAGATCCTAGGCTTAACCAACACTAGAATAAATTTGTAATCGTCCCTACTACCAATAAAATAGTCGGATCAGAAAACAAACCATACCAGATTGAAGTATAACACTGGCATAATAAGCGGCAAGTGAAACAACGTCTCTGGCTAACCTCGCATTGGAACAATAGTTTGTAAATGGCGCTTTGACGAGTATACTCGTTGAGCGCCACTGGAAAGCGCTAGCGGTGACGAGAATACTCATCATGTGCAGTGAACGTGTTAATAGGGTTCAAAACTAGTTTCCAAGGCAAATTGAATGCACTCTTGAGTAATTACTCTTTTACCCTTCAAAGATTATCTTTATTATGTTTATGTAATTAGGCGAATAAAACTACTAATTTACAATTAAATAAATTACATTTGTTGATTGTATATCCATACCATAAAGAGTGATTTACCTACCAAAATTGGCCATTCAAGTGGCCTATTTCATATCAATTTTAATAAACTGTTACAACACTGTTGCGTGTTTTACAATCTGAGAGAGATATTGGAGTATTGGAGAGAGTGGGACAGTATTGGGAGAGTATATATATGAGTGAAATTTTAAAAAAGTACGTTTTCTGGAAAAGCACTTTGCAAAATTTTTTCCCCTTTTTTCAAAACTTTTATTAGTTTTTTTATTTCATTAATATTTGAAGTTTCATAAAATGTCCATGGTAACGCAATATCTTTGGTAGTTTTTTTTAAAAAGAGCATCTTTAGTGGAAAAACACAAAATCCTGTCACGACCATAACGGATGTTTAAATGAATATTAAAAATAGTTAATATTATTTTTATAACTATGTTTTGCTATAAACTAATTTACTTTTATGACCATTATACAATAAAAAGGTCACTGAGCTTTTGGTATATTTGGTCTTTCTAGAAAAAAATAAAAAAACTCAAAAAATTGTAAAAAAGCCAATAAAATCTTTTTAAGTTTGTTTAACTCCGAAAAAACTTACCTGAGACCCGAAAAATCCTTATGTTTGTATGTAGGTGTGCTTCTTTTGTGTATAAAACATTGAAATATGACGATATTTTAATTTTTGAAATTTTTATGATAGAAATCATAAACGTGATGGTCGGGGACAAGCGGTACGGTCGTGAATTGTCTGAAATAATCTAAACCTTTCTAAACAATTCTTCAATTATACTGTTAGTTATAATAAAAATATGTGTTTCAATTGAACTAAACTGTTCAATTTACAATTATATTAAAGTTATTGTCACGACCAAACACACTATAATCCATAAGGCTGGATTGGTCGTGAAAAAACCCGCGATGGTCGTGAAATTACGTGTTATTTGGCTCTGTTCTGGCGGTAGCCCTGCACCTCATGTTCGAGGATACAAAGTGGACTTCTAGGTTAATCTAGCAATTGAAATATCTTATAAACAAAAATTAACACCATGTCTACTTCATCGAATGACTACGTACGGTCATGGACACACCAAAATTACAAAAAACACAATCTTTCCTTTATTAATCTTGTAATTCCTCCTTTCAACTCGAAACGACCGGCACTACAATCCTGACGTACACCTCGAACTAGTTTCTAAAACCAACTGACTCCATCGACGCCAGGCTTGCCACTGTCGTGCTCCAAAGTTGAAAATTTTTCCCAAATGGTCGTGACGCCAAATCGAGGGACAGACTTATTTTGTCATGGTAGTCAGTTTGCAATGACAACAAAATTATAATATGCTCCTTTTTTGTAAGTTTAATAACCATTGATGACATAAAAATATGGCTTTATATATTTCGGCATTAATAGTTAGTCTAAAAACAGCGTGAAAGTTGGAAAATGTACCCTAGGGACACGTCATGGTCGTGAATTTCGAGACTTTAAAAATACGAAAAAAATACCTAGAATCTATTTAAAACTAAATAAATGTGTGTAACATGTTGCCCCCATCCCAAAAAATATAAAAACACATAATAATAAACTACAAATCCAGTATCTACGAAGTAAAAGGCCCTGGACATGAAAACGTACGTTTTTAAATTTTCACTCATATAAGTGAGTATGGGCAGAGTATGGGAGTATTGGATTCACATTTTACTGAAGAATCAAATGGTGTTTCATTAAGTACTACTGTACTGTGATGAGATTTTTCCGTACGCCAACCATCAGCTGATTATATTTGGCAATGAGTGGTTATAAACAAAAACATAACCTCTTTTTAAAGGTTATGAGTAGTGATTGCTAGTCCTTTAGTCAGTGGGAATATTTATATATTCCAAGCACATTGGATTTGTACAGATTTTTTATTGGCAAGTTAATTAGATTAGAGTAGTATGGTGTAAAATATCGTACCTAATATGTGTTTACCGTACTCGTATATTAATCCCGCATTCGACTTCGTCTCACACGGTAACGACCACACTTGTCCGGTAAACACCTATTTCCAGGACTAGTATACTACATAATACATAATATACTATTATGAATAACATGGTTTTTACCCTTATTGTGTCACTAGGGTTGTGGAGGTGGTGAAAAGAATGCAGCCTCCTGTGATAATGTTGAACGAGACATACAGCAACGCAACGCTCGGAAATGTAATCCATTTGAGGTACATGATGAAGGATATGATTGGCTCACAGTATCCACATATCAGGTTCATCAAACCAGAGTGGACACCACCTCCGAAATAACCTTGTAAATAAACATTGATAAACATATTGTAGTTTTATTTCACCATATAGGATATTCGGGATATTCTAAACCATGATTGGTCGTGAAATAATTGGGCTGATGGTGCATTGAATACCAAAAATACTTACAGTAGACACCATCTTGTTTCTACTATGCAGAACACAAAGAGAAAATAGTATGTTCCTTTTAGTACGACAAGCCAATTTTCAGGATTTTCAGATGTTAGGTAGGTAGTGAGTAAGAGAAATTGAATGCTCTCTCTTTTTAAGTTTAAGAGGTTTTTATAGTAATAAATAAATTGGTGACTCAAATACATCATGCTGGACAAAAAGTGAACTATATACAGAAAGATTGAGAAGAGCTAACTACAAAATAGACACACTCATTTGGACAATTCATGAACGAGATCTTGTCTGAATCTAAAAAAAGGTTAACTCATCAATCAGACAAATGTTTTTAATTTACATATGCTGGCTGATAAACATTTACAAAAAAGCAAATAGGTACAGTATCTCTGTAGAATCTGTGGCTACAGATTTGGTAGATTTGGTACAGTATCTCTGTAGAATCTGTGGCTAAAACCTTTTTTCTTCATACTCCAGCAAAAGTATATATCAATTTTGTTCCCTTCTTAGAAATAAGATCTGACACCAATCATTGTACATAACTATGTACCTATATATTATAATTAAAGAAATATTTTATTTGATTTGTCAATAGTTTGACATATCGATAGTATAACGTACACTAACACAATCGTAATAGACGAAATAATTGAATCATTTACTAACACGTTCACTACTGCAATAGTACGAAATTTTCCATTCATATGGACCAACGACGCACATATGCGACGGCCGTCTTCTACCCATAGACTGCCGTCGCATCACATTAAAATAGACTGCCGACGCATATTTGCGTCGGGGTTCTAATGTTATTAAAATGCGTATATCTTTGTAGTGGTCTATTTGAAGGCACTGAATTCCCTGCAGTGGTCTACAGAGATGTCTGACGCACAACTGCGTCGCTTCGTCTGTGGATATGATGATTGGTGACGTCATATAATAGTAGGAAAAACTGGTCTTTACTTTTCTGCTTCACTGTATGTATGTATGCAGTATGTATGCTGAATTATCCTATGTAGCTTTTATATTTGTTTAGTTATAAACTGTTCTTGAATAATCTGTTTATTTTTTTACTTACTTTCACCTTAAATCACAAAAAAATGAGCCGTCGCATATATGCGACGCTTAGTCTATTTCAAGAAAACTATGATAATTTTCACTGTTGTTTTCGCTGTAGACCGGGCGTCGCAAATATGCGACATTACAAAAGGTTATAAAAAATACAAAAAAACAAGAACAATTTATTTACAAACACTATTGTAGCGTATTACAATGTAAATGATCACTGTTTTACAGGTTTTCGCCCGTGGTCTGTGTGTACTGTTATCCAAGTGAGAGCCGGTCTATGTGTAAGATTGAAATGTATACCTCGGTCTGTGGCAATGACCGCGGCGTCGCATATATGCGACGCTCAGTAGCGAACGTGCTGCTTGTTTGCATTAGCAAAATTAACAAGTTGGAAGGAGTTTTGATAGAAGTTATCTTGTACTGTATCTTGATCTACTTATACTGTATTTTGCTTGGCACAATATGACAAAACATATAGTTCATCACAATGGCGAAAAGTTTCCTTTCAACCCTCACCCATTTACTGAAATCGCCTTAATCGTAAAACTTGAGCTTGAATCAAAATAATATTATCCTTATTAGTTTATTAAAACTTATAATTTTTTGAGAACTTGTAATTCTATGTTTAAGCTATGGCTTAACCATAAAGGTATTCTATATTTAATTCACTTATGTCCGTGGTCCCACCATCATCTTTAGTTTGTATTGTAGATTAACACTTTACTTTGTTAATAATCTCCGACAATGGTGTAGTCGGATGGATATCACCAAAATCTAATCTTTCCGATGATTTTGATTGTGTTCAAGATAGCCGCAAGACAACTAAGTGTAAAAAATAGTTTCTTAAGACTATTATAACACAACAAAAATACATGTTACTATTAAGCATGTGGAATAGTGTGGTGTTTGGATTTTTTAGTGATTGATACACACCATTTAAAGGTGTGTGTTTAGTATGATTAAATATCTCACGTTGTCCAGCTCTGTAAGCTATAAAGGGCCAAACCTGAGACAATTATGCTCGAGTGTGTTTTTTCTACTTACCTTTTTACATTCAGGAACTCTAGATAATATTACAGGTAAATTATTTCTTCATCAATATTTTCAAGATGAACACCTTTTGTTTTATTTATAAAAAAAAAAACAAAAAAACAAGAGTTTGTGACTCTTTGTACTATTTATTTAGTTTTAAGTAAAAGTATATTCTAGACAAGAAACTACCCTTTCATAATATTTTTAGAATCCTCATATGACACTTCATCCAGTGATGATTTTCATAAAATAGAGCTGAACTATGCTTTGAAACCTGAAGAAATGTATAAGAAGTATGAAATTTACCCTTCATTCGACACAACATGGGACATCATTACAGGCCCTGAGGTAAGGAAAGATGTTTAAATTTAGTTTATGTTTTAAAGGAAAAGTAAATGTAGAATAGAAAGAATGGCCATTGTAGAACCTAACCCTCAGAAAAGGGATTTTTGAAAAGCCCTGTAAATAAAAATATATCTTGTCCTTTACTGTCTTCAGCAATCAGAAGTAATATTGCACTACAACTACGGCCGTTTCGGAGATTACTCCATCATGGAATGTGTAGTTTACTTTGAATTGTTTTTTATACACTAAACACAAAATGTCTTCATTTGCATTGTGTCAGAGGTTGGACAAAAGTTATGCATATTAAGACAGGACGGACACATAATACGACAAAAAACATTCAGCGAACATGCCTGGCTTAAAAACTGGTGACCGATGTCAGGCTTTGTACTTCATTGCATAATGATAATTATTGTACTGTGAACTAAAAAATAAACCCCACTATAGGAATGGACTGTTGCATTCGTTATTCAAGTTTTGCAATGTAGAAAGTAGGTACTTTTCTTTTGAACCACTCAGTAGAGATGTGATTTTAGTAGAAATAAGTTTTTTTTTTACAAGAACAATCCAGATAACATTGAAATTTTATACCAGCTCAGTAAAGTGCAATTAATTAATAACTAGTGTACCTGTTGCTCGAATTCGAGCAATTGCGAAGCATTACAGGCGACTCAAAGATTATGGAAATACTCACAATCTACACAACAGTTAGATATAATAAAAACCTTTTGTAAATATCTTATCTTTTTTCAAAAAGCTGATCTTGTTTTTTTAGTGTTTTCTACCAATTTTTCCCTCTCATAGCCGCATTAGGTTGTCTATGATAACGATTATAAATGAAAAAAAGAGATTATTTCTATTTCTTCTACTTGGTTGTGTTCTATGACTTTTTCTATGTTTCCATTGTTTGCAAATCGGTTATTTCAATGAAAGCTCAAGAAATGTAGAACAGTGTTAATTCAGTTTAATTTTTAGCCTATATCAAATTGTCCAGGATTTCTCGCCCTTTTCCATTCTGATAATTACACCAACTCAAGTTTCGTCTACAGATGCAATATGCCAACGAATATCACCTACGTACAATCTCCAAGTAGTGGTAAAAAAGGCAGAAACCAACCCATACAATAGATATAAGTTAACTCCAAAAGAAATAATTTTAAGAGTTACTGTGATATTAGGATTTTCCACTGATTTGGTAATAGAACATTATATTGCAAAACATGACACGATGCAGAAGAAAATCCATTTTAAAATCAGAAAAACCCATTGCAAATACTGTACTTCATTTTGACAAATTCAATAAATCACAATTTAAATATTAACAGCTGTTCCATTAAAAAGTAGTGTAGAATTATGCATATGGTCGTAATGTAAACAAATCTGAAGAGGCAACTTTAAATGCTTCTGGGGCAGAGCCCTAAGGGAATTTACCTCGTTCCTCTTTTGATGGCTCATCTACAGACCAAGACCTTTCTTTAGAGACCCCTACCAAGTTTTTACGCCCAGCCGTTCTCTCAAATTAGCTGTGACAAAAACCCCGTTTTCCTCCATAAGAATAACATGGGATGGGAATTCAAAGGCCACTGGGGCAGAGCCCCAAGGGAATTCACCATGTTTCTCTTTTGATGGCTCATCTACAGACCAAGACCTTTCTTTAGACACCTCTACCGAGTTTCTATGCCCAGCCGTTCTCTCAAAATAGCTGTGACAAAGAAAAACAGTTTCAAATTAATATATAGATTTCAACATTTAATTTTGTCTATATATAAAATCCAATGTATGTTTGTTTGTATGTTTGTATGTTTGTTTGTTTGTTTGGTTGTTTGGTTGTTTGTATGGACTCCGAAACCGCTCGACAGATTGTAATGAAACTTTCAGGTATTATTAAGCATAATTCAAGGATGGTTTGTGTGAAGTTTGGTGCAGATCTGTCAAAAGGGCTCCGCCCCAGTGGCTCTTGAGTTTCCCATGTTAACCCTATGAGTATTCATATTTAAATGGAATTAAAGAATCTTAACAGCTGGTTCAACTAAAGAATTTGATTCTGTGATGTTCAATAGCATTAAAAATTTAATAGGTTTACAAACAGGGTGCAGCACTATTTTTTTTAATTTATGACAATTTGCAACCAAAAGGTGAGTGAGCTTAGCGAACGAACTTCAACCTGGAGGTGAGTTAGCGTAGCGAACGAGCTAACCTGAAGGCAAGTGAGCGCAGCGAACGAGCTCAAACCTAAAGATGAGTGAGCGTAGCGAAGGAACTTCAACCAGGACGTGATTGAGCCATGCGAACGAGCTCACCTTGAAAATGAATGAGCATTTGACATAAAACCACATTAGGACAGGACGACGTCTGTCGGGCCAGCTAGTTGTAAAATAAAACCCATCAACATAATTGTATTGATATTTGGTAGTCTTTTGTGTACCTTTGATTAAGTTCCTTTCTTTTTCAATAATTTAGAACAAAAATCCAAAGAGCAATATTATTTTATTACAGTTTGCCAATGTCCCGTTCCTGAAAAAAATTGTAAGATTGTGGAACACCACTCGGCGTCCAAAGATAGTGCAGAAGAAACCTAGGAAAAGAAGGCAGAACACAACTACGACTATAGCACCAACAATGTCAGGGGAAGATGTCAACATTACAGTACTGTCAACTACAACAGTAAAATATGAGACAACGCCTCGTGTTTTGCAACCTGGGCAGCGACATCCGTTTGTTCTCATTGAGGGAACTTTGACTACAGGTTTGTGATTATTTGACAAATCCAACCATTATCTATATTACTGTATCTATGTATTTCAATCCGTAAGTGAATCGATCCTCCCAAAATATTCAAGCTAGGAAATTAAGTAGCATGGCTGTTGAGGATTCATTTTAAAGCTTAAGGTCCAAGGACGGTGGGGAAAATATCAGAAGTGTCAAAAGTTACCCCTGCTCTGTCCCGCAGGCTGTCAAAGATCCAGCCATTTTCTAATGGATGTACTGCTACAGTGTTTCTATATTAAGCTGTTTTAAATGTGCCAGCTGATGTAAACATTGTGTATTTGTTTGTTTATCGATTTTAGTGTTCACAAAGGAGAGTATTTAGGAATGGTGCACAGCATAGGGAATGGTTAAGGACAGGGCGGAAAAATAATATTGTTTGGGGGAAATTTTAACCAGATACTGCCTGTTGTTCCAAGCAAAAAAAGGTTCAAAGAATATAACATAGCTTGCATGTATAGTAAATGGAGCATACAGAACAGTAAAATCTGGAGGTAATTTCCGTTTCTTTACGTTTCTTAAATTAACTAAAATATGCGTGTTCCGATGAAAAGGAATTTGGTGATTCGCTTTGACAACTGGGAAACGGGACCCTAACTAGTATCAAAGTATTTAAAAATCAATCAATGATTAGTTTTTTTTTTACAGTATTTAAACAGTAAACAGTATTTACTCACAAACAATTCTATCCGTTGCCTTTGGCAAACTTAAAACTCTAGAAGGAATTAAATTATTTATTGAAAATTAATAACAAAATACCAAGACAATCAAAGAGAATGTTTTCAAATGCCTTCTTACTTTGTTTAAATATTACAATAATGTGTTTTACAGTTGAGATTTTTGGGGACTTCTATCCCTACAAGCCTTTACGCTTATATTTTGTCTGTTACTATGTTTTTTTGTGTTTGTTTTGGAATTTTTAATACCATCGTAATTTTTTAAGGTTTTTTGTAAAGGGAACTGTCCACACCCTACCATCGACTATCTAACATCGACCTTTTGTTAGATAGCATCATTAACTAATACCCAATTAATTATGGTTCAATTTGAATAATGTGTTTCCTTCTTTCAAATACCTTCAGAAAAATATTCCTACATTTTGAACCAATTATTTTCATTTCCAATCACAAGGGCAGAAAGAAATGGTGCAACGTATAATTGGAGACATCAAAGAATAAATTGTAATAGTTTTATGCAAATGGCTTCTGTTAAAAAGTGGAAATTATCTTTACAAAATTTAGTATTAACAGTATCACTTATATGTCAAAAGGAAAACAACTATATGGTGGTTGTGCATGAATTTTAGCTCTTAAATGAGATCCAGAAGGTAGGTAGTTCAAACCCAGTTCATAGACATCCACATACATTTAAACTTGTACTAATACACATCCATCAACTCCAACTGACAAATCATTGATTTCAATAGGGGTGGTCCCCCTTTCTCAGAAACTGTATTATAGAATGTGATTAATACTTAGCGAGTGTCAAATTTACTTTGAAACATTACTGCTAGCTACACAAGACCAGTAGAGCAGACAGGTTACTTGCCTAGAGTGTATTTCAAGTAACCAGCCGCCAACTGACTTTGTTTAAACGCGGCTTTATAATTACATGGGTGTGGGCTCCGGCTTGAATATTAGTGGGGGGAGTCAAAAAAGAATGTGCTGGTGTCAAATTTGAATTATCTTTCTTGGCAAGACTGGATCTCTTTGTAGACCCTAATTTACAGACAACTTTGGGAAAAAAATCATTCCTCAAAATTGAGCAAACTTTTTACATTTCTTACAAAAATTCCCATTATTTAAGCTTTTTTCATAGAGAAATAAACATTTACCAAATTGACTTTTTCAGCAAGGCGAAGACTGTTGAGAGGTGTCATGAAACACACAACCTTTGTTTATGTCAGGAATTTTCGACAACATCCTTTCAAGTACAGGGACAAATTTTCTAGCTACTCACTTCTGAAATTGAAAAGAGCCTACGTAACTTTACAATTCTACTTGACAGGGAGAGATGTAGAGAGAATACTTCAGGAAAGGCCTGTAATAATGACAGGGTAAGATAATAATTATTTTTTTATTAGTATTTGATTTACAATATATCCTAAATGATTGATTTCGTTGAGTTTCAAAAGACAAGGCCGAAGATGCTTTTGTTACTTCTACATCCACAACTATAAAACAAACAATTTAATCATTTTTTTATCCTCCATGCTTTACAGATAACATATACTTTCAGGTGATACGAGTTTTTCCCTAATTTATATTTTAGTTCTCTGGTTTCAAGCCCAAATAAAGTCAATTTTCAAGTTTAACACAAAGTTGTTAAAAATCCTCATTGTACCTGGGAAGTGAAAATTTGTAATTAATCCATACACACACAAAACACTGACATGAAGATTGATAAAAAAATGTTTATTCCAAATAATAGTAGTCCAAGTGATTTAATATTCACCCTTATTTACAGAAAACTAGTTACTTTAGATTTAAATCCAGTAATTGTAAACAAAAAACAAAAACACAAAAAACTGAATAACCTGACAGTATTCTAATAATACCTCTTGGCAATTGGTTAAAAGACAAATTCTGTAATGTTTAAATTGGGTTAAAACTGGATTGAAATCAAAATACCTATGGAACTCCGAACTGTCGCTGGACAGTAACTTAGGATCCAATTTTGAACAGTTCAACAACACATACAACAACAATACAACAACACACTTACGATGCTTTGCCACCACTCATTTTTGCCTATTGAATACCTCCTTATGTTGACCTCAACTAAACAACTACTTAATCCTCGGGGTAGTGGTTAAAAAGGTCAGATTACTTTGGGACAGTCCTTTATGTATTGTAGTACAACAAATTAGATTGAGGCAAAAGCAAATAAACCTGTAACTTCTGAACTTTGTTTAATAATACCCTTCCTTGAATCATCCACTATGCTACATCAACTCTGCTTATAGAAATAAAATATTCCAAAACTATTTTTGCATTTTTGGAATATGTTTAGGTTCTGGATGAGACAAATGGCAGAGTTCCTAGCCAGGAGGTACAAAACTATCAAGAGTCTTCCTCCATCTGGTGATAAGGTTTATCAGTGGCCGAGTGACCTTGTACGACCTGACCTGGTGTTCTTCCTACACAGTCCACGGACAGGGACGCACATCAAGGAAGACACTGTAGCAAGGCTTGAGAGGTTAGCTTAGTATAATCTGGATAATTGAAATACTGTATGTTATTTGAGAAATTATTGAAAAACCTTTACTATCATGATTTGTAAAAAAGTTTCATAATAGTTTGGGTATGTGGAATCTGATCCTGTCCTCAGGTGAGAAAGAACCTAAAACTAAAAAGATTTGTACACAAACTCTGCCAAAGCTGGAAAACACAAACAATAAGCCACACAAAGTATGTAGTAGCCAAATATAATAGACTACTAGATAGATAGACACTAGATGGTAGCTTGTGCAAGAATTCTTCCCGTAAAATACTTTAAAATGACAATGTAGTAGTAAACTACAAACTAAAAAAAATGTTGGATGGTTTATAAATAAATAGTTTTACCACATAAATAACTATGAGAATTTTCAATGAAAACCAATAAAAATTTTCACTTAACATGTATGTTTTCAGGATCATTGAGATATATCACCGGATGAATCCTCAAGTAATAGACGTCGACCAATCGTACAACAATGCGACTGAGAAGCAGTACAGCCAACTGAGAAAGACTATGATTGACAAACTAACTCCAACTTATCCTTGGGCACATGAGTACATCAAGTGTAAACTTCCATCTGACAAACTAAGACGCAAGGGTTTTGGAAAAAATAAAACAAGAGCAGGAACAGAAGGCGACCAATTCAATGTGACGGATGAAACCACCGCCAGTGCAGATTAAGTAAATATGTGTGATATGTTTTTGTACCATAAAATGTATTTTCGTAAATAATTTATTTACTTTCTCCCAGAATGTAGAAATTAGTATATGTTAAATAGTATAATCAACACACAGGAAATGTATTTTTCAGGTGGAACATTTTTAATACACTTAAGGGGACTTATTTTTATAATAAGCCAGTTACACCGTAATAAAATCCACACAAAGCACAAAGTACAAAATTCATACCCACAGGAAGCGAGGGAAGTAAAAAGCACAATTTAATAATAAGTTGTTTAACAAAACCATTTATTTAATTTATCTTCAGACAGATGATGCACTTTTCAATCCCTTGAATATTTGTATTACCATTCCTGTTTTGGTAGCACACACATTAAGGCCCACCGCACATTGGAGCGAGGCGAGGTGCAGGCGAGAATGAGGACTTTTTCGTTTCACCGCACATTGAAGCGAGGCGGGACAGAGGTTTCTTAGCTTTGGTCATTCAATGATGCGAGTAGAGGAAGATTTTTGTACATGTATTTTTGGAAATGTAATTACATGGAAAAAGATTAAGCCATGGAGAGTATGTTTTAACTATTGAACTGCCAGACCGGTCTTTTAAAGGATATTTGTGTGTGAACAAACAACAGTTTGATGATATCCATAATTTGATTGAAAGTGGCATTAGTGGAAAGGAATGCAATGCTCAGCAACATATAGCCATCTGAATTAAATGCTCCATTACTATATCTTTCACTCATAAAACACTATAAAACCAACGCAGGCGCAAGCGAGCACTTTTGAAGAAAAGAGAAACAAAAACTTAATTGGCTAAAATTACACACAAAAGGTCATAGAAAATATTCACCTGAGATGAATAAAAAATATGCACAATTATTTCCTGTGTATTAGAAGTGCTTCATACGTACATTGGAATGGTTGCCTTATCTAAAATATGAAAAGATGTTTCAGCTTAAAACACAACCTTTGAAATAGTCTATTTCTACTGAAAGTATGGAACGAGTTTGAGTATTTGGGTTGATACCGATTGAGCGTCAGAAGGGGGGCATTGAACATTTGTGAACTTGTTTATGTGATAAAAACTTTTTTCTTTATGACCAATTTTCTTTATAATCATGTATAACAAGAGAGATAATGCTGTATTATGTTTCTTTGATTAAAAACAGAATTTTAAAAGTCGGCTTTTTTTAAGTAGCCTATATATTTCTTGCCTATTAAGATGATTGAAATATGAATTCTACAAACTTACATTCAACATTACATACAGTCACCAAGAGCTATATCAATAACTGACTCTTGTTGAATGTGCAGCATTTTTAACCAAACCAAACTGGAAGGACAAAAAATTAAAGGAACTAGCATCTTTTACGCCGCAACTACCATCGAGGTACCACATCATAAAGTACCGTGAGGGAGAAAATATTATTGTGACTGAAGCATAGGCTGTGAAATACACATTCAACTACTGTATGTCTAATGTGAATATAAATCGGTTACATCTGGTCCATTAAGGTGATATGTTAAGGATGTACCAACAATTTTCTGATCAGTAGAAACACTAAGCTATCCAAGTCTTCTGCTAGAAGAAGCTAGAATCAAGCTAAAAATAAATACTAATCATTACAATAATTGAATAAATGTAATTGTTGACTGCTGTGTGTTCAATTTGAACTCCAAATAAAACCCCAATCGCTTCACACCCTCCCCTGTAATTGCTGTAAATTAGCTGATAACATTGTTCCTACAATGTATTACTTTCAAGACAAGAGTACATTACATAATCATAATGAAATATTAATTTACGTCCGGTATCTTTTGGATCGCTAATTGTAGTTTCTTATCTGATCTAAGTGTTTAACCCATATTCTGTCTTAAAAAAGTCTTCAATGACCTGAATACTGACAAAATAAAATTTGACAAAGTTTTTTTTTCTAACTGAAACAATGGAGGTGACAACAAGTATGTTTAACGTTGTTTATATCTCAGTCGTTAGTGCTTTTATGTTTTTCATGTTATGTAAAAGTGAGGACACAGGTAAGGTATTATTTATTACCTACATTTTTACTAGTAAATTTTCTGGTTATTAGTAAATTATTTTTTGTCATGCTAAAATTATAATTTACCTTCAAGCTTTATCATTTTTAAATCCATGGTTGACTGTATTTTTAGGAGTTGGTTACATCGTAGCTTTGACAATAGATAGAACTAGGACATGTTAAAGTTTCTGTTGTCAGTTTTAGAATAAAAATAAACATTGTTGAGCTGAACCTACAGCAGAGTGCTTATTTTAACCAAGTCAAAGTGAAAGGACAGCTTATTGTACCTTTTGTCATATTAACCTCCACAGGAACAAAAATCTAGGTCGAAAGTAGAATTTCAGACAATAACATATTCTGTGAGTGGCTCACTTAACTTATTATTTTCATATAAAATTGGCTAGCACTGGTCCTTATAGATGGGATGTTTATTTCAGTATTGAAAAGTCAATGATAGGAGTCATTGTAATTACGAGAAATAGTGAGATAATTTGTTTACAAATACATTTTACTGGGTGAAAATGACCCAACTTTTATAATAAGTCTATAACTTTTATAATAAGTGAGTATGGTTAACACTAATTACAATAAAATACACTTTGATCTTATCCCAACCAACAGCAACAGGTTTTTGAATGGTAAAATGGGTTTTAAGGAACTTTGATACATAATTCATAATTTTATGGTTAAAAGTTATTCAAATTTTTAGTTAGGGATGTCTCTTTATATAGGTACTTATAAAATGGCTTTGACATTAATTTTAATTCAAACTGATACTGATGTCTTTCAATTGTTAAAAACTGTACATGCTTTGTAGAATGTTTAAAGAACATTTTAAAATCAAACTAAAATTGCCAAAAGGAAAGGAAGTTTACACAGTAGAAAATTCTTAAATTTGTTTCAACATAAACAAGTTTTCATTTAAATGGGAATTTTATTTTTTGCAGGTTATGGTGAACCAGCTGATAATCGAGTTCGGTATTCAGGTATGGTAAATTTTTTTTCTATTTCATACACCATATTAGGTATATATTTGACAACTAATTTACTATAATACAGAAACTTATTTGAGCTTTACTTTTCTCAAACGCACAGAGCTGCTGGTTTAGTGGCTAGGTAGAACTTTTAATCCCGGTGGCCCAAGTTCATTATGTTCAAATCCCCAATTAATTTTAGGCATACGACAACACGGTTAATTGCTCTCATACTCACATTAAGTCATCTAATGTGAACTAATTCTTTGTTACAGAGTCAATTGAGACGAGTCAAGATTTTGGTGTGTTTTATTCATTTGATTCAGTAATGCAAGTCTTCAATGATCCAAAGGTAAATGAGGTTTGGTAAAAAGAAGGGTTTATTTGTAAAGAAGAAATCTTTAGCAATGTTGTGAGAGTAGGCTGAAAGTGTCGATGAATATTCATTTGTTGTGCTGATATACAGAAAACTGTTGCTTATTTAATTTGTTCTGGCTTATTAAACTTGCCAGTAATTTTATGAAGGGGTCATATTGGTGAGAGATGGTAGTGTGAATGTCCAATTTGGAAAGTCGGAGCCCAAGGTTCAGCCTTGGGTCCAGGAAAAAATTATATTTAGATTTGGGTTAAAGTAGGTGTAGTGAGGGTTTGAGTTTATGGTTAAGTTTCCGAAATAATTTAGGATTAACCTCCATACTCTGTCTCAGAGTAAATTGAGAAGGCTATCTAGCCAGAGTGTAGAATGGGACAATGACTGGGCCGACCCTTTGGATGGATCCCAATAGGAACGTCTTACTGAATACACCACTTAAATGTGTAAATTGTCACCATCAACAGGCATGTGCATTTTTAAAGATCCTTTGTCTATTGTTTTCAGTATTACAACACGACAGAAGTTCGGCAACTAATGAGGACTTACCAGGAGACTTATCCTTATGATCCTCGCAGGAAGTATGGCAAGCGGAAACCTTTCATTGTTGTTGAGAGCACTCGTAGAGACAGTGAGTTTAGTAAAACTACAATAGATTAATTGCTGGTTTATGAGCTTTCTCCTGATATTTGCAGAAGTTGCATTCAATTTTAAAAATTCATCGCTACCAAAGTCCGTCAACAGTTGATGAAGGTGAATGGAGTAAGTGTTTACTTACTCTTACTTTTACTCCCATGGTAATCGATACCCTAGGTGGTATTTGGACTCGCCAACTAAATCGAAAGTGGAGTAAGTGTTTGGATAAAGAAAATATGGGCAAGGAGTTGAGGGAGGACAGAGGTGGTCGTCAACATTATACAATGTGTTGCATGGTGTAGGCTGGCTCCAATCATATGTCAGCCTCGTTTGAGGCAGTGACCAATGTTTGTGGAATTTTGCTTGCAGATCGTGGTGTGACTGAACGAGGGATCGCCAAACTGTTGACTTCTCTCTATAAGTCTATCAAGGACAACTGTGAGCCCTGAAAGTCTTAAACACAACAATCAGCAAGCAGTTTCCCCAACAATAATTGATAGAAACTGATGACACCTTGCCTCATTGTGCAAACACGAATGGCCTTATGCAAACTACCACTTACACATATTTTCTACGTTTAATCACTTTTCTGCATACCCATCTGTCAACTGGCAACGGATTCTATCGGGTTGACCTTTTCTCCAAAGACACCTAATCACAGAACTTGATTTATACTTGAAAGGAGTTTAGACTTTTTTCTCATGGTTTTTGGCAACTGAGACCAATTGGCAATTGGGGTGGGAACCGGCTAGACTAGTAGTGGGGAAAGTACAACATAGCACTTGGCCTTGACAGGAGCACATTGGATACCTAAATTTACAGACAGCTCTTGTAAGTGGAAGTATGGTCAAGATGGTCTTGCAACCGATACCTTGACCGTTAGAGCTGAAAGGATTAAGTCCATCCACCATATGGCCACTACATAACCCCAACAATCAATATATTTACAGGTCGGCGCACTACAGGGTGGATGTTAGCTCGCAGTACAGGGTCACGTTACATGAGCAACCCCCCACGTAGTCTGGTGCCTCTACGTGACCTGTACGACAATCGTGGTGGTCTTCTACGTAGAGCCTACTTTAGCATTAGCATGTATGCTGCTGCTCACGATGTGCTCGAAGTTATGTATCGCTATCCTGTTGTCATGGTAGGGTAAGTATTTTACTTATAGATGAAACAGCGATATTAAAAAAATATTTAATTAAAATTATTATTATTTAAAGAGTCAAATCAAGTAAAATCAAAATTTATGTCACAAAACGTTTGTACATAGCATAGCTACAAAACAGGTGACATTGTCAAATTATAATAAATACATAGTTTGTCATCTTACATTCTATAGTTAAAAAAAAATAAATTAAAATACTGACTTTATAAAATAGTTCACAACAAATTAACATGGTAGTAGTTTTTTTCTAATAAAAATTTTGATAAATTATTTTTAAATACCAATGTATTGGTTATATTTTTTAAGCCTAGTGGTAGCCTATTTTTCGAGAAAAGAAAGCTTTTTTCCCATGTATGTTGGTGTCTTTTCAATGAGACACAGACGATGGATCGGCAATTAAAAATTATTTTTAAACCTTGTGTTATATCTCTGATCAAAATTATCATTTTACAAATTTTTATAGTTTGATTGTACCATTACTAAGGTTTTGAATATGTATTAATTTGGAACAGTTACGATATTTAATTCCCTGAACAGTGATTTACAAGATTTCTTAAAATATGAGACTGTCATTATTCTTAAAAACCTTTTCTGTACTTTAAAAACTTTAACTGAATCATATGATAATCCCCAGAACTCAATCACATAGAACTAGCATTTGATAACAGGTTGAATTTAATTTACTAATAATATTATCAATATAGTTACTCCAAGAAAAATTAATATCCAGTTCTAAAGTAAGAAATTTTGTGCTGCCTGAAGTGGTATTAACTGGTCCCGAAAGATGATTTCTGAACTATAACCTTCTTTTGACTGTGCGATACAAAATTTAATAGTTTTATCTTGATTAAGTTTTGACATTAATTAACTTAAAACCAGCTTGCCAGTTCATAGAAAGTTTAATCAATTTTATGCTCCAATTCAAAATGGGACTTAGCTTTAATAATTGCTGTTGTATCATCTGTATAGTGTATATAGAGTAAATTTTGCTGAAACATTCCTAGGTAAATCATTTATATATAGTAAAAAAAAGCAAAGGTCCTAAGAATGAACCTTGTGGGACACCCATTTTAATTTTCTCCCAAAGAGACTTTGATACAAAAAAATTTCATAGTTACAGTTATTTGAAACCAGTTTTCTAGGTATGATTTAATCCATGTAATTGATTGCTTATAAAATGTGTACACATCAAGCTTTTTTAAAAGTATGCAGTGGTTAACACAATCAAAGGCCTTGGAAAGGTCACAGAAGACCCCCATGGTACTCTGTGACCCATCCAGAGCCCAAGATACTTCGTTAACAAGTTTGTTTATTGCTCCTACTGTACTGTGACCTTTTATAAATCCAAATTGCTCAGCGACCAGGATTCAGTGTGCCTCTAGAAACGTTGAAATTTGATTTATTAATATTTTTTTCAAAAATTTTGAAAAAAGAAGGAAGAAGAAATATCAATAGCTGACAAACAGTCTTGATTACTCGAAATTCTGCATATAATCGAGTCTGCAATTTTTGGCTTCCAATTTGAGAAAGTTAAGGGGATTCGCCACTGAAAAGGGTGCATTTTTTATTTAATGAGGAAAGTCGTTAAACAATTTTTTTTCTAGTAGGGTATAGTTTAACAAAAAATGGAAAAATTTTGGTTTACTTCTAAATATAAATTATAGGCGGTAAAAAAATAAAATAGAGGTTTTTCGATCAATTTGTAAGGGGTTTTAAAAATCGATATTCTGAAGAGAGTTCTTTATGGATTTTGATAAATTTGGTGTTTTTTTAAAGACAGTTATCTAAACTTAAAATTTAGGTAGATTCATAATAATATCTCACATACTTTTTTTGCTGTGACACATTAAATATAATTTTTCTTCAGAAAAAAGAATTAGTTTGAAAAAAACGTTATTGTTCAGTACCTAATTAACTTAGATACCTAATTCTACCAAAATATTTTCCTAATACTGTCTAGAATAAGTAGTAAAAATTTCAACAATGTACCTTTAGTGGATCTCAAGATATATCAAATTTTGTATTGAAAAACGTGAAATTTCAATGTTGCGGATAACCGCGTTTGAATAAGAAGGTGTCCTATGATCTTGTAGCTATCGTAAAGAGCGAAACCCCTTGGTTATAACATATAATAACATTCATACATGGATTATATCATACTTTTTGGATGTAATAAGGTCCAATGTACAAAGAAATGTAAAAAAATATTTTTACAATTTTTCATGATTTTTACCTATTTTCAGTGGCGAATCCCCTTAATTGTTTCAATGAATGATAAACGTATCCTTACATAAGATTGCCAAAAGAGATAGGGTGAGTCTAAACCACAACATCATAGAGAGGGTAGACTTTTCATGTTAGTTCACATTGATAAAAATCCTAATACAAATTGAAATTAACCCTATTGATTAGAATCTGTATGTAATAGTTCTGCTACGCACACTCGACTAATAAACTAACAAAGTTGGCCGTAAGTAGCATTAGAATACTCTTGATTGATTAGTCTAGGACGCAGGACGCTAATCTGAAAGCTAGACTAATCCAAACAAACTTTGGGGGAAACGATTAATGTATTTTAGATGAAAAAAAAGCTTTGTGTTCTGAGTTACTAACACTATAGAGCACAGTATTACTATTTACATTACACACAGAAGTATTTAATTTACTCTGATAGAACAATGAAGGCCTATTGTTCAATGGTCAATGTTGATGTTTCTACAACTGTGGGCTGATAGCTACTGTCCCCAGGTATTGGCATGACCAGGCAGCTTTCGCCATAGCCAAGGAGTACCCCAACATCAGAGATCTGCCACCAGAGGGCGACCCTATCTACAGATGGCCCAGTGATCTTCTCAAGCCTGACATGGTCTTCTTCATCAACTCACCTGACAGGGAGAGCTCTGGCTGGAGAGTCACACCTAAACCTAACTTCTTCAAGCCAAGGTAATATTTGCACTGTAAGTTATGCAGTGTTGGAACATGTCAACCCTCTGAGGGAAGATTAAAAAGTAATTTATGTATGATCATAATTAAATTAGGTAGCATGATACGCTATACTACATAGGCAAAAAGGGAATCAAATAAGTGCTGGGAGTGAGATCACCTGTTAGAAAGGTAACTAACAAACTATTGTCTTGGCGGTTTGTAACTACTGTACACCGTACATATAATAGAATAGAAATACAGTAAAACAACAACAAAGATAATGCAGCTCAATGCATAAAAAAAATTATTAAGAACAGTCATAGTTTAAAAGAATTTTTTTTTTTTTAATTACTAAACTAGAATGCATAAGTAACTAGTTTAGTGCTTGATTACACTCGTAATCCTTTCATGAAGTGGAAAGCAGATTTTTACAGCACGATTATTTATTATTTTACTTCAAATATGTGTAAAAAACTGTACATCGTCCATTGCTGTAAACATTTCTGTTGAATGCTTATTGCAACTTATGCGATTTCTCCCCTAGAATATCGTAGTTACTCCCACCGCTTACCCGTGGAGTTGTTGACAAGCTAATGAAATAGGAGAAAGTAGGTGTCGAATTGCTGTTACCATGCTTTTATTTATACAGAGATTTTCTTCAAAGTAAGACCTTTTTTTTAGTTTTTTTCATCCCCATTGGTTCATTTTTAAGCTGACCCTATTTAAACCATACAGTACTCCAAATCCTCTTTATAACTGGGAAGAGTTGTTAAATACACAAAACACAAACACGAAAACATTAAATAAAAATGCTCTAATAAATTGCTCTAATACAACCGCTGTTGACAGGTTGGTAGAAGTGATGAGGCGCATGTACGGGATGCCGATAGTAGAGATTAACGATACATATCTCTACGACGACATCCTCATCAGGATGCAAACACATCTAGAACACCACCTGCCTGGACGACTGAACTTCCAACAAGTGTTCTACAAAGATATAATCGGATACAGGAACGAAGAAGAAACGTGATTTTAATAAATTATTAACAAAATTTTTGTCATCTAATTTAAAGCCCTAAAAAGCAAGAATATACCATAAATTATAAAGAATTCAAAAAGTGGGAGCTAGCTGGTATAACAGTATAGCGCAAGGCATTGGCCCTTCAGATCCTGAGTTCAAATCCTGCCAATCACCACCACTGGCTTTGATGTGTGCTAGTGCCACAACTATAGGCCTAGTCTGAAGTGATGTGTAAACAGTTCCTGGCTAGAGCCTTGCATCCTAAAATGCAAGGGTAAAAGAAAATACCCCACCCAGCAAACCTGCAGATTAAGCGTATTTCCATTTGTACACGAGGTTGGATTCTCGTTAAGATATTCCCCAAAAATTTGATTGTCAGATTTATTTTATATTCCATATTTCTAAGAAATCACAAAATCCAATATTTAGGGGGCCAAATATGGGGAAAACCAATTTTCACCCCATAAACCCCTGTTCTCATAGACCAACCATGCTAGTTCATAAATTTGTTCTGAATAAACATACGTTGCTCTGAATGAAACTGAATGCTCATCATGGGACCTCACTGACCCCTAAATTGTTGAAAAAAACTTGTTTCCAAAAACAATTATTGATGAAAACAATAGACACACTGCAATAGGATACTTAATAAAATTAGGACCTCATGTGACTATTTTTTATATGTCATTAAATTAAAGGACCAAGGCAAAGCAGAGGTTGGAAACTGAACAAGTGTTAAGAATACTTTGGCCCGTGTAATTAACCAAATTTTTATATAACTGCACCAAACAAATTACTAAATGCGATTTATCCTAAAAATAAAGGGCTGTTATTAGGTATTGTGTAAAACCAAATGACTAACAAATAATTTATTTTAAAAGGTTTTTATTGTACAAAATTACTTAAACTATAGGAGAACTATTCCACTCATCAATCGAGATACAAATTATTCTTATCCTTCTAAAGTTTGTAGGTAAAATAATTTTATCTTTAACATTTTTTAGTAACTGAAATGTTGTAGCAAAAAACAGACAGTCGAGTAGAATATATAATTTGTTTTGTGTTTCACCATTTAAACTTTTACCTCGTTTGTATGAATAGTAACTGAAATACTGTATTTAACTTTTTGTCTTAACCTTTAAAATTTTTGGTCTTCTTATGCAACTTGGTCTAAGTAACATAGATTTATCAATACCTTTTACAAATTAAAATATAAATTATCACAACAATGTAATTAACAAATATTTGTGAACGTAGAACACAACACGAATCTGCAACAGAATGAAGCACTCCATGTAAACATTATACATTTTTTACTGTTGTCATTAGGTGATGTTAAATTTGATTACGGGCCTAAATTAACTCTTTTTCATCACAAGATAAAGTTTTACTATATTACAAGGGGCGAGGGTTGACAATTTCACTGATGAATACATTTTTCATCATATTGTATTATAAGCCTATTTAAATTAACTAATTCCCAATACAATTTTGAATATTTTTTACGTTGATATCATCTTTCTAAACTGTTCCCATCATGATTTGATATTAATAAAAGGAACGGATGGAACTATACTTTTAGTTCCAGATGAGACAAGAAAATATGTTTCTTCCCGAGCAACAAAGGAAACTTCAGTTTGTTGTCTTGAGTGATGATAACATCTCTATGCACTATTTACTCACTTTCTTTAAATTATTTGGAAAAAATTTAATTGAGAAACTTTTAATGACTGTACTTGAACCAAACTTAAACACAATATTATAATTCAGCCACATTTGGCACTTACCTAGACCGTAATGGGTTCATCAGTGTCATCCAAGCAGGTAATCTCATCACTGTTATGTCTCCTCTTCTTGGCAGGAACGGCCGCCTCGGGCAGCTTCCTCTTGTTAGCCGAGCTAGTAGGTTCAACCTCACACACTTCCTCATCTTCTCCCAAGATCATCATGTCGTCATCATCACTCTCTTCTTTGCTGTCTCCTAGAAAGACAGACAAAAGTCTTGTAAGTTTATTATTGTATGTCTTTGTGAGTAAGTTACCAAGGTCGGACAGAAGGGAGATTGGAAGCGGTATAAAAGAGAATGGAACTAGAGGAATGAGCTGTTTAAAGTACTGCAAGAAATTAAACAAAGTGGGATGGAGTTGGAAATAAATAGTGCAGATAAGGAATGCCTAAAGACAGATAAAGATGTTTATTGTATTGGGCCTAGCCAGTCAGGACCTAGTTGAAAAATCCAACAGCTATTTTGTTATATTTGTTTGCTTAAAGACTGTCTATTTTTTTATATAAAAAAATCATGCCGTGACCGCAAAGTCATACCGACGATCACGCCGTGACTGCGGAGTCATACTGACGACCACGCCGTGACCGCGAGTCATACCGACGATCACGCCGTGACCGCGGAGTCATACCGACTGCGAGTCACAAGTTTGCATACCTGTACAGTTTTACCCATTTTTTGTTTTTATAGATCAGTGCCACAAATGGTAACAATTGATTTTGTTTGTCTTTGTTGGTTACTGCAATACTCAAGAGATTCTTTTTATGCACAGGAAAAAATCCCATCTCGTCCCGTCCTGAAAATCGGGAAGTAAATAAAAATCCCGTCCAGTCCCAAAATAAAAATTCAATCCCGACCATCCCAATAAAAAACAAAATATATTTTTGAAACATCATACTACAGTATTGTTAAAATAGTTACCATTTTTAGGAGCATCTTCGGCTTCTTTAGGTTTTGCATCTTCACCAGCAATCAATTCAAAAGTTTGGCCTTCAGAGAACTCCTCCCTGAAAATCATTCATAAATTTTGGGTTAGTCCATTTATAACCTTAAATTATTTAATTTTTGTTAATTTTTTGGTTCGGTTGGTATTGGTTCCTACACAAACATTTAGGGTAAAATATGTGTTTGTTATACCAAAAAAGTTACATTTTACAGTACCTCATCTAGATCTATCTTCATCTCAACAACATTTAAAATTTAAAGATTTAAGATTAAAGATTTAAAATGAATTGACAATAAACAAATACAGTGGAACCCCTCATATCGGTCCATGAGGGGACCGAGCCATGGTCGGAATGGCCAAAAAGGGTCGGATATCAGGAGCAAAAAAAATTTGTTTTCCTTAAAAGTTTATTTTACAAAAAAAAAGCTTACACAGTATGTAACAATAAATACACATTATGAAATAGAAACATTTTCAATGGTCAAGTAAAAATACCCCAATCGCTGCAAAATCCTGAACAAATCCTGCGGTCATAGATAAATCAGCATTGTCTTCAGCTATAATGGCAAAATCCTGAACATCTCCATCAGGTAAAAATCATCACCTCCTGTGATCACGGAAAAATCCTAAACGTCTACTGCGGTAGTATGGACATCATCATTGTCTACAAGGTTTCGGGAAAATATTAAGCATTTCCCATGGTCCTGGAAATATCATTATAGTCTCCTGCTATCACTGAAACTTGGATCGTTGACATCTGCAGCTTGAACTCGACTTACTGGCCTAGCATCCGTTCTCTCGAGTTTGTAGACTAGGCTCGGCTAAGCTCTAAAATTAAACCACTCGCACATCTCTATTGATATGTAGTTTTTAATGGGACCTTAGGTAGGATATTCCGATGATTAGATTAAGCTGAGGTCAGATATAATAGGTTTTAATGTAAAACGAAACTAACTAATGAAACTTCAAAGTATTTTTCAAAGTACAAGTTTCTTATTTTAAGAGGCTTTAGGTAAAAATTCTCAAAAAGCAAAAAGTTGTCTCAGCAGCTACAGATTAAATAAATGTTGCTTTTCACACATTCAGTTGTCGTAAGGGTCAACTATAATATATTTTTTATAAAGCGGATTATAAAAAATGTTGGAGTCGAGATACAATAGAACCTCTTTAATCCAAACTAATTGGGACCGGGGGTAGTTCGGACTGTTGAATAGTTCGGATTACAGAACATATTGTTGTTTTTACATAACAATAGTTAGGGAAAAGTGAAAAATGTTTTATAAAGGAAAATACAGTGTTTATTTAGTACAGTAGTAAACATAGGGAATAAACATTACTATACATTACAATTGAAATAATTACGGTGCGTATATCAATAAATACAGTATACAATAAAGAACCACGGTACTGTGTATAGAGTACAGGAATGAGGTGTTCGGATTAGTGGACGTTCGGATTACAGGTGTTCGGATTAAAGAGGCTCTACTGTATTTGAAGAGTATCCCATTTATTAAAGTGATTGTTAAACAATGATGCAATAATTTAATTATGAACACGACACTTACTTGTGAGTGATGACTACTGCGAGTTCATAGTTCTGTTGGAAGTCATCAACTATCATGACAGTAGAATCTCGGATGCCAACTTCCTGTAAAGTTAGATATAATTAATAACCCCGCCGCAGAAAAACTGCAGACTCAGCGAATTTCCATTTACCTGGCTGGATATCTACTAAAATATTCCCTGCAAATTTTCAGATTTATTTCCTATTTAAATAACATTAATTTTAATGAGTACCTAGGTTTCCTGCTACAGTGAAGGTATTGACGTGTGTTTTTTTATTGAAATGTTGATAGCTTATAAAATAAACAAAATTGCCAAATTTGATTAACATTTATCTATAAACCAGCAAACTACAACAGTTTATTTATTCTCTATTAGAATAACATGGGAATTTTAAATTTAAAGTTTTTTAAATTATCTCCGTAACCGTCTGGCATACAACAACGCTTCAATATACAAAATTATATCTTTTTTTAAGCTCTACAAAATAGTCTGGAAAGTAGTTGTGAAATTTTATCTTTTTAAAGTCAAAAATGGGAAAATCAATTTTTACCCCATAAACCCCCTTCCCATAGTCCGAGCATGCTGGTTCGCGAACTCTTTCGAATAAGTGTAGGTTTACACGCTTCTACCAAATTTTATTAAAATCAGATAGTTTTTGCTTGAGTTTTCGCGCTAACAGACACACACACACACACATATATATATATATGAATTTAAATGGAGGGCATTTTGGGACTCTAAACAAAAGAGTAAATCAGTCCCGGGTCCAGGTCTTACCATGAGTACTAGGGTAATAGCTTATTCCCTATATTTTGTACAGTAAAAGAAAAACTTGAGAAATTTTAGTTTTAACAATTATTTATAAATAGATTAAACTCTTGGCTGATTACCAACAATTACGAACAATATATAACATATTATGTATTATGAAAATTAAATGTACGTTATAAAGCGATGACCAAGATGTTGAGCATGAGGAGGCCAATCATCTCGCAAGCAGACTATATATTTACTATAGTTAACTTAAACGACCACCAACTATTAGAAATGTGCGGATATCTGAATATTTGTTTAGTTGTTTATTGGCTGTTCACTTGCTGTTGCTTTAAGATTAATCTGGAACGAACAGAGATAAAGGGGAAAAGAACTACCGAGGTTAAATGAATGCCAATTTGTACTCTTCTCCTGTTAGTTGGAGTGCTGCGATGCCATTATGGTTTAGCTTACAACACAACGACATACATAAATACAAAAATGTCCAGTTTTAAGATCAAATAAAATATTTACAAGCAACAAAATACCATGAGCTTGACAGTCTCTTCAAACCTAGCGTTTTCCTTTTCACATGGGATTGGTGGGAACATATCAGACAAAGCAAAGGGTGAGAGAGATGATTCAAAATAAGAAAAAAACTTTATAAAACTTTATTAATTTATAAGTAAAGAAACCCACCGTAAAGCCTCGACACTGCATTTGTTTCAATTAATTAAGCATTGAATTATTAATTAATTAAGCCCGCTCACCAAAATGATTAAATAAATATCTTGGATTCTTTGATCGACAGTTTAAGGATGGATCTTAAGGTGTTGCCTACAGTCAACTCACCGTAAGAGTCTTGTTGTTGTTGTGTTCTGTTTCTCCCTCCTCACTTGAGATTATGATAGATCCTGAGCCATCGTCTAGTCGAGCATCTGGAGCGACCATGTTCAAGGCCTTCTTGAGCACTGCCTCCTCTAGCTCCTTCACAGTCATCTTCTGCACATCCACTGACAGCGCCACCTACATTAAAGAAACCTATATCAGTCTCCTTACCATATTTGGAGCAAATCCAAAAGCTCGGTCTAAAAAACCGGTGTATGACTGGCTCTTAGACAGGAACTGTGAACAAGTCAAGACAAGTGACCAAAAAATAGTGCACTTATTGTAATACATGCATATTGATTTATGTTATGAATTTAGATTTGTATATTGGCAAGGCAACAGTGTGTAACTTACGGATTTAATTTGAATAAATTATTAATACCGTCGGTTGACGAATCAAGATCCACAAATCCAAACAATCACCGATAGCATCACTATTCCCCATCACCAACCATCGGACCAAACCGAAAACCCGGACCGGACTGATGGTCCAACATTGTGGCCATCTATCCAAACGACCTCAGTTGTCTACCAGCTTCAACCGCTTTTCCATGTACAGTACCGCTTTTTTATTATGTCAACTGGCAGTAGTTTTGCTTACAATTCTGACTTATTATTTTACCCCGGTCTGTACAGTGAAGAGCTCTTTCTTAAGTGTTAATTTACAAGTACAAACACGCCAATTCTCTGCTCTTCCATGAGGGTTGTTGGTGGCTTCGCAGCTCAGGGTTTCTTTTCACTAACTGGTAATTCAGCTCAGTGCCTAAAACAATGTGAGTGACAAAGTAACTTGACTAACTCCCCATCACTTGGAATGTTTTTTAACCCTGTGCCATTCTAGTTCACACTACACTTCACTAATTGTCTGGGTAGCCTATTGGTTTTAGAGCTGGCCTTCAAATCTGAAGGTCACTGGTTTGATTCCAAATGAGATTTTTTCCAGACCCAGATGTCACTTGGTCATTGATTAATGATGCTATCTCACAAAAAGGTCGACGTTAGTTAACCGTAATGGTTTAGACCGTTCCCTCTCAAAAGATAAAAAAATCCATTGGCATAAAAATACACAAAATAAAATTACACTGAGCTCGTGGGGCTGCACAGTGACACAACTGTGACACAATGCAAACCACCCATAATACTATGCCTACCTGCCAAATACACAATTTATAAAATCTGTGTGATAGGAATAGACGGAAACAGATGACAGTTTATTAAATTTAGGCTACCCAATTAAATTGTCATCTCAGTGCAGAATCTGCTGCAAAAGCAAATAGGAGAAAAGAAAAGAAACAAGATTTAACATGATTTTTCACTCACAGTAGGCTTGGACGAGCAGACATAACACTTGGGGTTAGGTGCCTGCAGTTGCCTCTCTGGTACTATGATCTGTCCGCGAGGGTTCGGCCTCAGTCTTAGGTAGACACTCTGGCACTGGTCCAACTGACCCTGCAACACCTTGAGTGCATGCAGCACCACCATGCCAGCCACTATGGCATTGGTAGTGGCTATAGCGGGGATGATGTTGCCTGCCATCGCTGTAACATAACACATTTACAACATTGCTTTCACAAATCAAAGAATACAATAGACAACACTTTTTATTAGTGATTTCTTAATAAAATACAAAACGTAGAAATTTCAGGCTTTACAAAGGTAAAATTTCAATATACCTATTACATTGAACACAATAAAGAGTGTATACAATATTTAAAGTGAAATTCCAGGTTTTTCTCCTGGGTTTTAAATTTGTCCAAGTTCCGGGTGTTTGCTGTTAACTATAACCAATTCCAGGCCAACAGCTTTAAAATTTGTTCTCTTCACTATTATATATTGATTCCCATGTATATAAGTTTAAAATTCATTTACACAACACACATAACCAGTTCCTTTTAGATGTGCCATATCATAGGCTAAGTAAATGTAAAAATAGTTACATGATATTATTGATATTGCATTAAAATTGTTCAATAACCTCAGCAATGCCAAAGAATTAGATTTTAAGTCCTTAAAAAAAAGATGTCTGGTAACTGCTAAATCTATTTTAAGATATAAAAGATTATTTTAAACTTGACTTTATTGACTTTAAATCTCATTCATCATGTGTCGGCATTCTTTTTTTCTTTATGTAGCTTATTAAGGTGTGTTTTGCCCAAAATATAGGCTGATTAATCGCCACATTTTTATTGACTTTTGTCTATTGCATCTATTGTAAATGTTGTAAAATGATTCTGATTCTGGTTCCAAAGTTCAATGAGCTAGTGTTGCAAAAATAATAATCCTTAATAACATTATCATTTATATATCGACCTACAGTCATGAAAACATAGTCTCTCTCGATAGCGGCACAATCCTCAATTTTTCCATTGTTAAAAGAAACATTCTTATCGGTGGCATAATCCTAAAATCTCACCTAAGGTTATTATCATAATCCGCAATAGCGATAAAATCCTGAATATCTCCCGCAGTCCTGTGGTTATAATCATTGTCCCCTGCAGTCATGTAAACGTTATCACTGTCATCCGCCATAAAGGCAAAATCCTGAATATCTCCCGTGGTTTGTATACATTATCGTCGCCTCCCGTGGTCACGCAATTGTGGCAAATGCGTGAATTTTTCGATCACACAAAGTTTGCAGATGCGTTTTACAATCGTGACTGTAAAAGCTCGGCTCGGGCATAATTTTCCGACTTTTGTGCTTAATATCTTGGGCTTGTAGGCCAGGCTCGGCTCAACAATCGATCCGCTCGTACACATCTACTACTGCTATTAATGGCTGAAATAAAAGTCACGGAATGGCTCTGAAAATACCAAATTTTCCAGGTTTCTTTAAATTTAAGGTTTTTTTTAGTTGGTATACACCCTGTAATGTATAAGGGCTATCCATGTTGCCATCTTCAGACCTAAATTGAACTTTTTAAGGTCTTTGGTGTCACTTTTGGGACAGAAGTAGACTGGAATGAATTATTCAGCTCAAAATCAGAAATTGAAACTGAAGAGCCACTTACATTTGACATCAAACCGACTCTTGTTGGCAATGCCAAAGATGTGTGCTCGGATGTTGGCACAAGCTGCCACAAAGTCCATGGCAGCCTTGTCGTCTTTGTCCCATACTAGATGATCTCCTTCTTTCAGCGCCTGCAGGTAAACAATTAGAAAATGGCATCACATGTTTATGAAAAATTGTGTCTTAGTGTTTGACGTTTCACTGACTTCCTTGACCCCTAGTAAAAGAAGTGATGTTTTAGCAGCGTCTTTAATCCTTAACTGACTTTTATGAGCACATTTATCCCCTAGTAAAATGAATTGACTTTCCAGTGTATTATTTGACTCCTTGGTAAAATTACTATTAAATTACTTGACTTTCTTAACTCCCAGTAAAAACACTCACTGCCTTTTAATTTTTTCGATAACTTCCAGACCTCTCTTTACTTAATTCCATGGTCACCGTGCAGTACAGATATTATTGAAGATTGTCATGATTTTAAGATGGAAACATTGTTTTGGACTTTGACTTAATGATTTGGATTTGAACTCTGGTCGATTCCAAATTAGTATATATAATATAAAAAAAAAAGTTATAGGTTGCCTTATGTTTGCCGCAAGTGTCACAATTGTTACAATTACATGGCATATGGAAACTCTGTACTGCACTGGGAATGTGGGATGGATATTAGGATTGACATAAGATGATTTGATTAATAATTTATAACGAAAAATCCTCAATAGATACTTCCTTATAAGTTTGCCAAAAGATGGTTTCTTGATTAATATATAAATAAACAGTCATATGTTTTTCAATTGTTTTGTTAAAAAAACATTAGTGTTTCCATTTTTTTTTTTTTTTTGATGAAATAAATAAAGAAGATGGTTTTTGTTCACATTTATTTTGTCATTCCTAATGTTTAATCTTAAAGTAATCGTCCGTGATATCAAATTAATTGAATCACGTACATTGACGATTTCAGAATTCACTAATACTCTGTCGCTTTTTAGTTACTTCCTTCACCCATTTATATATTAGTTGAGTTGCTAAAGACAACTAACCTTGAATTGTTGTGCAAGTTCTTTGCAACTGTCGGCAAACACCTTGCCACATTCTGCTACACTCCAGCACCTCTGGTCTCTCAACACGTTCTCTGGCTCTCGACTGCTGCCTTGCACTGCAACATCAAGCAACAATATGTACAAGGCTGTCTTCCACACAAACTGCCTCAGATCAAGTTAATGGTCTAGTTAAAGCAACATGCTTATTTAGGTTAGCACAATTTATTCTGTTAAACAATATTTAACATTAAGGGTTGCTTCTGTTCTTGATTGAATGCATTTTATAGGATTTGATTGTTTTTTTACTCATGCATTTTATCTTTGGCTATTGATACAACTAGACATTCCATCCCCATGTTAAAGTTGTCGCCAGTTTTTTTTTTTTAAATAAAAATTGTCTTAGTTGATGAGAGCCACCGACAGATTGTACTGATCTAAATTACTGATTTCTGTTGAATACAAGAACCTATTAACAAAGTCAAACTGGAAAACGTTTTATTGTGAGCTAAAGCAAATGTTTTGTATGACCATTGACTATACACAGATTAGACTTCCCATGTGATGTAATAATGTTAAGCCAAGAAAATAGATGATGTTGAGGACCATCCCCTACCAGTGGGTGTTAGTGTATTGGGTTAAATAGTTTTCAAACTTGAAACAAAATCAGGAGTTCCACAAGGTTCTGTACTAGGTCCAATCTTATTTATCAGATTTGGCAATTCACGCATAGATACATAAGATTAGCAGATGTATTTTTTTTTTTACTTGCCTGCTTTGAGAGAATTTCACAAATAGTTTACACCATACTTAATTCAAGGTCTGTTTTCTTAATTGTTGTACATTTAACATATGAAAAACATTGTTTCAAGCAAGTGTTCTACATTCAATCATCTTCAATCAATGGCCACAAGTAGTTGTTTGTGTGTTTCAGGCATTTATTTCAATTGTAAAGAAAACACAACCCTTACAGTGCACTGGACAGAACAAACAATATAATTGTCTTCAGTTTATTCATATGGATGAGAATCTACTAAGGGAGTATGTTTGATCTATGAAAAGTAGTATTGGTTATATAAGCAATTATGTAAACGGAATCAGACCTAAAATTTAATTAACAAACTAACTACCTCCATCGGGGAGATTATTCCAGTCCAATGGGGTTGGTGCTAGTCTTGTTTTCCACAAGTTGCCCATGGACAGTAGGTATTTTATATCATCGTTGAACAACTTGGTGAACAGTTTCTCTGGGTCGTATTGGCAAGATTGAGCCCAAGCCCTGGTTGACACTCGTTCAACGTTTCCTTCCTCTGTTGCTTTAGCCTTGAGGGCCCCCTCACCTGCTTCACCTAATAGAAAAGCACTTCACTTGTTAATGTAGAGGCATTAGTGGCAACAATTGAAACTCATGAAAGAGTCTAAAAATAACATATAGGTTGGTGGTGCAGACTACGTGCTTGGTATTGTCTAAAGTGATTAGTTAATGAGATGGGAGATCACAGCGCTAGATGGGGGAATAAAGTACAACATTTTTCACATAAAGTAACAAAGTTTCAAACTATTAAAAACAGTCAAATTTTGATTCCACCAAAACATTTGTAATAGACCCTAACAATAGGTTTAAAATTATATATAACGTGTTGTTTGTATTATAAGAAATGAACTAATGAACCTCTATTTTTGGTAATCTTGTATTCAAAAATAATTAACAATTTTTTAAATTAGCTTATTCCATGAAGTTTTTAGTGGGAAAATTTCCATTTCATCATTGAGGGACTAACGGTATGTCTGAAATCAATAGTGGACACCTTATGTGATTCACCATGTTATATAATTATGGAAGACCTAGGAGATGTATGAGGGCCAAAATTATTGGCCCGACCCGAACCAAAAAAGGCTGACCCGCGGACCCCTAACGCGGGTCAATAATAAATATGTATTTTTAAACTCACCAGCCGCCTCAGGGTCTGCCGTGTCTGGTGAAACATCTTGATCTGGATCCTCCTCTCCAAAAAGCTGACTGTAACAAGCTCAACATTATTATTTCAATAGTGATACCTGGTGGCATAAAGCCCCTCATACAGAGGAGTGTGACAATCTGGGGCAATGTATTAAGGCCTAAAAGTAGGCATACTTGTTTTAACTCTAGAACTGCCAATTTTATGGCTGTTTGAGTACCTCTTGGGTACCTCATAAAATGACCAATCCTGTATTTTACATAAATCCAAGCTAACAGTTTGACATATTAATCTTGGATGTGAAGTTAAAGATGTTGGCTATCCTACTACAGTTTACTGAAATCTTGTTTCCTTTCTCAGGGCGACTATTTTAATTTCCATTATAAAATTTAAGACTAACTCCAGACTTTTCTGGACTATTTTTTCCAACAATTAGTGATGTTTCGATACCACAATTTATCGATTCTCAATTCTTAATACTAAATACCATTTTTTTTAACAAAATTTTCTAAATAAATTGGTTATACTACACCAACCCAAGTTAATGGGGTGTTTTTCAAGTAAAGAAAAATGAAAGCATGAAAAATTATAACTAGCCAATTTGAGTTTAACCCTTCTTAACACATTAAATAACTATCATATCAAAGGTAATAAATGAAGATCCAATGACAACATACAATTTTATTATAACTAGAGGTGTGCCTGCCATCTTGTTTCTGATTCATATGAATGCAGTAACGTATGTTGTGTAGTATATCGTTTGTTATTACAGTTATTTTGTTTGTTGATTCGGTTATTTTTCATGGCGACGACGTTCATAATATGAATGTTTTGATATTTGTAATAGACAATTAGTCAACCGCTGTAACATCAATGGAAACGTAATGTTAAAATAAGGTCCTTGAAAAGTGGAATTTTCGAAACCAATGATGATTATTAACTTATGAAGATTTTGTTAGGATACTATTATTTAAGGTACATACAAGGTTTGTTTTCAGTCTAAAGCGTTATAATGTACAGTCTATCCGAAAATGTCTGACGATATATAACGGATAGTGACCGATATCAAATTCGACCCGAATTTTCGAAAACCCCTACACCTCTAATAAAAAGTGGTCTGCATGCAATTAAAATACTCACTTGAACAAGTGTTTGGCCCAGACAATGCAATGGATAGGATCTGACGGGGTGTTCCTGATGGTGCACCCTGGGAATGTCTTTTGTGGGGCCTTGGGATCACACTCGTAGCACTTAGTTTTGCCCTTGACGATGAGCTCCACTTGTCCGTCAAACCCGGCCGTTCCACTCTCTATCAGCGGAACCTCAGCGGCGAGACAGAGCCTGTTGACGTGGTTGCGGGCTGCGCGATTATCCAGTGCGTTCAAAACAACATTGAACTGTTGGAAGTAGCTGATATTGTACTTGGGGCTGCAAGATTTTTAAAAAATTAATAGGGATTTAGAAAGACATAAAGGTTTATGCGGTCTAAGTTTTAGAGAATAAAGGATCATGTTATTGTTAATCCCAAATCAATCATAAACTGTCCTGTTGGTAATGAAGTCTCAGGGATAAAATCCCTCACTCCACAGTATAAGACAAGTTTCCCTATAGTAAAAGGTTTTTAAGTCATGATCAAGGATACAAAAAACATTATGGCCCAATATTTAAGTCTTTGGATACTGAGCTTTAGGACTTTCTGCTGCTTCTGGTCTTATAAAATCATTAAATAGGCTATTAAGATCAATAAGTAGTATGGGCCCCAAAATGTGAATAAGTGAAATAACGTAGCCTACTAAGTTCAATCATGAAATTTTAGCCTACTTACTTCATGATAGAATCATGGTGTGCAGTAATGTTGGCATCTGGATTGAACTGAAGAGCACTCTCCTTGGCCACCTTAGCTTTAGATTTTCCCACATGTTGCTTGTGGAATAAAAACTGGCGATTCAAATTGCTAACATCAATTGTGTCTAAATCGATCTGAAAATATATAAATATATAAAACACATGAGACAGGCTTTAAACCCTTTGAACCCTAGAAATCATCTATGTATGAGTAATGCCAGAACAGAAATTTGACCAGTAGGCATAAAAAAGCTTATTGTGGAGACAATTGAGATGAATAGACTTTCATGCATGTACACACACAAAGTATGCATATTACAAGCCTAAGTTAAATTTGAGAAATGCTTGTTAGGGAGACAACTCAAAAAGTGTCCGAGACCCAATCTGTCAAAGCCACTGTTTTCTATATGGACCAGCCGGACTAGCTTACTCATGCGATTTTTACAAAACTTTTGTATACTTGGCTATATTAGGCAACTCTGAGCACTTTTGTGAGCAAACGCCGCACCGCTTTCACCCCGAAAAGGTTGGTTAGATTAGGTGAAGTGAATTTTAGTTAATAATGAACCTAATTAGTTTATGTTACCTCCAGACTGTTAACTTGTTAAAAGAAATAAGAAGATTATTATGTAGGCCTACCCCAATGGGTTGTACAAGAGATAAGATCACACCTAATCATTTTATGAATAATATCTTACAGTTTCAAAGATCCACAGGTGCTGAAGTTTACGTTGTTCTGTTTAACGAAGCAACAAAAAATAAGACACTGAGAAATGGTCTCTCACAATGGGAGTTCCAAAATAAATTTCAAGACCTTTTACGTTCAGCATCCGGTAACCAGCAGACACTTGAATGTATTGTGTTACAATGTTTCTGGTCTTAAAAATAAGGTAAATAGGTAAGGATGATTTTGATTTTTTTAAATTTGATTGTTAATTATGATTTAATATTTTTAATTGAGACTTTTATATCTGAACAGGAAAAAGATTATGTTATCCAACAATTAAAAAATTTTGAGGTATATTTTGTGTTTGCAAGTAGGGTTTCAATTTATGGTAGAAATGTAGGAGGTATAGTTTGCTTGAAAAACTTAAATTCACCTTTTGCCAAAAACATTAAACTTGTACAAGATAGTGGCTATAATTTGTTTGAAATCCACAATAGTTTACCTGAGAATCGTAAAATCTGTGTTATGCCTGTGCATCTTAATTTTAATTCATGGGAATATGATTTCACTAATTTTGAACTGTTCCTGAATACCGTACAAAGTATAGAGACAATTTACTGATATTAGGTGATATGAATGGTAGAATTGCTTGTGAACAAACATTTTCTGATAGTATAAAAGAAACTCTAAACAATAATTTAAGTGATGTAAGGAAATCAAACGATTCGGTAATCAACACTCGAGGTAGAAAACTTTTAAGGGCTATAGAAAATCTAGGTTTAGTTATTTTGAACGGCAGGAGCAAAAGTGACGCAAGCGGTAATTTTACATTTATAGGGGCGATGGGGAATTCAGTAATCGACTTCGCCATGGTTTCATTAAATTGCTTAAATTTTATCCACAATTTTAAAGTTGTGAACCTGGCACAGGGGTCCAGGGTCAGATCACCTCCCAATTGAACTGAGTTTGAAATGTGTGAGTCCGGTTGCAGTTGATGGTGAGGGTTCGGAGGGTGTGAAAACACTCCCATTGTTACCTAAATTGAAATGGAAGGCGAAAGACGACAGATATTACCGAAAAAAATTGACGTAAACATTCAGACTGTTGAGATAGGCGAGTGTAATCAGGATAATATATCTAATTTAATTAAAATAATAAAAGACTCAACTGATAATGTTACAAAGCAACAAAAACATAATCTTACTTTCAGGCAACCATGGTTTGATATTGATTGTTTCTTACAACGAAATAGAGTTTTTAAGTCATTAAATGTATTTAGAAGAAACAGCGAATATCAGTTTAGAATTGGATATATTTACGAGAGCAGAAAGTATAAGTCAATGTGCCAAGATAAAAAGAGAGCATATTTAGAATCCCAAATAAGTAGTATTACGCAAGCAAGCGATACAAATATGTTTTGGAGGGCAGTTAATAGCTTTAAAAAGAAAGATAATAACAGGATTGGAAGCATCACGCCTTTGGACTGGGTAAGACATTTTAAAACGTTGCTCAACCCTCCATTGCTGACTGGAAAGATACAGTTTGCCGAACCATTGATTGTAGATGCATTCTTAGATAACGATTTTAGTATGGGAGAGTTGAAAAACGTCCTAAAAAAGGTTAAATGTAACAAGGCCCCAGGGATTGATAGAGTCCCATACGAATCTTTTAAGTATGCTCCGACCAGATTCATTCCTTATCAAATTATTATCTGTTTTTAATAATATTTACAGTACTGGGAATGTTCCAGAATCGTTTAAAAGGTCGATAGTGTATCCATTACATAAAAAAGGAGATATTAACTGTCATATATGTATGTTCTTATTCTAAGTTTTATTATTATTTAAGTTGAGTTGATACTCTATGTCGAGTCTATATAAGGAAGACCAATTGAATTCTCGATCTCTTTGTTACTTATTGAACTTAATAAAATGGCTGTAACTGAGTTGGGACTATTATTAAAACATCCCATCATTATATGGCGCAGTCAAAATTAAAAGTAATGTTACAGCCACTATACATAAAAAGGAATAAAAATGCCTAAAAGTAATAATGAGCAAGAGGAGATAGATGTTAAAGGGCACAGTGTAAAAGGTTCAAGTAGTGCACCTCACATTCGACCGCCATCAGAACTTCAATGGTCAGGTAACTTAGGAGAAAATTGGAAATTTTTCCGACAGAAATTCGAAATATATCTTGTTGCATCAAAATCTCAAAATGAAGACTCAGAATATCAAGTATCTTTGCTTTTAAGCATAATAGGTGATAGGGCTTTGAAAGTATTCAATAACTTCACTTACACTGGTACAGAATCGGCTAAAGACTTAAAACATGTTCTTAGCAAGTTTGATAACTACTTTTTGCCTGAAGTTAACGTAACTTTTGAAAGACACAATTTCTTTTTAAGAGAACAAAAGGACAATGAGCCTATAGATGAGTATGTGACTGACCTCAGGGATTTAAGTTCAACCTGTGATTTTGGTTCATTAACAGATAGCCTTATTAAAGACAGGATTGTGTTAGGCATTAAAGATAGGGCAGTGAAAGACAGACTTTTAAGGACTAAAGACTTAGATCTTAATAAAGCTCTAGACATATGTAGGGCGTCAGAAATTTCAAAGCACCAGTTGAGTGAAATCTGTACCGGTACATCAACCGATGCAGGTTTAAGCCTACATAAAATCAAGGCTACCAAACCTGCGAAGCAGTGGTCGGACAAAGGTAAGGGAAACCAATATAAACCTACCAGTAGCACAGGCGCTACGAGAAAATCTACAAGGCCTATGGGAAAGGTATGTGGCAAGTGTGGTTATAATCATCCGATGTTTAAGTGTCCAGCCTATGGTAAACGATGCATTAAGTGCTCTAGATTGAACCATTTTTCTAGCCAGTGTAAAAATAAAAATGTAAGTTCAATAGAAGTTAAATCAGAGGATGAGCCTAGTGAAGATGAACTTTATCTAGGTTGCATAAATGAAATCGGTTCTAACAATGAATGGTCTGTAAAGCTATTAACAAATGATCTTATTTACATTCCTTATAAGCTAGATAGCGGTGCTCAGGTCAGTGTTTTGACTCAAGACTATCTTGATTTACTTGAAATAGATAAGCACAATTTGTTGCCTACCAATATCAAACTGTCATCATACACGGGTCAGAAATTGTCTGTATTAGGCTTATGTTACCTTGATGTAGTGCATAAAGGTGAAACTCATAAATTACCTTTCTATGTCGTTAACTACAATGCACCATGTATACTAGGTCTTTCAGCTTGTGTAAAGTTAAAGTTAATATCAAGGCTAGACTCTATGACAACTAAGCCTAGTGAAATAGGCCTAGCCCACAGTCACAAGAGTAAAAGCGGTAACACTAATAGTGAGTCGATACTAAATCAGTACAGTGACCTTTTTGAAGGTGTAGGTTGTTTTAAAGGAGAATGCAGCATAAAACTAAAATCTGACTGCAATCCAGTAGTACATGCACCAAGAAAGGTACCTTTAGCTTTAAAATCTAGACTTAAGTCAAAACTTGATGAACTTGTTAGGCTTAAAATAGTAGATAAAGTAAGTGAACCGACAGAATGGGTAAATTCTCTGGTTATTGTAGTAAAACCTAATGGTGAGTTGCGATTATGTATTGATCCTAAAGATCTCAATAATGTCATTTTGAGACCACATTTTCAGATGCCAACCTTTGATGATATTTCCTGTAAATTGTCAGGTGCTAGGTTTTTTAGTACACTAGATACAAAAAACGGGTTTTGGCATATAAAACTCACAAAAGAAAGTTCTCAATTGTGTACGTTTAATACTCCATTTGGGAGGTATAGGTTTTTGAGGTTACCCTACGGGTTATGTTGCGCTAGTGAGATTTTTCAACAAAAGATGATGCAAATTGTTGATGACATGGATGGCGTAGAAGTGTATGTAGATGACATTATTATATGGGGAGCTACTAAGGAACAACATGATGAAAGATTAAAACTAGTCTTAGATAAATTAAGGTCTGAAAACATTAAGTTAAATTATGGTAAATGTAAGATTGCTATTACCGAACTTAATTATCTAGGTCATAGAATAAACAGCGAAGGGATTCACATGGATGAATCAAAAATTGAGGCCATAACAAATATGGCTGAGCCTAAGGACAAAAAGAGTCTCCAACAGTTTTTAGGCTTAATCACATATGTCAGTAAATTCATTCCTAAGTTGTCAGAGCATACAGCACCTTTGCGTGCTCTTTTGAAGAAAAACGTTGCATTTGTGTGGTCAAATGAACAACAGGTAAAATTTGATTTGCTTAAAAGGTTGCTTGTGTCTAAACCAGTCTTACAGTTTTTTGACATGAAAAAGCCTGTGACCATTACGGTTGACAGTTCTAGCTATGCTTTAGGCCTACCGCACACGAGAGACTTTTTGTCGGCCGACTGTTGGCCATCTGTCTGCCTGGAGTCGGGTGGACAATCGAA